TATCAGCAAACCAAATTCAACAATACATAAAAGGTTCACACACCATGATCAAATGGCATTTATTCCAGGGATGAAGGAATAGTTCAATATATACAAATCAATTAACAGATACACCACATTAACAAAATGAAGGATAAAACCATATGATCATCTCCACAAATGCAGTAAAAGCATTTGACAAAATTCAACATCCTTTCATGATAAAAGCTCTCAATGACCTGGGTGTAGAGGGAACACATCTCAATATGATAAAGTCTGTATACAAGCCCACAGCTAACATCATGTACAACAGTGAAACATTAAAAGCTTTTCCTCTAAGATCAGGACCAAAACAAGGGTATCCATTCTCCCTCCTTTTATTTAATGTAGTACTAGAAGTCTAGTCAAGGCAATTTGACAAGGAGAAGAAATACAAGGCACCCCCCACCAAAAATAATAGGCACATGGAACTAGCCACTAACCATATTGAACAGTGCGGACTTAGAATCTTTCAGAACCAAACACATCTCACCATATTCACCATCTATATTTCTCACCTCCTGACTGGCTCTCAGCCTTCTGCCATCTGTTATCTGCCCTCCCAGTGCCTGTGAACACAGGTCTCTCCCAGCCCCGCCTCTCCCCAAATTCTATCACAACTTCACTGGGCCATGCAAAGCCCTTCCTGGCGTAGTTTCTGCCCTCTTCATCCCAGATCCCAGTTTCTTGCCTTTCCCGAACCAGCGCCAGCATCTCTAAGGCATCAGCTCTGTGTTCCCCAAACCATAGACAATCTTGAACAATAGGATGTATGATTTTGTTTAAATATTTACTTTGTATGTTTATGTGAGCATGTTGTAATTTGCACAGTGACACTGCATACTAGATCTACGTCTGCTTCCTTGTATCTCAGTGATACCCCGTAGGATGTTTTTGAGAGTCAAAGCACTTGGTAACTTAGTCCCTTCATCCTCTTCCCAGTAGAACGTTGTCTGACCACTGACGACGGTGGTGGTGGTGGTAGAGGGGAACAGGTTGACATGTTGATATAGCTATGCATGTGCCCCAGGCATTTTTGCTAAAAGCCCAAGTATTTGGGGGATCCTTTCACTGCGATGATTCAGCAATAGTTTTCAAAGATTATCTTCACTCATCAAAACTCTGCTGGCAATGTATTTCCTAAAACCTGTTGAGTGCTGCCCTGACGCTAAGTTCCACTTTATCCATGGATATCTCTGCACGGTGTTTACATAGCAAAACTTATTTTTTTTCCTTTACCCTATTGCATACATAGTTTGAAGTCTGTTAGAAGAAACAGCCTGCGAATCACACACTATACCTCACGTATAATTAACAGAAACGCACCAGCTTTTATGATGATTTGCAAGCATAACAGAAGGCTATCTTGTTTGCATTGCAGTGCATCAAGTGTCAAGATTCTCACTTCACTACTCACTGGTACAGGAGTGGACAGTAGATAGTTTTAAATGTCTTTCTTTTTTTCTCCCTTTTAGCAAAATGCCGTTGAGGCCTCTTGCTCTTGCCACTTGGGTCAGGAGCAAGGTTGCCTTATTTGAACAGGCTGTAGTGTTCGGGCTTCTGCCCCTCAGCACTGCATTTTTGTCTTTTAATTTGCACATTTAATTAATTATTTTTTATTAAGGTATAATTGATATACAGTCTTATGAAGGTTTCACATGAGCAACATTGTGATTACTACAATCCCCCCTATTATCAAGTCCCCACCACATACCCCATTATAGTCACTGTCCATCAGGGTAGTAAGATGCTAGAGAGTCACTATTTGTCTTCTCTGTGCTGTACTGTCTTCCCCATGCCCCCGCATATTATGTGTGCTAATTGTAATGCCCCTTAATTCCCTTCTCCCTCCCTTCTCACCCACTCTCCCTAACTCCTTTCCCTTTGGTAACTGCTAGTCCATTCTTGGGTTCTGTGAGTCTGCTGCTGTTTTGTTCCTTCAGTTTTTACTTTGTTATTATACTCCACAGATGAGTGAAATCATTTAGTACTTGTCTCTCCACCTGGCTTATTTCTCTGAGCATAATACCCTCTAGCTCCATCCATGTTGTTGCAAATGGTAGGATTTGTTTTCTCCTTATGGCTGAATAATATTCCATTGTGTATATGTATCACATCTTCTTTATCCATTCATCTACTGATGGACACTTAGGTTGCTTCCATATCTTGACTATTATAAATAGTGCTGTGATAAACATAGGGATGCATATGTCTTCTTGAATCTGAAATCTTGTTTTCTTTGGGTAAATTCCTAGGAGTGGAATTCCTGAGTCAAATGGTACTTCTATTTTTAGTTTTTTGAGGAACCTCCGAACTGCTTTCCACAATGGTTGAACTAATTTACATTCCCACCAGCAGTGTAGGAGGGTTCCCCTTTCTCGGCATCCTCGCCAGCATTTGTTGCTCAGCACTGCATTTTTAAGAGCGGTTTCATTGCTTTCACTGTTGGCTCAGTATTCTGTATCATTGTCTTATTTCATGTTTCCCATTCGCTAGGGATGCACACCTACATTGCCTCAAACTTCCCACTTCAGTGAGCATCCATATCTCATGCAAAATGTTCAATTAATGTAAAAACTTGGACAGAACCACCCATAGATCTCTCCATTTAACAGGGACCCAATAAGTGGCTTGAACAAGAGAGAATGTTTAAGTGTCTCTGCTGGCAGACAGCCTAGGAACCCCACATCCTTCTGTCAGTTGTTCTACCATCCTCTAGTGTCTCCAAGGACATCTGGCCATAACTGGAGACATCTTTGGCTGTCACCCCTGGGGGCGGGTGTGCTGCTGGCATCTAGAGGGTGATGGTCAGGAATGCTGCTCAATACCCACAATGCACTAGACAGCCCCCTTCTCCCTCAACCCAAAGAATGATTTGGACCCATATGTCAACAGTGTCACCTGCCCTAGAACAGTTCCCCTTCCTTTTTTGCATGACTGACCAGCACAGCAGTCCTGTAGTACATCCCATCCTCTGGATTTGTCTGCTGCTTCCAGATGTTGTTATTTAACTTGCTTCCCTACCTTGTCCATTTCCTGCAAATTGGATGTTGGTGGAAAGACTTGATCAGAGTCAGGCTTAACATTTTGGCAAGACGTGTCCTAGGGGAAGTTGGGAACTTCCTTTTGCATGACAGTAGGAGGCCCACAGGCCTGCAGGTCCCTTTACCGTGATGTTGAGCTTCATTGTAGCTAATGCTGGTGAGTCTGGCCTCTGTGGAGAAGTCTGCTCCCCTAACACTCAGCAAGACCTCTGGTGCCCTGTGTTTACATTATTTATTTCCCATCATCCTCTCACCTGATGCTTTTTAATGCCAAGTGAGAATCACTACCTAAATCAATTTTTTAATTGGCTTTTGCAAAATGGTGATTTTTTTCTCCCCTAATTCTCTTATTCCTTCTCCATTTCTTAGCTGGCATTCTTCTTGGGCTGTTTGATGGCTACCACAGCAAATACTGGGAAGGCCAATCCATGCCTAATTCCTTACTTTTAATTAGCAATGTTTCAGAAAGGAGGTGACTGAGAGCTACTTCCAATGATATATAATAAATGTGTGTGTTTTTAGCTTTCAAATTGAGGTATGACATACATAAAGTGCACGGATCTTAAATGGAGAGCTCAGGGATTTCTTACACCTTCCTACTCATGCAACTACCAGCTCCATACTGCCTTGTAGGCCCCCGACCCTTACCCCACCACCACCATGGCTGGCCCTGGGACACTGATCCATCTCACTAAAGCAGCTGCAGTGGCTAAGTCACTTGCTTTGCCAGCTGGGATTTATCCTGGGCACCTCCTGCCTAGAAGTCTTATTAATTCTTTGGGGGAACTTCTCAGGGCTTCAGCTCAGCCAGCATTTCTAGGAAGACTAGGAGAGCTGCATCTCCTTTTCCATCAAGTGTCACACCCAGGGGCAGCACACTGGACAAAGTGCCAGAAAAAGAGACAGGCTGTTTGGGCTCTGCTACCTCCGGCTGTGTGATCCCGGGGGTTGCTACTTCCACCTCTGAGCTTCTGCTTGCTTACCTGGCCATGATGGGACTATTCTGCTTTGCTGAGCTCTTGAGATTTCTGCAGAATCACCTGGCTACCTTGAGCTCTCTGACCTCAACCCCTGGTGCTTTCCTCTTTGCTCATTCTATTCCAGACAAATGTTTGTTCCTGGCCCCAGGCCTTTGCCCCAGCAGTGCCCTCCACATCGGTTTTGTGGAGCTTGCTTCTCCCCAACTCAGGTTCAGTCCAAATGAACCTCCTCAGGGAATGCAGGCTATAGCATCCTCCCCTCCTACCCTATATACCCTTTAATGTTGCTCTTACAGCCCTTAAGAACTGAGCGTATGTATTAATTTAACTTATAATTGTGTCTCCCTTAGTAAAATGCAATGTCCAGGGACTTGTCTGCCTCCTTCACTAAGTGTAACGAAAGTGTCCAGTGAACTAGGAAACGGAAGCTCAGAGACAGGGAACCACTTTCTAATTGTCACACAGCAGAACTGGCATCAGAATCATGAGCTCTGAGCCTGTTTTCTTTCTCCTCCTTCCTCTGCCTCTGGTGGGACTCAGGCACAAAGTTAGATGGGGAGGGGGTGCCAAAAAACTCAGCTGTCAAGATAATATTTTAAAAACTAAAAATTAATGCAAAAAAAATGCGATGATTAAAAAAAATAGTAAAAGACAAGATCGGACCCTGCACTTACATGACTCACTTCACCCCGATCCCAGTCTTAGCGGACCCTGTGGGATTAATATAGAAATCAAGTATAGAAATTCAAATGTATAATCACATATGACTTATTTTTCCTGTAATTCCTGATACGTGATCAAGAACGGAACAAACAAGACCAAAACAGTTTCTGTGACACAACTGCCCTTGCTATTGTTTTAATACCATGTAAGACGTCGCGCCCCAGGAGACTGGAGACTGATGAGAATTAAGTTTAGTTAGTTAATGATTGTGTATTAAGCCCCCCACACAGAATTCTATTGTTGTTAACATTTATTTGCTCAATGAATGCAAAGGGTGCCCTCTTAGCACCACTCTTGCGCTGTTACGCCTCGAGTCCCCTGACTGGTCCTTTCAGGTCTTCGGTATCTCATCGCGTCTCCTCCATTATCTGCGGGTCAGAGGCAGGGGGGTACCGACAGGTCTTTAACATTCTGGTATTTTGTTCATCATGGATTTTTTTCCCCCATTAATTTTGATCTTCTAAAAATACTGCCTTAGAGTATTATTTATCTAGATGATTCAGTTTTTGCACCCAAGGCGCTCACCCTAGTCCCGGAGCCGCTTCTCCCCAGAGGAAACCGAGGACCGGAGGACCGGTATGGGGTGGGGGAGGCGGAGCAGAGACCTGCTGAGCGGCCCGAGCTCCCCCGGGAGGGGCCTGGCGCTGACCTTTGCTTATCGCCCGCTGTAGAAGCCTCTAATTAAGTCCCCCGCCTGCGGAAGACCTTTCCCGGGGCGGCCCGCACTGCCTGCCGGGCCGCGATAGCCGCGGTCGCCCGAGCAGCGGTGACCTTTCCCGGCTGGCGGGGCTTAGGTAAGCCCACAGTTGGGCCTGGCGGAGCCGGAGGGAAGGTGGCTCGGGCTTGGGACCTAGGATCGAACCCCGCCCTGGAGCCCTGTCCCAGCCTCTGAGAGCACCGCGGGGGCGGGGCAGAGAGCCAGGTGACATCATCGAACTCCGAGGCCCGCCTCCGCCACTAACGTCACAGGCGAGCAGCTGCATCACCGCATTCCTCCCGTGATGTCAGCACGCGAGGCCAGGAACCGGCTCACTGGGGAAGGGAGACGTTTGAAGGGAAAGCTCTTTCCTTTCTCGCCCTTTATCTTTGGTAAGTCGCTCAAAGTGCGAAAGGACGAACTACTAGTCCCAGCTGGCCTTGTGTGCTGCGAATGCGCACGGCCTCCAACGAGAGAACGCGGCAAACCTTTGGCAGAGACAGACGTCCTTCTGGCCGAACCAGAAGGCAGGTTTTTCAGCCGCAACCCAATCCCGACCTCATAGGCCCCACCCCCTTATTCTTAGCCCGCGGCTTCCGTGCGGGAGTGACAGGCCCCGCTGCCTTTGAGAGTTCAGTGTCCTTGATGTACTTACCTACCGATGAATCAGAGAGCTGGGAAGTCGAGAGGGTGTTGAAAAGCGTTCCTTGGGGCCAATAGCTTAGCGGCAGGGCCCGGGGCCGCCAATCACCCGGGACCCCGCCCCGGCCCGTGACGTAAGTAGGGTGGGTAGCAACAGTTGCCCCGGTGAGGGAAACGGAGGCGCCATAGCCACGGTAGTCGTGGCGACCAAGCAACGCGAGTCAACAACAACAACCGCCCTGCCGACCCCCATCCCCACACCCCCGGCCCGGCCCGGGGACCCCGGCACGTTCTGTCCCCCTCCCAGCATCGCTTCCGAGACCTCTGGAAAGCCCTTTCGCGGACAGAAGTGGGGAGAAGCCGAGGTAACCAGGGCGGCCCCGGGGTGGCGGGCCGGGCCGGAGAGGGCGGCGTGGCCCGGGCGGCGGGTGTCGCTGTAATCAGAGTCCAGGGGTAAGGGGCGGGCGGTCAAAATGGCGGCGGCGACTGCCGGGGCCGTGGGGGAGGGGGCCTGGGCCCGTCTGGGGCGACACCGCCCGCCCCTGGGCCCGGGCCCGGCCCCCACGAGGGGCGGGCGCTAGCAGGCCGGCGGCTAGTGTAGGTCGGCCGGCAGGGGCGGTGGGGGGGCGGCTTTTATATGCGGGAGGTGCGGTGGGGCGGGCCTGGGGAGGCAGGGCCAATGGGAGCGAGGGAGGAACGAGGCGAGGTCGTGGGGGTGTGGGCGGGGACTCGTGGTGTGTGGGCGGGGCTGGAGGGTGCCCTAGGGAGAAGGGTGCGGCGGCTGCGGTCTCCGCCTTTCCGCTCCCCCAAGCGTTGGGAGGCCACCTGTGCCATGTTCCTTTGGAACACTCAAGTTGTCCTCAGTATTCAGTGCCTGCCTCATGTGAAGCCTCAGTTTTCCATTCTGTTAAGTGGGGAGAATCTTTGCATCTCCTCTTTTCTGCATATCAGGGACTTCTGATTCCTTACAGGAATTTCTTGGGGTTCATCTTTAAACTTTTACCCCATCTACTACTTCTGAGTATGGTTTGCTAGATTAACTGTTAGCCAGGCTTGAGTTCAACAATACTCTTGCCTCCTAAATCTGCCTTCTTTCTTGAGAGGAGGCAGAGGAAGAAGCTGTGGGCGAGTCTGGCTTTAACCTGGAGGATTTGGTTTGCAGAAAACCAACACCCGTTTCAGGGAGGAGTGATCTTGAGTGACTGAATTAGAGGAACAGAAACTTGATTGCTTCTCTGGAGGCTTTTCTCTTAGACTTGGTGTTGTTCCTGGGCGGGGGGCTTTTTCCTAGTGAAGGGACAATCCTAACTGTTCAGCCCTTTAAGGTCTCCCTTTCCAGGAATGGGGAGCAAATGGTGCTTGAGGAAGTTTTTTAGATTTCTTAAGCTAATTCTCATGGCCAGACACATGTTTCTGTGTCAGGCAAGTCAGTGTCAACTGGGTCACATGTCACTGAGGAGGTACCAGCCTCCAGAGCCACGTGGGCGGGAGCCAGACACCGAGGTCAGAGGCAAGGGGACGTGTTCAACATTTGTTAGAGGAGAATCCCAGACACTGCTCTACTGGGCAACAAAGATCTGCCAGCTCGGGGAAGAATTTTTTTTTTTTAATAGCCATCTGGGCCAAGTCCATTTTGTCTATTCTCTGCCTTGCTGTGGAGTTTGGCATCAGCAGAGTCGAGTGACGTGTGCAAACTTCAGCCGTTTTCTTTTAAAGTCAATCAATAGACTTCAAGGAAAAGCTTCAGGCTCTCCCAAAGCTTTACCCCAAGAATTTGACTTAGAACTTGGTCGGGTGTGGGGGGTGTCTCTCTTCTTCAGGGCCTTTTTCTAGGCCAGGCCCTCCTTGAGAGGTGGCAGGACCCCTTGAAAGTTAAAGGCAGAGATCAATTTTCAGTAAAACTATAAATACCAAGTTGCCAGAAAGACCATCACCCCTGTTAGAAAGGCAAACTTTGAGAAGAAAGTGATGTTACCAGTTATCTAGGCTTGTTGACTGCCTCTCGCCCCACCCGTAATTTTTACATTTGAAGTGCACAAGCCCCAAGAGGTGATGTGACCCCGGTAGGGAACACCAGCTTTGTCCTTGAAACAATCAACTGCTTCTAGCTGTGTGGTCTTGGTGAGTTACTTAATGTCTCAGGACTTCAGTTTCATCTAGGCTGAAGCATTGATGAGTGGTAATGATTTTAATCTGAGATCGTTGTGCTGTGGATCCCATAAAAGAAAAGAATACACGTTGAGCATCAAACACAGTAATTGCTCAAGCTATGTTAGCTGCTACTGTTATGATTGTCACTTCCTGCTCAGCCCTGGGAATTACAAGGCTTGCATTTATTTTTATCATTTTACATCGGGTGAAAGCTTAGTAGCTTTAAAGGTTGACTTGCTGGGTTGTGTGAACTGATGACAGGGATCCCAGGAAGCTTGATACCAGAATTACAGTTTCTAGTGGGGAAGTGTTACTCCCCTTGCTCGTGAATAGCCTTTCTTTCTCCCACTTTAGGAGAATAGTCAGAAAGAAAAATCTTCCCTGGGCCTGGGCCCAGACTCAGCCCCAAGCCTTCCAGGAGGCAGGAGGCAGATGTGTGAGCCAGGGGTGTGGGTGTCGTGGGAAAGGCATCTCTGGAGCTGAGGTCCTTGCCCTCCCCTCCCCACACATGTTCCAGCATTTTTGGGCAGGGGCGGGGGATGCACCAGGCAGACCGCCCCCTAGAGATGCAGCCTGCAGATAAAACTGCATGGTGTGGACCCATTCTGGATCAGGAGGCATCGCCCACCCCTGTGGCATAAGCAGGAGGCAGGAGGCAGTAACTTTTCAGAAGGTCTCACCAGTTGGTAGTTTGACACGGGCCTTTGGCACTCAGTAGCAGTTTATTCCTGGCACATGGACACTCATTTGACAGTAAAAGTTAGGTGCCCACAGTGATCCCCAGTTCTTGGAGCCGGGGATGAAGTGATGGGTAAGGCGGGCCAGGTTCTGCCCTTAGAGAGGTTACCTTTCTGGTCATAAGAATAAGAAAATAAACAAGGAAATAGCCAGGAAAAAAAAAACAAAAACGAATATGTGCTCTAGATGGCTTGGGGCAGGGGTGGGGTGGGAAGGTGGGGCACACTTGAGACCCAAGAAGGTAACATGAGCTGAGACCTGAGTGGTAAGTAGTAGATAGCATGGGCAATGGGGGTGGATGGGGGCAGGTGGGAGAGGATGTGCCAGTCAGGCGGAAGAGCTGGTGTAAAGGTCCTGAGGCAGGAAGAAGCCTGGAGAATTCGAGGAACTAGAGCTAGTATGACTAGAACATCCAGGTTGAGAAAGGCAGGGACTAGAGGGACCAGATCCTGCAGGACCCTGTAGGTCATAGAAAGGGCTCAGGATCTTATTTATTCTCTGCGATGGCTTTATGACCTTCTGAATAGAGTGACATGATGGGATTTGTGTTTACAAAGGATCTTGGAGATTACAGGGGCAAGGGTGAAGCCAGGAGTCAGTGCTGAGGCTGTTACAGGGTCCCAGGCAAGAGATGATGGCATGGCAGCTTGGACTGGCATGGTGTTGGTAAAGTTGGAGAGAAATGCCCAGCCTTCTATTTTGGAGGAATTATTGACAAGCCTTCAAAACTAACTGGACATAGGGATGAGGGAAATCCACAGCATTATATTTAATTTCCCCATTCTACTGAAAGTTCATTATTGAAGTAATTAAGCAGATGAATAAATTGAGTTTTCTTTCTGTTTTCTTGGGAGGGCCTCATCCAAGATGTAAACTATTTGGTTATAGGGTCTGGCATCCAAAACAGAGGTTGTCAAGCTACAGCTGCCACCTATTTTTATATGGCCTGTAAGCTAAAAATGACTTTTACATTTTTTAATGAATGGGGAAAAACAAAAGAAGGATATTTTGTGTCATGCATAATATATCATGACGTGTGGAAATTATATGAGATTCAAATCTTAACATCTAGAAAGAAAGTATTATTGGCACACAGCCACATTCATCTGTTGACTGGCCCTTAAGTGAAGTTTGCCAGCCCCTGATCAAAGTAGTTGATAAGTGTTCTCCAAAAACAGCTGTTGGCTTTGAAGATGGGTGCAGCCATTGGTGCTTTTCTTGGAAGTTTCATTGCCAAGGAACAGATTTGCTGAGTGATTCTCTTGTTTCATGTGCTTTGTAAAGAAAGGAGTCTCATGCTCAAAGATGGGGAATGCCTCATGTGGTATAGATCTTTGTGACGTCGTCCTCTCTAGGGAATACCTACATAACTCTGCTTAACTTAGTCCTCCACAAATGGAAAAAAAGGGATCCCTGATCAAATAATTGCGGGAAACTTGGCATCCTGTATCACCCTTCCTGGAGATTAACAATGGCAGTGCTGAGTAGGCCTCCAGTGGAGAAGTTGGTTTAACAGTTTCATTCATCTTCCCCTCTCCTTTTCAAGCTCAGCCTCTCAGCCCTTCTTGTTGCTCTTATTGCCCCTCTTGTTGCACATCAAGGAGAAAAAACACTAGGAACTGTGGAACTTCTAAAGCCCTTTCTTTATGGGAGGGATCACAGGGGCCAGCTCTCCTAAGGGCATCTCAGAGTAGCCCCAGGGCCACCTGCCTCAGAATTATCTGCTGGGGGAGGGTTAGCTCAAAGAGCAGACCCCAGGGCCATCTCAGACTCTGGGCAGTGGGACTAGGGAGCCTGCACTGAACTAGCTCCCCAGGTGATGCTGATGGAGAACAGGGGCAGGTTCCCCCTAGCACTTTCTTCAAGAGCTGGAGGACTGTGTGTGTCTCCTACCTTCTCTATCTCCCTGCACCCTCTACATAAATACCTGTTAAGAGACTAGTAATAGTAACAGCTTTCTGCTAATAATTCTCAGCACTTAGTGGGTCCTGGGCTGATCTTTACAAGTCCTGTGAATTGGGTGTTCTCATCATCTTCAGGTGACAGATGGGGGTAACTGAGGCCCAGAGGAAGGTCAGTAACATGATCATGAATTAAGAGACCAGTCAGGCCAGTGTTCATGTTGAGATGAGTCTGATACCAGGGAGGAAAGTGCTGATCAGCTGCAGGGACTCAAGCATCCATGCTGGGCCAGAGTTTGGACCTGAGGGTTCGAGGATCCGTCAGGAGGTGGCCCCTCTGATGCCAGCAGGAAGGAGTTTGGGGAGCACAGAGGCTGGGGGATGTCACCTCTGCATGTGTGGCAGGCAGCAGCCTCTTCCCTTCCCAAGTGGTCAGCTCCCTGCCACCCGAGTCCCCGCCAGCTGGGAAAGCCCGAGACGGCTCCTCACAACCTAGACCAGGGCCCACCCTGTCTGCCTCTGCCCCTCACCATGATAAGCTGGCCGGCAGGTGGCCCCAGGCTCTTACAGCTCTGTACCAACCAGCACAGCCTGTGGCCCCTCCCCAATCACCCCAAGCCCAGTGAGCATACCCAAGGGCAGACAGAAGCCCCTGTTCCTTTGTACTCAGCAGCCCAAAGAAAGGAGTCAGGGCTTGGAGGCTTTGTGATTTATTAAAGGGCCCTGGGCAATGACAGGAGCAAGAGCTGTTTCCTAAGTATCCTACACCAGGCACCCAGTCACACGACCACAGTGAATTCCTCAGCAACCCTGAACTGTAAGGCCTGCAGGTCCTCCCATTTCATAGATGGGACAGTGGAGGCTCTCCCGCCACATCACACAGCTAGGAGGAGGCCAAGTTCAAGTTGTGCATCAGCTGCATCCAGGGCTTGTTTCACACCCGCCTTGCCCCTGTTCACTTGGACACCTCTTGAGTTTGGCATCAAACAGCAGAGCCCAGATCCTGAGAGGGAGATCCAGGGAGGCACACATAACCTGGGAACCACTGCGCTGCCCAGCATCCCTCGGGCTGCTCAGGCAGGCGCCCCGCTCCCCCGTTCTGCTGCTCTAATGAGGGCTAATCTCTGTAGGTGGGGCTCGGGCCTCCCCATCTGAAAATCAGCCACTCCTGATTGCGAACAATAAATGAGCCCTGTGCCTGGTTCCCTGATCAGGGGTGGGGTCTAAGAGCACATATGTGGGGTCAGAGAGACCTGGGTTCAAATCCTTCTCTCCAGTTGCTGCATGCCCTTCCAAGTTCACCCCTGGGCCTCACTTTGCTCATCTGTAAAATGGGTGGGGTAGCCCCTCAGTTGTAGGGCTGCTGTGGGGAGGTAATCACAGCAAAGTGCTCCTCCTGGGGATTCTGGTCAATGCGCAGCTGTGGTTTTTCTCCTTGAAAATCCCACTTAGTTCCCTGCCTGCTGCTTAATGCAGAAGAGCCTGTGGCTTAGCCACCCTCCAGGCCTATAGTGCCCTCAAGGGTCACCACAGGCAGGGCCGTTAAACTCAAATACCTCCAGGGGCCAACCTGGGGCCACCAAGAGGTGAGGGCTGGAGCTTCTTTTAGCAGTTCAAGCTTTTGTTCCCAGGCCCATCCCCTGCTGAGGCGGGACTTAGCAAGAAGGAGGTGGGGCTTATCAAGGGGACCCTGTGCCTAGCCTCGCACCTGGGAGAGAGACCATGAACCTTTAGTAACCAGAAAAGCTGCCTCTGTCTGGTAAGGCTGGTTCCATTCGGAGGTCGACAGGGCTGCTGGGCCTGCCTGTGGCCAGGGCCTGTTCCCAGCCCAGTGCCCCTGGCCCCAGATGGACACTCTCCCTGGGATGAGCTCACATCTGATGTGACCTGTGATGGCCCCTGGGCAAGGGCCTAAAAGGCCCTGTGGCCACCGGCAGCTCAGGGGCTTTTTGGACTCCAACAGCCTCCCTGTGTCTGGCACCCCAATGGGAATACTAGGCAAGAACCCAAGTCCAGATGGCAGGCGTGTAGGGAACTGGCATGGGCTGACTGGAAGACAGCCTTCCCCACCACTTTCCTTTCCAGCAATTAGCCCACTAGTCAAGTGCTCAGAACCAGGTTCAAACTCAGCCCTGCCACTTCCCTACTGTGTGGCCTGGGGCAAGCTCCTTAACCTCTCTGAGCCTCAGCTCCTCATCTGGCAGACTAACAAACCCAGAAGTGGTTGTTGCGAAGTTTAAAATTAAGTAATGTAAAGAAGGTGCTCAGCATAGTGCCCAGTCTGCAGGAGTCCCCAAGAGAACTGTACCATTTGACCCTGGCACAGGGGTCCCCGAGGCATGAGGGACTGGGAAGGTAGAAGGCAAAAGTCCTGGGTAAGGGTGAATGGAAGAGGCTCCAGGCAGCCTCAGGCAGTACCCAGTTATCCTGCTGTGGTGGGCTGGTTATATCTGGCCACCAGCTTCAGGATTTAATTAAGTTAGTGATGAGCCCAAACATGTCTCTAGGGAGTCAGGAGCTGTCCCTGGTTTCCTCTGCCTGTAGATTAATTCTTGTTTTTCCTTTTTTTTTCCTCTTACCCCCTCCCTATCTTCTTCCCAAGGAAGCAAAAAAAAAAGCCTTATTTATTATCATTTTTCCCACTGTTGGCATGGCAACACAGGCGTACGTTACTGAGCTACAGGCAGCCCCGCAGCCATCCCAACCACCACAGGCCCAGCCCCAGCCGCCACCGCCACCACCAGCAGCGCCCCAGCCCCCCCAGCCGCCTGCCACCCCCCAGCCCCAGTATGTCACGGAGCTGCAGAACCCCCAGCCCCAGGCACAGCCACCAGGCAGCCAGAAGCAGTATGTGACAGACCTCCCAGCCGCCCCCACACCCTCGCAGCCAGCTGGCGGACCCACTCCATCCCCGGGATCCCAGCAGTACATCGTGGTCACCGTGTCTGGTAAGTGGGCATGTGCTCAAAGCCAGGGTGCTCTGAGAGGAGTTTTGGGGAGTCCTGCATCCTGGACGTGGGGGCACAGTGATGCCCCACATCACTGTCGTTTACTGGGCATGTCACCAGCACAGCAGCTTTCAAACTCATTGGGGTTCTCAGGCAGGTCTGGGGGGCATCTCTGGGGAAAGGAATCAGGCCAAGCAGTGAGGCCTCTGTCCCCCCAAACTTCTTCCCATCAAGGCAGCTCTTAGATCTGTTTCTGTTTGTCTCCTCAAGTGACTTGTCACTTGAAGAAAATGATTGGGTAGTGGGATCAAAGTTTGCACATGCCTGCTGGGGCTTGGCTGGTGCCCTCTGGGCCTGGCCTTGCTGCTCTCCAGCCCCTTGGCCAGTCTGCCTCAGTTTCCTCCTCCATCCAGGCACCGTAAGGGCTTCTTGTGCTCGGGGGATGTATATGAGGTACTCACAGAGGCGCTTTAGGGAGGTGGATTGGGAGGCTCAGAAGCATCACCTTCAGTTTTTCCCAGGACCCAGGAGCCGAGCAGGCTGTCACCCGGGCAAGTTCACAAACATGTGGCCGACAGCCGCTCTTTCTCACTGTGTCTGTGCTTGCGGCCGTGGGGAAAATGATCAGAAAGCTCGGGTCATGGTGTCCATGATTCCTGTGTAGACCATCTTCCCCACACGCCAGTTCCTCCCAGGACGGGGACAGGCTGAGCAGAGCGTGGGCAGGCAGTCACTCCCACAGCTCAGAGCGGGACTGAGCATCATTAGCAGTTTCAAGTATAGAGCCAGGAGGGTGGGGTGACACCCCTCACTGAATCTGGCCAGGGTCCTTCCAGAGTGGGAAAGGAAATGGCAGGGATCATAAAGGCACCCCAGGAGGCTGTGGATAGAGTAGGTCAAGACTGGGTTTAGAGGATCAAATATGTGACAATTGACGTGGTCCTATGGGAGCAGGACAGATGGCAGTCTGGGCCCTGGGCGTTGAGGTCCCCAGGAAGGGCCGGGCCGGGGACATGCAGAGGCTCACAGCAGTGACTCTTTACCACGCGGACTGGTATGGAAGGATGTGACATGAAAGCCCCACTGAGCGTATCGCATTAAGGCCAGGCCTTGGATGTGGCCAGGGTCCCCAGGCCACAGATCTCCAGGGGGTTCTCAGCACTGCCCAGTGACCTGCCTATGTTTCCTAGCCAGCAGAGCCCCCACCCTCCAAGGCACCACCACATGGCAAGGAGGACCCATCCCCCCGCAGCCAGCCTCCCAGCTTGGTCTGCACCCACCGGCTCTGCCTTCTTGCTCAGAGGGTGAGCAGCCCCCACCTGCCCCCAGCCGCCCCCTCCTGATTTGCTCTTGCCATCTTGGTCCTCATGGCTGAGACCCCCTCTCACAGATGTTTTGGGTAACTCTCCCTTCATGGTGGCCTTGTCTAGTATCTCTTACTGACAACGTGCCTACATTGAGGTCTGCACCCTGGGCCACTGCCCTGAACCCCAGCTACCTGTGACCCATCCACTCTGGGATGAATAGGCCACTCAAGCTTACGTGGGCAAATAGCACTCTGGATTTCCCCCTCATCAAATCTGTTCTCCTCTGAGACTTCCTTGTTCTTATAAATACCACCCCAGGCCCAAGTCAGCCTAGATTCCTATGCTACCCATCCTCCTGAACCAGGCCTCCTGAACCCTCTGAAGTCCAGCCAGAACCTGCCACTTCTCCTGCCTCCACATCCCCTGCCCTGGTCCAGCCTTCACCTTCACAGTCCACAACACCCAGAGGGAGCCTGGTGACAACTGACATTCAGGTCCTGTCATGTCCCCAGCGTAACCAGATGATTCTGAGTCAGGTGGCCCTGGGGGCACTCTGAGAAACCCTGGCCTGGATTTTCTTGGAGAGCTGGCTTCCTGTGGCCTCCTTAACAAGGAGAGGGCTTTAAAAGCTCTACATTCCCTGTGCCCCTGCTGAAAAGTGCCCAATCTCCCGACTCTGGCCCGTGAAGCCTGCCGGCCACCCAGCCCCACCTGTTCCCACCTGCCCCTTCCCACACCTGCTCCAACCCCACTGACCTTCCTGTGGCTCCAGAAACCCGCCAGGCTCTATCCGGCCTCTGGACCTCTGTACTCTGCTTAGAGCGCCCTGTCCCGACCTCCTGGTGGTTTGTCCTGGTGTTCTTTGGGTCTCTGCTCAGATGCCACCTCCCTGATGCCCACACCTCCCCACACCCCACCACTCCCTATCTCCTTACTTTGCTTTATTTTTCTTAACATTCATCGCCACTTAAAGTGGTGAAGGTGATGATGATGCCCGTCCCCATTGTCCTGGAGTCTTAAGCTCAGGAGGCCCTGGTGCTTAGAGGTCAAGGCCTTTGTCCTCCCTTCCCCTGGGTGCAGACGGGCTGTAGTGAACAGGCTGCTGGTGTGATTGTCAGGGTCCTGTCTTTGGTCTGGTGGTGGTTTAACAGTCTTTCACGGTGGTCTTAGGGAATTTCATTCTCTGCTGCTCCCAGTTCTGGTGGAAGCAGACCTGTCCCCAGAGGGGTGACTGGGCAGCGCATCCTGGAGCAGTTCTGGGGAAGAGGAGCTTGGCTCGCCCCTGCCTCGGCCCTTGCTGCTCTGCCAGCCCCTCCTCTGGCCCCTTGCAGTGGCTCCTGTGTTCCTCCGTGACTGTTTCCCGGGTTAGTGTCCCTTTCGTGTAAGGTGACTTTTGGGCTGGTGAGCCGCCCCAGGGGCAGGTGTGGAGGGTAACGACACCAGCAAAGGCTGCAGCAAGCAAGGCACCTGGGCTTTTCCCACACCAGAGCGCCAGAGCCATCAGAGCTGGTGGGGCTCCGGGAGGGAAGTGAGTGGCAAGGGGCCCGGAGCCCAGGCAGGCACCAGCGGGAACAGCACCTGAAGGCGGCTCGTCCTGCCCCATCCTCGCGAGCTCAACCCCACGGTGCCTTTGCAGGTGATGGGAAGGAAGCTGAAGTTTCTAGAGGACAGTCCACTAGATCCATAAACCCCATCCTCAGACGCTGCCAGACTCTCACCCTTAACTTGTGGTGAAAGGAGGGTGCTGTGGGCGCTGGCAGCCCCCCCCCGGGAAGGAGGGACTACATCCAGGCTCCCTTTGCTGCTTCCCTCGCTCGGAGGCCCTGGGCATCCAGGATCACTGTCCAGGAGAGGGACTGGGAGGGTGTTTGTCAGCATTCCCAAGCCCAGATGGGTACTCACAGTCAGGGCAAGTAAGGGACCCAGTCTCCTGGAGGCAGCAGGGTCCCAGAGAACTGCCCCCCAAAGCACCCCTAGCTGAAAATAGCCCCAGGAGCAAAGGGCCAGGCAGGAGAGAGCCAGACTGCTCCCCTGTCACCTGTGGGGAGCGGGGCCTGGCTTGGAGCAGAGCATCTCAGGCCACAGTCAGTAGTCATGGTCTTGGTGACATCTGAGGTGTGACTGGGTCTCGAGGGGGAAGTGCGGGGCACAGGCAGGAAGGGCCACTCATCAGACTGGGGCACAGGAAATCGGCTACCACTTCTTGAGACTTGAGACAGCGGGGCTTCCCTGGCCTCATGCTCAGATCCAGGATGGAGGTGGCCAGCAGACAGAGCCACTCACAGACCCCCTCCCCGTCCACATACACAACCAGGGCAGGGCACAGGCAGGCGAGACCTCACACACAAGCCCCTCCTCCAGAACTCAACCTGCTCATCCTATGTGCCCTCCTGGCCTCGCAAGCACGGGGGGCCCAGCCTTGAGGGCCACCCCAGAGGGAGGAGACTGGCGGGACAGCCTCCCAGGGCTTCCTTGTCCCAGGTAGATGCCCGATCTCCTGGGACCCTGGGCCTCCAGCTGCTGAAGGACCCTCTCAAGGGTCGGCCTTGGCACTTCCATCAGAGTCCCCCAGCCCAGGAGGTGGCTGGCGCCAGCGCCCCACTTACCACCCGTCCTGAACTAGGCAACCCTGCTGTGGACCGCCTCGGTCAGGCACCTTCCCTTGGGCTGGGCCAGGCTGCCCGTGCCTCGGGGACACCCAGGTGTGCCGGGCCCCTCACGTGACTCGGGGCTTTCTCAGGTTTCCCCTGGTTTCTCAGGCCTCCTTTCTCATGGCTCAGGGAAGCCTCAGTGCATGTGAGGGAAGATTCCAGCCAAACGTGGAAATCAGTGCCTCCCAGAATTGGCCAAAGAGGCAGCTGGCCTGGCAGGCCTGGAGTTGCCCTGATGCTTGCTCCACAGGTGCCCAATGGAAGGCTTCCCCCGACACTGCCCCCCACATCTGGCCACCACCCCTCCCAACCTAACATACACACGTTCACGTGCTCTGCCCAGGCTTGGCCCCTGAGGTCCTCACATCTCTCTGGAACACCTGTTCTGCCCCCAGCCAGGCTCCTCTCCCTGGGTCCCTACACAACCGAAGCCCAGCTCTTCCCTTTGGGGGCTAATCCCCACTATGAGATGCTCTGGATATTGTGGGGTCTCTGGGGACACTGAGACCCCCATCTTACTGTCCTGCACTGCCTTAGAGCCTCAGCCTGGCATGACCTGAGACTCTGGGTTCTGCACACAATGTGAGGTTCTTGTGGGCCTGTGTCCTGGCCTGCCAGTTCCCAGCTGGGTGATCCTAGACAAGTCACTTCCTTTCTCCAGTCTCGGTTGCTTTCTGTCCTAGCTGCCCAGAAGACCCTCACCCAGCACCTGGGGCCCTGGAAGTGCCGTAGTTAACCCCAGTCCCTCCTTGCCCACTGCCTCCAGCCCTGCTGACTGCTCCCCAGGAGGGGTGGGGACCTTAGCTCCTGGCCTGTGTTGGAGGAGGGCAGGCACATGCATGTCTCTGGCCCCACCCTGGCCCCTGGAACTGCTGGAAGCATGCCAGGCCCTGCTGAGGGGGGCGGGATGGATGGCATCCAGCGGGGGTGAGGGTCTCCCAGCCAGCGCCTCACCGGGACATACACCTTCTGCACTGCTTCCCTCCCCGGCTCCCCTGTTAATCACTCAGCCAAGTGCATGAACCTCGCCCTGCACCTGATAGCATCTGCGGGTACCAGCTCTCTCCTGACTCCGCAGTAAGGCTTTAGCCCCATGAAAGCCTGGATTGGCCACACCCACTGGCAGGGGAGTGTTTATTCCCAGAGGGCAGCTGTTTGCTCTGCATCCATGGGGTGGGGGTGGGGGAATTAGCTCCCTAAGGTTACAGGTATAAAGCCACCCATGCACCCTGCTGTTACAAAGAGGTGGGTAAGGAGCATGAGTGCTGGGCAGACTCCCCTGGATGGACTGGGGAGGGCACAGTGGGGGCAGGTGGGCACCATGTTCTATATTGCCTCTGTTCAGCTGTCTGTCAGCATGAGTACTCCCTGCCCAGCTCCAGGTCCCCTGCTGCCCCACCCCACTGAAGATAGGGAGGCCAGGACAGGGCAGAGGGAGGGGCACTTGGCCACAGGCCAACAGGCCTGAGGCCATTCCTCTGACCAGCTTCTATTCCTGGGAAGCCAGGGGTCATCTCAGAGAGGATGGCCCCAGCTCCTTGGTCCTTCCAGGGCTGCTGGGATGCTGAGGTGGCAGTCAGTCACAGTTCTGTTAGGAAAAGGGGACCAGCCCTCTGGGCCTCCACAGTTTCACAGCTCCTCAGTCATCCCTTCTGGCCTGGCTTATGGATGAGAAGGCTCAGGGTTGGGGGTAAAGCTGCTTCTGGATATTAAGAATTCTGCCATGCCATTGGGTGTGGGCAGGGCTGGCCAGGGTGTCAGGCAGGACTCTTGGAGAGGACTGGCCCCATCGGGTTGGCTCCAGCCAGTACCACCCCCTCCAGATGGGCTCAGGCTTTAGGTGGCAGCGGAGGCTGCAGGCAGAGCTGATCCAGTGACCCCTCCTTACAGAAGGTACCATGCGGGCCAGCGAGACTGTGTCAGAGGCCAGCCCCGGCTCCACCACCAGCCAGACTGGAGTCCCTACTCAGGTGGTTCAGCAGGTGCAGGCCACCCAGCAGGTAGGATGCATCCCTCCCCCAGGGGAGGGTGGGGAGGGCACACAAAGGGCAGCAGGGGCTGTGGCTGCTGGTACCTGGCCTTCCTGCTCTGTTCTGCTCCCAGAGCCATCTGCTGACCTCTTCTTACCAAGGTGTTCCCTTCAGCCACTCCTCCACCCACCTGGTCGGGCCTTCCTGGGAAAGTCGCATGGCTCAGGGGCTTGCTTCTTGTCCCTGCAGCGGCTGCTGGTCCAGACAAGTGTGCAAGCCAAGCCAGGACATGTGTCACCCCTCCAGCTCACCAGCATCCCCCTGCCCCAGCAGGTAAGGCCACCAGCCCCTGCAGCCTCCCCTGGGTGCAAAAACAACGCCCTGTGGCCTGCCCACATCTGCCCTCACCAGCATGGAGGACACAGGCTCCATCCAGGGGCCACCCCACCAGTGCCTCCAGCAGAGGAGACATGTCAGTCAGGGCCATCAGGGAAGGATGAGCTGCACCAATTATCCTAGCAGAGACCTGAGGATTGACAGTAAGGAAGGTGGCTTTCAGGTGCAACCCCCATGTCCCAAAGCTGGTTGGAGCCCAGAGCCCTTAGCCAGCAGAGGGACTGCAAGGGCGAGGTGGTATGTTCCCAGCTGGGGCTCAGGACAGAACAAAGTCCTGGCAGGTTTCAAAGGGGAGAGTACATTCCGAGGGAGCCAGGACCCTAGGCACAAAGCCTGGCTCCACCACTTACAGGCTCCTCAGGCCAGCACTTCCTCTGCTGCGTGGGGACCACAGGGGCAACTCCATGAGCTGACAGGCGGCAGCACAGGGATGCTGCCCACGCGGCACAGATGCTCATCAGTGAACTGTGGTCCTTCTCCCTCCCGGTTCCAGGCTCTCCCCACACAGCGGCTGGTGGTGCAGAGCACAGCCCCAGGTGGCAAGGGGGGCCAGGTCTCCCTGGCGGTGCACAGCACCCAGCAGGTGCACACACCCCCTGAGGTAGGTGCTGGCTCCGTTGGCTGCCTTTCCCTGCTCCTCTCTCCCCAGGTCACCCATTACCCCCAGGGCATATTGGGGCTCCTCCAAAGTCCTTGTTGACCCCAGGCAGGATGGCTTGACTACCTGACTCTTGTCCCTGCCAGCTGTGAACTGAGCCCAGCTCCCTAGGGAGGAGGGAGCCTCACAGCCCCAGCCAGGTCCTGTACTCCGGAGAGCAAAGTAGGCTCCCTTCCCTCTACAGGGCAGGTAGAGGCTCCTCTTTGGGCCCCAGGGTGGATTCTGCGGACTCTTGAACACCAGCGAGGATGTTGGAGGCATGCAGGCAGGCTGTGGGTGGCTGGGATCATGGGTGTTGGCACCACGAACTCAGGTCAGACCCTTGGCTCACCCATTTATTCCCAAGGGACTCTGCCCAGGCCCTTGGAGCCTTCTGCCCCCATGGGTAAAACAACTAAGGGCACTGAGTGCCCACTAGCTTGCTGTGGCACAGCGTGGCTCAGAGCTAGCAAATCAGTGCCTGGTGTCACCACTCAGAGCTACGTGGCATGTCCCTTCCCATCTGTGCCTCAGCACCTCATCTGGAAGGTGGGGAGTCCATCACCTACCCTTCCTCACCTCAGGGCTGCCGTGGCTCTGACCGTGGAGGCAGCAGGTGGGCCCTGAGCTGAGGCCAGACTCCTCCTGGTCATCCTCTTGGGGAGAATAGGTTCCCCCTGCCAGCACCTCTGGCTCGAACCCCAGCCTTGCCTGGGGTTGCAGCAGGGACTAGGCATCTGGATGTGGCCAGTTACCAGCCTAGGTGGTGGGACAGGCCCCCTCACTCCCCCCAACCCTGCCCCAAACAGGTCTCGGAGGCAGCCCTCCTGGGAAAGGTTACGTGCAGGCCCAGGTGCTCCAGACAATGCCCCGTGTCTCCTTCCCTTGCAGCGGTCGCCGGTGCAGGCCAATAGCGCCTCCAGCAAGACGGCTGGGGCCCCCGCGGGAACGGTGCCACAGCAGCTGCAGGTCCACGGTGTCCAGCAGAGTGTCCCCGTCACCCCAGAGGTGCCAGGCCAAGGCGGGTGGTGGCTGGGGTGAGGGGTCCTGGCTTCGTGGCCTCTGCAGCTTCTTGGGCCGTCTGTGGGAGCTGCAGTACAGAAGGCCAACGAGAATCAAGCAGATGGGGGCCTAGCCCCAGCTCACCACCGGGACCTCTGGCAAGCGCCTCTGCTTCTCACCAGACTCAGCATCCTTGGCTAAATAGTGGCTTCTGCCCTGGGGTCCTGCGAGCAGTGTGGTTTGAGGGTCTGTGGGGATGACGGGATGGCACCTAATACTGGGAAGAGCTGCAGAAAACAATTTTGGCCTCTTTGGGTCCATTTGCCTGGACGAAGCCCTGAGGGCATGTCCTGGCTTATCCCTGAGGGGCTCAGGGAGAGACCCCAGCCTCCAAATCCATGCTCAGCCTTCCGAAGGAGGCTGCACTCTGAGCCACCAGCCATGGCAGCCAGAGCAGGTTAAGAGGCAAGAGTTGTCTACCATCTGATTGTTACCAGTCAAGTCGAGGGGTTCCCAACCCTTGGAAAACTGGATGAAAGACATAGATCCTTACCCCAGATGAAAGAACAGACCTGCCCCGAGGGATTCATAGATACTCTCCTGCCTGGCAGCACAGTCCCTCTGAACCTTCCAGACCTGGATTTGAGTCCAGATCCACCACCCAGCACCGCTGCCCCCGTCCCGCACCCCACCCAGCCTCTGTCCCTATGCTGTGCCCTGAGGGTGATCCCCAGCATCTCTGCCTTAGCATGGAAGTGAGGACAGTCAGCACTGTGGACCTGGGAGTGCAGAATAACCCCTGTAGGGAGTTGCGGTGGAAAGCAGTGCCTCCCTCAGTCAGTCCCAGGTTCATCACTTATCGTTAGCCTCACCTTGCAGAGCCTAGGATCCCACACTTGTAACTGGGTGCCAAAGTCAACATGGTTCCTGGAAAATAGTTGGTTGAGGGCTGGCAGTGAAAAGCCAGAGAGTGGCAGCCTCCCCACACCAGGCAGGGAGTGGGTACTTAGGGATGAGTGGGAAGCCATCATCGCCACGGTTGCCACAGCCTGACCCGCCTTTCCCTCCCCAGAGGTCTGTGGTCCAGGCCACTCCACAAGCTCCCAAAACTGGCCCCGTGCAGCAGCTGGCGGTGCAGGGACTCCAGCCAGTCCACGTGGCTCAAGAGGTGCGTGCCTCCCCCACTTAGCTCCCCATAAACTAGGGCTGGGCTGGGGAGGGGGTGCAGGACCCTCAGGCCCCAGAGAGGGAATGGCGCTACCCGGGGGAAGGAACATGCTAAAGGGTCCCAGGCAGCTGGAGCCTTCAGGGCCCCACCCCCGCCCACCCAGGGCTCCCGGGGCTCCACCTCTGGCTGTTGCCTGCAGACCCGGGCCCGAACTCTTCCCAGTTCCCCTCTCCCGACACCTGGCAGTTCAGGGACCAGGTTTGGCTAAGAGATGTGGATTCTTCCCTCCCTGAGGCACGGGCGGGCAACTTTGGTTGGGCTGCCGTGAGCTCAGCGGCCCGATGGGCGGCGGAGGCCTGGAGCCCCGCCCGCGGCCGCCCCCGGTAACCCCCCAGTGTCTCTGTTTGTCCTCCAGAGCTCAGGCAGTCAGTTTCCCGCTAGGAAAGCAGAACAGCAGCAGGATACCCGGCCCACGCCGCCGCCGCTTCGGCCCGCGAGCAGCGGCGAAGTCCCGCAGCTAGGCAGCCCCGAGCCGCCGCCGCCCCATTGCGAGCTGCGCGTAGAGCAGTGGGTGGAGCTGGTGGGCGTGCTGCCCCCACACCTGCTCCTGCCGCAACAGAAAGTGGTCCTCGAGCCACTGCCCGGGTTCCCGGCCCGAGCCAGCCCCGACCAGAGGGTCAGGACCCAGAGAGTCCCCCAGGTGCTAGTGTTCAGCACGGCTGCCACGGCCCTCAAAGGGCGAGGGACAGGGGGCGGGCGGGGGCGGGATCCGCTGGCCCGCGCCCGGCCCCCGGCCGCCCGCCAGGCCCCATAGGTCCTGTAGACCCCACCCCCGCCCGGGCCAGTCTGGGGACCCGCCTCTGACCCCTAAAGCGGATTCCAGGTCCCAGGCTTAACCCCGACATAGAGTAGGGGGTGTAGGGGGCGAGGAAGTCAGTCCCCGCCCCTAGGGCCCTGTCAGTGGTTGCAGGTTTTGCCCCACAAACCGGGGCCCTAGCCCCGCCCCTTACATCCTGTGCACGGGTTCCAGGCCCCTCCCCTGCAGATAGGGGTCCTTCCCTTATTCAGGCTTCACCCATGAGTCTTTGTCGTTCGGGGCTCCAGATGTAGCTTTAGCGACAGCATTGTCTCAGTGCTTGGCTCTGTCCCTTGGGGACCAACTCTCATGCCCACAGTAGGACTCTCTCTTGGGTCCCCTCCACCTACCTTAACCCCGGCCCCGCCTGTGCAGCCCCCAGCCCAAGCAGAGCCCTGGCTTCTCCTAACACAGTTCTGCCTAATTCCCTTCCCTGGCCAAGGCCACAGCCCTTGGGCCTCTGACCCCTGGCCCCACACAGGGTGTGTGCAGAGAGCCCAGAAGTGCAGCCGGGGAGCCAGGTGTCCGGGCTAGCTTGGGCAGCTACCAGCCCTGAAGAGGCAGACTCCGAGGAGCCAGCCCTCCCCTGACCGTGGGCGTGCCTTTACTCCCACGCCAGGTGCAGCAGCTCCAGCAGGTGCCTGTCCCACACGTGTACTCCAGCCAAGTGCAGTATGTGGAGGGCGGCGACTCCAGCTACTCTGCCAGCGCCATGTGAGTTGGCGGGGCACTGGGAAGGATGGGGGAAGGGCCTTGGGGTGGCTTAGGACCCCCTCCCAGGACTTGAGGCCTCAGCCCCAGGCCCCAATGGACCAGCCAGCCTTCAAGGCCCCAAGTGACAGGTGGTGGCTGCTCCCCAAAGGTGGCCAGCAGTCACCAGGCGGGGCAAAGCAGAGGGGACCTGGCAGGTTGGAAAAGGCATCCCAGTTTAGCTTGGGGCTTTGGAGTCTGATGTGCCTAGTTTATAGCAAAACCAAAAAAACTAGTTTTTACAAGATAAAAATTTCTAAGTAATAGAGAATATTAAACAGTGAAAAAGAAATCTCCTTTACTCCTGACCCTCAACTTTATACCAGAGGGGATGCTGCAACCTGTTTTTGTTTCCTCCTGGTGATACTCAGAGAAGAAACAAGCCCCCTTTTATTGTTCTGAAATGGAGGCAGCATGTGCTGTCCCTTATTTCTTCCCGCTCGAAGTATCTCCAAGCTCTGCCCCTGTCTGTCCACGTGGGCCCCAGTCACCCTCTTTAAGCACCAGCCATGTAGGGCTCCACTGTGTAGATGTAGCATGAACAGTGGGGCCAGTGCCCACCTGGACGATGCCTGGGTGACTTCTCCCTGGTAACACACATGGCACAGCATTAACAGTGCCGAATCAGGATGCCATGCCCTAGGCCTGCCCTATCCCTGGCACTGGCCCCTTCCTGCCCTTTCCCATCCTCCCTCATAATAATTCCAGGACTATAGTTGTTTCAGATTTTGGAAGTTGCATTTGGCTTTCTCTGCACTTGTCTGATTTTTTTCCTCCATTCCCATTACCTGTCCCTACGGGCATGATACTGGTGGTGGAGCCGGGATTAGCTCATGGTACAGCAGAGTCCCTGCATCATGAGACTGAGGCTGACCCTGAGGGGCATGACCCCACACTTGAGTCATGGTCCGTGGCACTCAGCTACCTCACCATTCCGTTGATTTATTTCCAGAGGTGCCAATCTCTTAGCCATGCATTTGACCAGGGCTGGCAAGGACCACAGAGGTCATTCCAGAGAGGAGAGTGGTCGCCTGGGGCCCCCAGGGAGGTTAGAAGTAGAGCTGAGCCCCAGTCCCAGCCTTGGGGTGCTAGGTTGGCTCCTTCTGCCTGCCCTGGCAGCATCCATACTTTGCTTCTGTCAGAATTCTTCCCTCCATGACAGTAAAGTACATGTGATCACACGCAGTGCATCGCTACCACCATATTCTTCTGCTATGTGACTTTCATGGGGGCACTGTTTCCCTCTTTGTCCCTCAGTCAGTGCTTACTGGGTTCCCAGCCCTTTGCCGTCTGGATCTCCACCCTGGCCAGAAATCACAGCCCCTGTGCCTCTGTTCCTGGGTCTGTCCAGGCTGAATGCAGGGACACACATTCGTTTTAGTCATTTGGCAAATAGCTATCAAAGCAACGTTTTTGGAGCACATATTGCATGGGAGGCTCTGGGCAGGGCCAGCAGTGGTCCATGCCTGGGGGTGTGTGGTGGGGGTGCACTTGCAGGTGCCAGCTCAGGTCACATGCTCTCCACGTCACTCAGTGTTAGCTCTTTGGCAGCTGTGGACCAGTGTGCAGTGATCAAGAGCTGCTTCCTGGTGTCACATGGGCAGGGCTGCTCACCTTGGGGGACCATGCTTCCATCATATCTGCCCCTCCCAGGTTCCCTCCCTTCAGGGGATTTGATTACTCCAGCAGCACCTTCTGAGCCAGGCCTGCCCTTTCAGACTAGGTCCCTTTCTTGGCTTTTAAAATTTAATGTTTTTAATCACACACCAAGAGGGTTCAAAAATCAGAACTGTTCAGTGACATCTAATGAGACACTTGCCCCTCTCCATAGGGCCTCCACCCCCATGGATGGCAGGTGTAGGGATAAAGTGTGGCACAGGCCCCCCCACCACACACACACCATCCTCACCTTTATTCACCTACAGAATGTTCTGGAGCTGCTTCTTCAGCAGGACCTCAGAACCTTCCTCCTCCTTCCCCCGCCTTACCCCTGTGTAGGATTCCATCCCTTTCTATTGTACAGCCCAGCCCTCTAAAAATGGGTCCCCAGTTGTCTTTACTCTCCTGCTACAAATTGCAGCCTGAAGCGTGTTTCACCTGACGCGGGTCCTGGGATCACTGAGGACTGCCCCGGGTGGAACGGCCGCTGCACCAAAGACAGCGCCTCAGCAGTCTCACAGCCAAGGCCAAACAGACCCTCAGGGTGGCCCCTGGATGTAGACAGAGAAGCCCGGAACATCCACTCCCCTGGGGCCAGGCCTTTCTGTCCACAGTGCCTAGAACAGTGCCCAGCAAACAGCAGGCACTCATTTTTTGATTGAGTGAAGTGTGTTGCCTCCTGCAAGTTACCTCGCTCTTCCCTCTGGGTTTCCTCGCGGCTGAGGCGGGGACTCCCATATCAGGCTGCTTTGAGGAGTACATGAACACTTGCCTCCCATCGCGCACCTGGGCTGGTGCCTGGTCCAGCGTAGGTCAGTGTTGGCTGCACCGGGCTGCTGTTTCCCACCTCCCTCCTGAGACCCCCACTCCTGCAGGAGCCCCCTCCGTCATGTCCCTCTGCCACTCACCTGTCACTCCTGACTCCCTCCCTCTGCTTCTCTTTCAGCCGCTCCAGCACCTACCCCTACCCCGAGACGCCACTGTACCCGCAAACAGCGGGCACCAGCTACTACGAGGCAGCGGGCACGGCCGCCCAGGTCAGCACACCCGCCACCTCCCAGGCGGTGGCCAGCAGTGGCTCCGTGCCCATGTATGTGTCCGGCAGCCAGGTTGTCGCCAGCTCCACCAGCAGCGGGTCTGGGACCAGCAACAGCAGTGGCAGTGGCAGCGGGGGCGGGGGTGGCGGGGGCGGCGGAGCAGGCACCTACGTGATCCAAGGCGGCTACGTGCTGGGCAGTGCCAGCCAGTCCTACTCCCACACCACCCGTGCCTCGCCAGCCACGGTAAGTGCCGGCTTGCGCCCCCACGTGGTGGGAAGTCCTGTGGGGAGGTGGTCACCAGCCACCATCAGTGGGACCTGGGTTGCCTGGCACCAGAGCACTTGGATGGAGATGGCCTGTGTGGCCTCAGACAAGTTACCCAGCCTCTCTGGGCCTCAGCTAATAAGCACAAAGCTCATAGCACAGTGCCTCAAGCCATGTTGTCTACTCTGACTATAATTGATGGTGGCGGATAGATAGCAAGGGGGGAGGAAGAGGCAGGCACCAGCACGGGGGGAGCTACCCAGAGCAAGATTCCTTGCCCATCTGGAAGGCAGCCAGATGACCTCCCTCTACCCAGAGGCAGCTGTGTGGAGTCAGACAGGCAGCCCTGAGTCCTAGCAAACTGAGCCCCTTACCAGCTCCTTGGCCGCGGGAGGGTCAGGGCTTGTAGTCCCCAGGTGGTCCCCGTCCGCTTTGAGCTTGGGGTCTGGACCAATGGCTTCCTCACACTTTTAATGACCACCTGGGGCATGGCAGCCCACTGTGGGCAATGTAACCAAGCCGGAAGCTTCCTCAGAAGGCAGGCCCTCTCTTATGCACCCATGCAGCCTGGCTCCTAGTCTCTCTTAATGCTGGTTGTGACCCACCTGTTTTCATGATCCCTTACTGGGTCCTCACTTGCAGTTTACAGACATGCGTCCCTAGAACACTGCTGTCCGATAGAATGTTCTCGGTGGTGGAAACGTTCTCTCTGAGCTGCTCGATACAGAAGCCTCTAGCCATATGTGGTTGTTGAGTGCTTGAAATGTGGCTGGGGTCACAGAGTTGACTTTTTTGGTTTTTCAAAACCATTTTGATACAACTGTAGATTCACAGGAAGCTGCAGAAATAGTACCAAGATCCCTGTAGGCCCTTCCCCCAGGTTACCATGCTGGCTACATTCTGCATGACTATAGTAGTACTGTGTCCAGCCAGGAAACTGGCCTTGGCACAGTGTGGGTGTTCTACTCTGTGTCTTCTTATCACGTGTGTAGATTTGGGAAACCACCACCACAGTCAAGACGCAGGACTGTCCCAGCACCACAAAGATCTGCTAACCTCCCCTAGTCACCCCCACTCTCCTCCCGCCCAATGTCTCTAAGCCCCGGCCACCACTGTTCTCCATTTTTGTAATGCTCTCATTGTGAGAATGTTCTACGAATCATACTCCATGTGACCTTTTGACATGGACTGTTTCCACTCGGCATAAATTCATTTAAGTCTGTGTTTAAATAGTGGTATGTGGCCTGCGGTGACTGCTGGATAGTTCAGTTCTAGAAAGTTCCATGGAATTTAGTGCCCATGAGTAGTCATGGTACACCTTTCCCTACAGCATGGTTGCTAGGACCATGGTTGGAAATAGGTATAGACAGCACTTGGCAACAGGGACTCAGAATCAATTCTTAGTGCTCTTCTGTCCCTGCTCTGGTCCTAGGTCCAGTGGCTCCTGGACAACTATGAAACGGCCGAGGGGGTGAGCCTGCCACGGAGTACCCTCTACTGCCACTACTTGCTGCACTGCCAGGAGCAGAAGCTAGAGCCTGTCAACGCTGCCTCCTTCGGCAAGCTCATCCGCTCCGTCTTCATGGGCCTACGCACTCGACGTCTTGGAACGAGGTGGGGCTGCCTGTCCCTGACAGCCACAAGACCAACCCCCACCCCAATCTTAAGGGGCCCCAGCTCCCCTGTTATGCCCTTGCTCACTCTGCTCTGGCCCACTGGCCTCTTCAGTGCAGGGCTCCTCTGACACCTGCACACTTCCACCCCAGGGCCTTTGCACTGGCTATGCCTTCTGCCAGTGCGCTTCTCCATCTTCTCACTCAGACGTCCCTGGCCCCATGAAGAGAAACTGTAGCCTACCTTCTCTGACCTCCCAGACACTCCTCATCCTGCCCCTTTCCCTGCTTACTCTTTCTCCTTAGTACTTAGCAGCACCCAACATGCCTTTCCTGTCACTTATGTGTCTTGTTTCTGATCTGTCTTCCAATGCTGAAGTGCAGAGACCTTGGGAGTTCAGGGGCTGCACACAGTCGCTGCTTAAGCAGGGCCTTCAAGTCAGTGAATTCACATAGGAATGGACAAGGAGCCTTCCCACGAACCTACGCCCCCCATCCCTTGCAGCCCCCACACCTCCCCAGTCTGACCCCTGCTCACCTCTCAGCTCCAGTTCCCACCTGAGGGTCTCCTCATTCATTCATACATGCAAAGTTTGGGCAAAGGAGTGTATCACTCTGCGCCTTATTTCATCTGTTCACCGAGGATGCTTGGTGCACCCTCCAAAGGGTAGGGACGAGGAACACATGGGTCGGAATGTGCTCAGTGCCTGGAACAGCACACCCAGCACGCTGTTAGGACTAAGAGTCCACAGATACCTGCTGAGTGCCTGCCCATGTCACGATCAGGGTGCAGGAGTGACCCAGATACTGGCCCTGTCATCACAGCTCTGTCACCCCCAGGGGCCTGTCCTGGCACCCACAGCCGCTGTGCTTCCCCAGTGCTGTCCTCCGAGCAATGTGGGACACAGGGCCCGTTCCCAGGCCCTGTTGGGCCTCCCACACAGTGAAGGCAGGTGTGACAGCCAGTGCCCCCACCCAGCCCACCCTCACCCCTGTGTCCTCCCAGGGGAAACTCTAAGTACCACTACTACGGCCTGCGTATCAAGGCCAGCTCGCCCCTGCTGCGGCTGATGGAGGACCAGCAGCACATGGCCATGCGGGGCCAGCCCTTCTCGCAGAAACAGAGGTAGGCGGGCAGGCTCGCTCCCGTCCTGGCGGGCGGGGAGGGGCATGCTGGCCCCGTCCCCCACCCAAGGCCCTCCACACTCCCTCTCCCCCAGGCTCAAGCCCATCCAGAAGATGGAGGGCATGACCAACGGCGTGGCAGTGGGGCCACAGCAGGCCGCCGGGCTGTCGGACATCAGCGCCCAGGTCCAGCAGTACCAGCAGTTCCTGGGTGAGCACTCCCAGCCTATGGGAAGGGGTCTGCGGTGCCCAGAAAGCATGTAGGTGATTCATTTGCCCAACTTGAGCCTTGTCATCCCCCAGTACACATGGGGGACACCTCCCTGGTAGGAAATTGGTGTCAAGTTAATGGGATCCCAAGGAGAGGCTTGAAGGGGGCAGGCAGGCTAGGGTCAAAGGGTCTCATGGTGTTCCCGCCTGCCCCCCAGATGCCTCGAGGAGCCTCCCTGACTTTTCAGAGCTTGACCTCCAAGGCAAAGTGCTGCCTGAGGGCCTCGGGCCTGGGGACATCAAGGCCTTCCAGGTCCTGTACCGGGAACACTGTGAGGTAAGGCTGCTTGGCAGGCTGGAGGGCAGGAGCAATGGAGGGCTGCCCTGGCCACTGCCCCCCTGAGCATCTGGCCTCCCCAACAGGCTGTTGTTGACGTCATGGTGAACCTGCAGTTCACCTTGGTGGAGACGCTGTGGAAAACTTTCTGGAGGTACAACCTCAGCCAGCCCGGTGAGGCACCACCACTGGCTGTGTGAGTCCCACGGGGCAGGGGGAGCACCATGAAAGTCAGCACTGAGGGCTGGGGTGACTGGACCTTAGGCATCATGGGAGGGGGGTGCCTGCCTGACTCCGGCTGTTTGTGGGGTACACACTGCCTTCTGACCTGCCCTGCAGAGTGGGAGTGTATCAGTGTGACTGATGCTCAGTGTGTGGGATGGTATGCCCCACCAAGCCATTCCTCCAGCTCACCCTGGGGGCATTGGGGCCTGTGGCAGCCCAACTTTTGGAGTCTGTGGAAGGCAGGGAACTGCCTGACTCTGGGGCCGGGTGGGTACCCACAGGCACGACGAGGCTGAGAAGCGGCTGCCCAAGGCCAGCCTGGTGCTCCTCTCCAAGTTCGAGCCTGTGCTGCAGTGGACCAAGCACTGTGACAACGTGCTGTACCAGGGCCTGGTAGAGATCCTCATCCCGGATGTGCTGCGGCCCATCCCCAGTGAGTGCAGGGCCACCCGCATCCACTGCTCACAACCCCACACCGCCTCAGTCCTGATCAGCCCCCACTGTCGCGCACAGGTGCCTTGACCCAAGCAATCCGGAACTTTGCCAAGAGCCTGGAGAGCTGGCTTACCCACGCCATGGTGAACATCCCCGAGGAGATGCTGCGAGTGAAGGTGAGGGGGCGGGGCACGAGCGAGGGGAGGGGCAAGGTCTTTGCGGGGCGGGGAACTGACTGGCGGCTCTGCCCTCAGGGCTGGGGTCTTAGGATCTCTGCCTGACAGACTGTAAGATTTGCCCTGACAGCCTGTCCCCTTTGGGGTAAGACTGGGCGTTGTCCTTCCAAAGCGACTTCCTCAGGGGCCCACTTCTGAAACAACCCCTTTGTGGTATTTTTATATGCAACAACACAGCATCTTAAAAAAATAAAAACCAAATGCAAACTTGAAATGGTTTTCTTCATATAGCTTCTGTAGAAAGTGCTTTCGGTGTTCAGAGATAGATAAAATCTTAAAATAAAATAAAAGCTACATCTATAAGGAGGCAGAGCAGAAGCCCTCTGCTGCATATTCGCTCTCTACTTACATGCGAGCAATTAGATGGCATATGCTTGGTCTTGAGAGAGAGAAAAAAAGTAGAAAGCGGGGTGGGGAGCTTGGTCCTTAAAATGCTAACAAGACAGCTAAACAGAACTAGATGTCTGAAGACTCACCTCTGGGTGCGCTGGACACAGGGCTGGGGTCTGGCCTGTGGAGAGCAGAAGCTGGATCCAGGGGGGAAGTCTTCAGAACTGGCAAGACTGACACATTTATTCAACACGCGTTTACTAAGCACCTACTGTGGGCCAGCATGGTTCTCAACACCACGGCGCAGCAATGACCGGGATGAACAAAACCACCCTTGGAGATGATATTCAAGGGAATAACAATCCAAAAGTGAAAAACGTTTATGGAAACAAGCCCCTTTCTGGGCAGTGCCCTCCGAGACTTTCTATTGTGTCCCTTTATTAAAACAAATAATGCTGTCCAGGCACATTGTTCTTTTGACCCACACTTTGGGTGGCAGGACACCCCACCCTTTTAGGGCAGAGAAACTGGCTCAGGGAGTTATAGTGGGTGGGGCGCGGGACAGCGGGGTTGGGTCCGACGGAAGCTATAAACCCCGGCCCCGCAGGTGGCAGCGGCCGGCGCCTTCGCGCAGACCCTGAGGCGCTACACATCGCTCAACCACTTGGCGCAGGCGGCACGTGCCGTTCTGCAGAACACCGCGCAGATCAACCAGATGCTAAGCGACCTCAACCGCGTGGACTTCGCCAACGTGCAGGTGAGCGCAGGGCCCGGCTGGTGAGCTTCGGGAGGCCTGGCGGCGGGGGAGGCCCCGAGGCGCAGGCTGAGTCGCAGGCGCCCGCCACCCTCTGTGCCCCAGGAGCAGGCCTCGTGGGTGTGCCGCTGCGAAGACCGCGTGGTGCAGCGGCTGGAGCAGGACTTCAAGGTGACCCTGCAGCAGCAGAACTCACTGGAGCAGTGGGCAGCCTGGCTGGACGGCGTCGTGAGCCAGGTGCTCAAGCCCTACCAGGGAAGCGCCGGCTTCCCCAAAGCAGCCAAACTCTTCCTCCTCAAGTGGTCCTTCTACAGGTGCGCGGGGGCCGGCCGGGGGCCGGAAGGGCCTGGGGAGGCCCCTCCTTCAGGGGCGGGGCCCTGGAAGACCCGTCCCATCCGGGAGCAGACCCTGTTAGGACAAGAAGAGGCTCCACCTCCCCGAAACGGGCGGAGCTAGGGAGTGTTCAGGTGTTCAGAGATAGATAAAATCTTAAAGATTTTATCGAGGTGGCGGGGACTAGGGGAGGGCCCAGCCTGTTCGGCAAGGGTGGGACTGGAGAAAGCCCTGCCCTGCCGCGAGGAGCGGCCCCCTTTTTCTGAAGGCGGAGGTTCTGCAGGCGGCGGGCGGGGCCGAACGTGGTTGCTGGGGTCCTAGCGGCGAGGAGGGGCGAAGGGTGAGGCCGGCCCTGATGACCTCATCCCCGTCCCCGCTCCCAGCTCCATGGTGATCCGGGACCTGACCCTGCGCAGCGCCGCCAGCTTCGGTTCCTTCCACCTCATCCGGCTGCTCTACGATGAATACATGTACTACCTGATCGAGCACCGCGTGGCTCAGGCCAAGGGCGAGACCCCCATCGCCGTCATGGGAGAGGTGCGCCCGGCGGGGCGCGGGGGCGCGGGCGGGACACCCCTCGGCGAGACTCTCACCCCTTTTCTTTACTCTTTGCAGTTCGCCAACCTGGCCACCTCACTAAACCCCCTGGACCCCGACAAAGGTGAGCGGGGCGCGACCCTACTCAGGGCCCGGGTCCGGGGTGGCGGACAAGGGGACAGGGTTGGGAAGTCCCACGCCCCGCGCTGAGTCGGGCCCGGTCCGTGTGCGCAGACGAAGAGGAGGAGGAGGAGGAGGACAGCGAGGACGAGCTGCCGCAGGACATGGAGGCCCTGGAGCCGCCGGCCAAGTTGGCTCGGACTGACGCGCGCGGCCTCTTCGTGCAGGCGCTGCCCTCCAGCTGAGCCTCCCCAGCCCCGCCCCCGCCGCCCCTCCACGCCAGGGCCCCTCGCAGCTTCCGTGGCTTCGTTGTCACCGCCCCGGCCTCGGCCAGGGCAGGGAGGGGGCCTCCGAGGCGGGGAAGGCTTGGGGGTCCCAGCCCCGACGGGGCCGGCACAATCCCAGGGCCGCGCGGAGCCGCAGCTGCAAACTCTGACCCAAAAGACGTGCCTTAAGGAACCCGCCGCCTTGCCCAGCTGCCTTTTGGGGCAGCCAGCTCGGCCTCTAGGCCCCAAGGCTGCAGCCTCTCCCCCCACCAACCCCGCCCTCCGGCCACCCCAGGGGGCAGGCGGGCAGGCCCCCTCCCCTGCAGAACTGTTAACTTATTCAGCTCGCTGGCTTTGCACAGCCTGCCCTGAACCCAGCCCTGAGCCCCAGGTGGGCATCGCCTGGGAACTACCCCAGTCAGCAGCCCCGGGACCCCTACCCCAGCAACCCCACTGCTTCCCCCTCCTTGGTATAAGTGCAATTAAAGCCGTGGGTGTCGCATCTTCTCCAGAGCTGGGCCCTCCCTTGCTCCGTAGCCCTAGAGGGAGGGCACTGCCCCGCCTGGCTCGAGGAGGGCGGCAGGGGGTACCACCTCCAGCTTCCAAAGAACAGCAGGCCGGCCACGTGCGGAAGCCCGACGGGCCTGCTGCAGGCAGCGGGGGATTGACGTGCCCATGCTTGTTCGGGAAGGACTGGGTGCTCCACTCCCTCTGATCCAAGACCCCCGGCATCTCGGGCCCTCCCAGCCTCTGGTTTGTAATGGAACCTCCGCGCTCCTACTCCTCCTGGAGACGTGCTTCTCCTCCGTGCTGTGCGACTCCCGCCCCCCACATGACTATTGTGCGATTTGTGTGCCCCGCCCAAAGCGGAGTTGGTAACTTGTTGGGTTTTTTTCCAACCATCATGGCCTTATCTGTTCCGGTTTTCTCAAGTGTTTTCAACCCGTGAGATAGATGTTTATGGCAAAAACCAAGAAAAAAGCAAAAAAAAAATCTGACCTATTGTATAAAAATCACTATTTTGTGTGCTCCGCGTGCTACAGCTTTGGGGGTGGCCTGCCACACCCCCTTCCCCACCCCCTGGGGCCTCCCCTCTCCTGGCGGTGAAAGCGTCCACATGTGTGGTAGTCTAGTGTGCCGAACTGTTTTCTACCTTTTTGTAGTCTTTCTTAAAACAATAAATTCCGCTGTGATATTTAGCTATTGCTGACTGGCCGGGCATTGGGGCTGGGGGGCTCCGGCTGGGCTGTGTTGTGGCAGTGAAGGAAACTCGGTGAGGTTCAGAAATTAAACATTTATTACTTGAAGAATGACAAGTGGGGGTGGGGGGGTGCCCGTAAGGTTTGCCACCTCTGGAGGGGAAGGCTGGAGGCAGCCAGGGCAGTGGAATAGGGTCCATTTGACCTTGGGGTGGGGGGGGCAATGTCGGCACTTGTAGCCGAGGAAAAGGGCAAATGCGCAAAGAGCAAGGGTCTGTGCCCAGTGCGGGGTGAAGGCGGGCACGTGAGGCTGGTGGGGCAGGGGTCTCCCTCCCTCTGCCCCTTCCCAACTTAAATAGGCATAAATAAGAAGCATCCAGGCTCTCAGGCCAACAGAGGCTGCCCAGACCAGCCCCTTTCCCACAGCCTAACACTAGTGCCGGTCATCGGTCGGCCAGCCAGCTAGAAAGAGGCTGCCCAGAAGGCAGCCAGCTCCCAGGCCGCGGAGGTAGTTGGAGTCAGTGTCCAGGGTGGCCGGGCCCTCACAGCACAATCCATGTGTATCGTTCGCTGTCTGCCAGAACCTTCAGTGAACACCCTGCAGGGAAGGGTCAAGACAGCCATGGAGTCTCTGAGCCCAGCTGGGTGTAGGTGGGGTACAGAGAGCTGCCTCTTTCCCTGCCTTAATTTGGGCCCAGATTCCAGAAGGCAGGGCTACTGCTGAGTCACCTCTGGCTCCCACCTGCAGCCATGTGCTAAAGGTCTACTGAATGAATGGATGACTAGCTGGGGGCCCTGGATGCCACACCTGCCAGGCCCTCTCTGAGATGACCCTTGGGCTAGCTTGGCCCGCCCTCCCCTCATGGAATCTACTAGCATGCCAGCATGCTCATCTGTTCAGCAACCCTTTGGAAGCCGGTCCTGGCCTGGCCTGGCCCCAGGATGAGGCCCTCAGTCCTGACGGTCACCGGGTCACGGGCCCACCTTTGTGCAATGCCTCGTTGGTCATCCTGTTAACGTAGCGGCCACTGCTCTCAGGCACCAGCCACTTCATTACCATATCCACACAGCTCTTGCGGTATGAGCTCCAGACACTGCCACTGAGGACAATGGGGTGAGGGCTCATTACCCTGCCGCCCCACCTGCCCTGTCCCTGGGCCTGACCCCCAGCCCTGCCTCACCTGGTCTGCCCTTTAACTTCAGTGAGCTCACCCACGCTGACTGTCACAAAGGTGCCTGTGTTGAGGTCCCATGCTACCTTGAGGCTGGTGTGATAGGTCTTTGGTCTGCAGAGGGGTGGGGAGCAGGAGAAAGGATCCCTGAGCTCAGACCCAGGCTACCCCAAGGGGCTTTAGTCTTTGAAGCAGTAATGGAGCACCCCATGCAGGTTCCAGGGCCAGGGGCAGTCTCCTCACATCCCAACTCCAGGGCCTTGAGCATAGCCTGCAGGGTGAGGATGAGAGCAGGGCCCCTGCCCACTCACCGGAGCTGGCCCTCCTCCGTGGGGGACGGGAACGCCAGTAGCAGCAGGCCGATGTTGATGAGGACCTGGTTGGTTTCTGGGCAGACCTGGGGGGTGGATGGTGAACGCTACTGAGTGACCCCCAGAATGGGAAGGCCCTGGGCCTGCCTGTCCCACCCCTGGGCCCACCTCCAGGATGACGATGTCATAATCACTGAAGGAACAGAACTGGTGGCCCCAGGTGGCATCATGGCGAATGACCTCATTGATGACGTATTCAAAGTCTAGTGTGAGCTGCTCCACTGTCAGGTACTGACCCTGTGGGCGGTAGGCAGAGGAGCAGGGGGGCACTGCACCAACTCCCACCCCTGCTGGTCCAGGGGCCGCTGAGGCCCCTGTTGCTGGCACCAACCTGAGCGGCAGCCCGCTCCCTCATGGGCCGCAGGTTGTGTCCACGGAGATCAGTCACCACAAAGGGCAGGGAGATCTTGTCATCCTCGAACTCTGAGGGGAAGGCGTGGTCGAAGGCCTGGCTGCCCCCTTGGGGCCAGCCTCCCACACCTGGGGTCCTACCCAGTGGCGGGCTCCCCACTCACCATCCTCTGGTTCCGTCCCTTCGCCAGACCCCAGCACATAATACAGCTTCGTGTAGTTGACATAGCCGGGCTCAGGAGCCAGTGCCTCCGCTGCAGGGGGGCTGTCCCTGGGAACCACCTCCCCACCTGGGGCTAGGGGCTCAGAGGACAGGCGGCAGCGGCTGCCTGAAGGCCCTGGACAGGGGGGCGGCCGGGCTTCCTCCAAGGTCCCACCCTTGGCCTCTTTGGCCCTGCGGAAGATGTCAGCCACAAACTCCTTGGCTTTGGCGATTGCGGGTGAGGGCTCAAGGGCTCCAGGGGACTGGGCTGGGGCCACCTCAGGGCAGACACTGGGGAGAGCAGGGGCCACCTCTGGACTCCGGGGCCCAGGTGGGCTGGGAGGGGCTGAGGGGTAGGAAGTGTGATCATATAGAATTTGGCAGAAGTTGCTGTCGCCTAGAACAAAAAAGGCAATGGAGATGGGAGGAGAGGTCAGTAAGAGTTCAAGACTAGGACAATCTCCCAACCTCCCTCATTGCCCTGGGGGGTAATTTGTAGAAATGTTTCCTGAGGAGACCCTTCTATAAGACACACAAACCTATGCTGAGAGATCAGTCTGAATCACCTGAAGGGAACAAGACCTTTCTCACACACATGCACGCACCCAAGTGCATAAACACACTTTTGTTCAAACCTTATTCCTGAGCACCTGCTGTATACCAACACTGAAAACACAGGAATGGACAAAACAGACAAAAAATCCCTGCCCTTGGGGAGCTGACAATCTATGGTGACAACAGATGACAACCTCACAAGTGAGTTCGAGAGTCTGCGACACAGATACAGCCGTCTGTCCTCCCCACATCAAGCCAGACTGGCTGAGGCAGAGACTGACCAAATCCTGGGCCTCGGCCTCTGCCCGATTAGGGGCCAGACCCCCTCTGGGGAATGTGGGGTCAACACAGACAACCCCAACATGTTTACCAAGCAGTACCATGGTGGACCTGGCCTGTGCCTGTACGACCTCCTTCGGACTCCCCACAAGCCACCCTGGGATGGGGGGGAATGCCCTGCTGGTTCAGAGACTCAGGACCAAGGCTCAGACAGAAACGTGTCCAAGGTCACACACAAGATAATGCACGTTGCCGACGCAGTGCTATCCGCGAGAGTGGAGGCACTTCCGGGGGAGGGCCACTGACTGTGGAAAATGGCTGAATCAAAACCCTCCACCTTGTAAATATCCTCCTAGGATGAGATGAGCATTAGACATGGACAATGGTGCCCTTCCCCCGGGCTGTGGGCACAGGGCTGAATCCTGTCCCTTGTGGGCCTTCCGAATGGGACCGCTGTCTGAGAGGGCAGGAGGCAGTAGGCCTCTCTAGGCCCGGCCCTCTGGGGGTTCACGGCAAAAGGCAGAGCCCTGTCTACACCATCGCAGGCAGGAAGCCTCTGGATGGGCCTGGGGCCACGGCACCCTAACCCTTGCTGCTGTGTGGCCTGAGCAATACACATTTCATAGTAGCGAGCAGGTATCTTTGTATTTGACTGGGTTCTTGCAAAATTGGAACCTATTTTTAATTTACAAATAAACCACATCCGTGTTTACTTATAGACCTCCTGTGTTTTGTCTTGCATTTGAGCACATCTTTAAGGCACACTCTATGGACATGCATGCTGAAGCACTCACTGGGCCTGCTGATCTGGGGGATCCCCAGGGATGGACGCCAGGCTGCCCAGAACATGCCCATGCACACGGCTGCCAGGCCAAGGTCACACTGTTGCCCCAGGACCCTGTCCCCACCAGCCAGTGGCACTACTCTGCTTCTCAACATCTGCCACACCCTTGTAGAGGGACATCACCTTGTTCATTCGTTAGCATTTCTCCAATCACCAGAGATGTAAGACAGCCCTCTGTCTGCCAACCACTCCCTGAATTGTTTGCTTAGCATTTCTCTTTGAAGAGAAAGAAGCACTGTGCTGTCCAGCATGGTGGCCTCTGGCCACATGTGCCTATTAAATGTAACTAAAGTTAGATAAAATTTTAAAACTCAATCACACTAGCTGCTTTCAGGTGGCTACTGGCAGCAGCTATAGTGAACACTACAGATACAGAACATCCCTGCCCTGTGGGCAGTCCTGGTGAGCAGCACAAGCACGCGTGGCTGAGTTTTCACTCACATTCCCACTTCCTGCTGTGTGACCATGGACGGGGGTCTTCACCCTCATCTGTAATGTGAGGCAGTGACAGGACCGACTTGGGAGGGCTTGCCACCAACTTTGGTGTCGGCAGATCACAGGCCCTGAGGCGGACCCTGCATGCTGTGCTTTCGTCGGCCAGGGGCCTACCTGCTGAGTGGACTGAGACAGCACAGGCCACCAGGGAGTAGCTGGTGTTGAGCAGCACCACCTGGTCCTTCTTGAGCTGGAAGGCAGGCTGGAAGGTGGGGAAGGGGTAGACCACCTGGTACTTGGTGTGCAGCATAAAGCCGTGCCGCAGGCACTGAGCGCTTGGGTCGCCTGCAACGACACATGCCACACGGGCTCACTCAAGGCCCTGGGGCAAGGAGGTAGGCAGCCTGCAGCCCGAGGCCCCCAGCCCCTCACCTGGATGGGCCCGGCTGGCTTCCCGGCAGGCAGCACAGTGGCCCGGGGGCGGCACTGCCACGGTGCTGACATAGATGTCCCTGTGGTTCTCGTCACTCATCATCATCATGTTCATGAGCATCCCATTGGCTGAGCGGGTGCTGGGGGCCGGCACACCCTCAGCAGCCTGGTCCATGCACCCCCCCGCCCCCATGCCTGCAGAGATTCCCCATCCCAGGTCTCACTTGAAGCCGAAGACGATGACCTTGGAGGCATCGCTGGGCCACTCACACACGGTCAGATACAGGTCGCTGTAGATCTCCTCGTCCTGGAAGAGCCGGACCTGCCGGACCTGAACAGTGTGTTTGGGGTCAGCACAGGGCCCAGAGGGGGCCCACCCAAAGCTGCACTGTGCAGAGCAGGCAGGAGAACCCTCCTGAGGATGGCTCAGGCCAGGGAGTCCCAAGCCCCTTCTTGAGGACAGGCTGGGGAGGTGCCCCTCCCAAGGGGAGAAACAGGGAGGCCAGGCCCAGAACAGGGACACCAATGGGAGCCTTACCCCAACAGAAGGGACTCAGCCAGAACATGGGCTCCAAGCCCAATCCATCCTGATCCCCCTAAAACCTGGTCACCACTCTGAGCTCATGTGTAAACTAGAGTAATCACACTCATCTCCTGGGGTGGGGTGGGGGCGTGGGGGGTCAGGGTCAGGGATAGAGCAGGGCTGGCAGCCTGCTTGGTCCCAACAAAGCCAGGTCCCACCTGGCCTGAGCCTGCAATGTTCTATGGGTTGTATATGCTGAGTCGAACCACATGAAATCACCGCTATCTACCTACTTTCAACTCTGAAAACGGTAATTTCATATGGTTCAAGCTAACACAGCGTGTTGACAGTGACCCCACAAGTATGTGCTCTCCTTTTTACGGACCAGGAATCTGAGGCTCAGAGGAGTGCCATGACCTGGCCAAGTCGCCCCGCTGAAGGGATGGCCCGGCCTGGCCCTGGCCCTACCAGCTTGAGCTTGCTGTGGACGTTGAACTCCCACCAGTACAGGTGGTAGATGTAGAAGGAGAAGTCATCATCCCCGCTGCTGCTGGTATACGACAGCACATACCGGCCACACTTGGAGAAGCCCAGGAAGATGTGCCTGCAGGGTCAGGAGGGCAGGGCCACCAAGTCAGGGCCAACCCACCACCCCCTGCCCAGCCACCCCCCGCCTGGCCCCAGCCTCACCCTGCGTAGAGGAAGTCCTCATCCACAATGTTCTTGAGGGAGACACAGACCCTGGGCGGCAGCTTCCGGAAGAGGCGAGGGGAGAGCTGCCCACTGATCTGGGGAAGGGGCGGCCAGGGCTCTTGAGGCACCATCGGCAGAGGTTGCCTACTGCCCCCCCTAGTCCCCTCGCCCAAAGCAGAACAGCACCCTGGGATCCAGCCAGGCCACAGAGGCCCACTCCCTGCCAACCCTAATAGTGGGTGGGCGTTAAGGGTGGTCCAAGCTCGAGAAGGTGGGAATGGCTGGGAAGATGGACTGGTTGGACCTTACTTACTTGAGCCTCCCTCTCCAGGGACCAGGGACCCATGCCGCCTCCCAGCCCCAGGCTTCTTCAGCCTCAGAGTCCCTCTTACCCAAGACCTCAGTCTCTAAGGACCAGCACTGGCCTCACCTCCCCCAGGAAGGTTCCCCAGTCACCCCAGCCACCTGGCCACCTCCCTGAAGGCGTTCTCACGGAGCACTGTGCTGTGGGTGTCACCTACCGCTAAGAAGGCTGCGCTGGGATTGGGGCTTAACAAACCACACTTACCTGTCCTCAACCCGCTAGCCTAAACATGGGGTTCTCGGGCCCTTCAGGACAGCCCTGGCCTCAGCTTGAGCCCAGTTCAAAAAGACAGAAGGTGGGACTGTCCAGTGACCTTCCAATTCCTGGACAATTCTCCCTTCTCAATGTACACAGCCACCTTCCAGCTGACTCCCTCATCTCAAAAACTTCAAGAAGGATTTGGGGAGACAGGCAGGCACAGGCTGGAAGCTAGGGAATCAGAGCACCTGGGTCCTGCTACCCAGTCCTGCCCCCCAAGAGAGTCCAGTCTGAGAGAACAGCCCTGTCCCCCCAGGCTGACAGGCAAGGCACCATCCCTGTCCAAGGAGCTTCCAAGCTAAAGGCGGAGCCACGGCCCAACACAGGGAGCAACCAGGCTGAGGGCGGAAACCGTCCCTGCCCAAGGAGCTCCAGTCTGAAAGAGAACAGCCCTGCCTCGAGTTCCCAACCTAATGGAGAAGACGCTCTCCCTATCCACAGAGACACAGTCCTACCTAGATCGCTGCTGACCTGACAGCAGATTCTTATGCCTGCCTTCCCAGAGCTCCCAAAACTGACAGGGTAAAGATACTGGCACCCTGGGGGTTTACTGTATGGGGAGATAGAGCCCTGCTCAGGCAGCTAGTTCCCAGTCTGAGCGGCAAGACCAGGCCTTCCACAGGGAGCTCCCTCCCGTTCAACAGGGGAGGCCGACTCAGGTACAGGAACTCCCAGCCCCGGTGTGGTCAGTCGGGGCAGAGAGAGGAACACCATGCAGGGGAAGCGCACAGCCGGCAGCAGGGGCTCTGCCGAAGGGGCGGGAAGGCTCCACAACGGAGGGGCCACGGGAGCAGGGTTTTGAAAAATGAGTCAGACCCTGGATCACCCCCTTCCTCCTCATTCCTCCAGAGGCCACGAAGGACCTCTCCATCCAAGCCCCCTCCTCGGGGTCTCGCCCCCAGCGCCTCCATCCAGGCCCCCTCCTCGGGACTCCGCCCCCAGCCCCTCCATCCCACTCCCCTCCCGGGGTCCCGCCCAGCCTCCTTCAACCGAGCCCCCCCACCGGGGCTCCACCCCCAACCTCTCACCCCGCGAACACCCTCCCTCCCTCGCCTCCCTCGTCCCTTCTCCCCACCCTCTAGCGCGCTCCTCCCAGACTCCAGGCCTCACCTTGACTCGCTCCAGCTGCTTGAGGACGTGCTCCCGCCGCCGCCCCGCTGCCCGCTTCCCCCCGGCACCCCCGGGGCCGCCACCGCCGCTCCCGGCCCCGCTGTTCCGCTCCGATTTCGAGCTGGGCGCCATTTTCACCCCCTCCCTCCACTTCCGGAGCAACCGGCCTCTTCGCCCCACCCCCGCTGCCGCCTCATTGGCCCTTTCTTCGCACTGCGGCCAGCCGATTGGGTGAAAGCCCTCACTCGGGGCCTCTTCCCGCTGCGCCTGTCCATCACAGCCGCCTCAGCCCTTGATTGGCAGAAACGAAAGAGCCCGCCGTATTCCCGCCTTCCCACAAGGACGCACCTGTCAAAGGCCCCGTTTGTGCCCCACGCCGAGATAACTTTGACCCGATAGGTGAAAGGCTTTGTCCGTCTTGGCGGCATCACGCCCCCCTGTGGCTGGTGGGTTTCTATGGAAACCGCAGGCGGTCCAGGCTCTTGGGCGGGGCGGTGGGAGCCTGTGGTCTCTAATGGCCCGGAATCCCCATCCAGGGATGTGGGCGCCCAGTTCAGGTGCGCGGAGGCCTGGCAAGCATCCTGGGGGCAGCAGGCTGGGCCAAGAAAAGGGATTTGCAAAAAAATGATGATATTCTATTAAGAGATCCTTCAGATGGGGTGGGGGACGGCCTGGTGAGATTATGACATTGATAACAATCGTGATGAAATGATAGCAACAGTCACTAATACAGTGCTTTATGTGCGCCATACACGGATCTGAGCACGTGCTTAGCCAACAATTCTATGTGGCAGGTCTCTATCATGCCCTCTTTATAGATGACAGTAACATCGTCGAGTATCATCTTCACTCATTTTAGGTCATTTAATCTTCCCCACAGTTTTAGAGATAAGTCCGTTTATCACCTTCATTTTACACATGATGAAACTGAGGCTTACAGTGTAGCGCTGAGTACCTGGCACATATATCCCTCAGATGCGAGCAGCTGTGGCTGTGATCAGGACTTCATTCTCTGTATTCTTCCAGCCTCACACATTCATGTATACAAATATTTACTGAGCACCTACTGTGTTGCAAGCTGGGGATGAGGCAGTGAACAAGACAGATGATAAACAAGGAAATAAATTCCTGTTATCTAATTCCAAGTAGGATTCAATATCTGGGGGAAGGAAGAACCCTGCTTAGACAGGGCAGGGGAGGGCCCTGTAAAGGTGAGGAGGAGGGATACTCCAGCAAAGACAAAGGCTTCAGGGGCATGAGGGTGGCATGAGTGAGAGACTACAGAAAGCCAGCTGGGCCAGGTCAGGAATAAGCAAGGGGAAAAGTAGGCAAAGAAAATAGACAAGGACTGGAAACAGGTAGAGAGTGTATGGGGCTTGTAGGTAAGGAAGACACTTGGAGTTTACTCTTAACCATAAAGGAAAGGTTTTGAGTAGAAGATGATGGAATCTGATATGAGACTTAAAAAATAATTGTGGTCCAAAGAATTAAACACCTTGGAGTGCTCCTGGTATAAATAATGATTGAATAAATAAAGGCGGTGGGGAGAGACCAATCTTCCCAATAGAAGATATCCAATTAATAAATGTAGAAGGAATGAGGGAAATAGAAAATCACCATCAGGGAAATACCACAGTAATAATTGCAGCAGGCAAGATCGACCACTAATGTGAAAATAAGTGAATGAAACTTTAAGGAGAATAGGACATTCGCCCACCCTAAAAGTATCTCTCTTAAAATATTTATGAATTACTGGCAGTTTTTAAGTATATGTCCACAGATTATATATCCCAGATTTTAAGTATATGTCCACCTCCCTCCAAAAGGTGGAGGTTAATTCCCCTTGTTGGATATGGGCTGGATCTACTGTCTTGTGTCTAAGGAATAAAGGATGGAAAGGGAAAAATTAAGCTGACAGTGGAGAAACCTGGCAGACACCACCTCAACTAAGAGGCCCAGTTTATCATCACAGTGATCAGTCACGCGCATGGCCCCCTGATTTGAAGTGATGTGGACACAATTTTGTCCCTGGTATCATCCCCCAAACCCATCACCTCAATCTATTTCATGAGAAAACATCATATGTTTGTCCTAAATTGAGGGACATTTTATGAAAGATCTGACTAGAACACTTCAGAAGGTCAAGGTTGTGAGAAATAAAAAACAAAAAAGACCAAGAAACTGGCAGATTAGGGGAGTTGTAGGAAGCATAACAAAGAAATGCAATGAGATGTTCTGGATGGGATCCTGCAGGTCAGGACATCAAAGGGAAAACTGATGAAATTCTAATGAAGAGCGTAGTTTAGGGAATGGTATTGTGCCAGGGTTCACCTGTTAGCTGTGACAGACCTGCTGCGGTTGTACAACATGCGTCATTTGGGCAGTTGGGTGAGGGGTCAGCCAGAACTCTCTGCATCATCTTCATAAAAATGTCTTAGTCTGTTCAGGCTGCTGCGACAAAAATGGCAGAACTACAAACTAGGTGGATTTACAATAAACGCTTATTTCTCACAGGTCTGGAGGGAGGCTGGGAAGTTCAAGATCAAGATCCTGGCAGATTTGGTGTCTGGTGAGGGCCTGCTTCTTGGCTTGTAGATGGCTGCCTTCTCGCTGTACCCTCACACGGCACACACAGACACACACACAGGGAGAGAGAAAGCTCTGGTGTCTTCTTATAAGAGCACTGATCCTATTCAATTGGCAGCGAACGGCCCCACCTCCTGATACCATCCCACTGGGGGTTAGGACTTCAATATAGGAACTGCATGGGGTGTTGGGGGGAGGGTGACACAAACATTCCATCCATAGCACAAATCTTCTGTGCATTGAAATTATTTCAAAATGAAACATTTTTAAAAGAGTTGGGAGGCAGGTATTACGGGTGGTTTGGTTTAGGGGAAAGGGGGTGGCGGCAAGAATGGCCTCAGGGAGGCCAGAGGAGGAGGTGATGGTGGCTGGAATCCAGGCAGTAGAATGCAGACGGACAAAAGCGGCCATGTTCAGAGCCAGTGGGTCACACACTCACGGACTGGCTTGGGGTAGAGGCAAGAAGGGAGTTGAGGATGGCTTTGGAGCCTAGGCGGATAGTGGTGCCATTTTCTGATGTGGGGAGACCAGGGAGGAGCTGACTGGGGCCAAGTCAGTTGGACAAAAGGTTCCAATCCCTCTTGCAGACCCCAGGTCTTGGGAGAGCAGAGCCTTCCCCCAGGGCTGTTAGGAATCGGCACTAGGTGACTTACCAACACAGTGATCAAACTGCCCACCTCCTGGCAGTCTCAGGCCCTTTCAGCCAGTGACCTGCTTAACCAGAATGAAGGAAACCATGCAGGGGAACCCCTTATCACACTTTCCTGAGCCCAAGCTCCATCTATCCTAATGGAAGATACCGTGGGTCCATCATCCATTGTTGTATAATAAACACACCCTAATGCAGCAGTGTAAAACAATAGTAATCATTTGGTATTATTCTCTCTCGTGGTTCTAAGGGTTGACTGGGCTCAGCTGGGTGGTTCCCACATGGAGTCTCTCATGCAGCTACGATCATGGTGTCTGGGGACAAAGTCACCTTGAAGGCTTCCTCTTGCTTCATATGCTGGCCAGTAGCGGGACCTCAGCTGAGGCTGTCACTAGAACAGAACAGAACAGTCTGTCCACGTGTCTCCGGCTTCCTCACAGCATGGCAGCTGGGTTCCAAGGGTAAACGCCATAAGAGAGAACCAGAGCAATCTGTGTCACCTTTTACGAAGAGGCACAGAAATGGCATCATATCACAGCTACCAAATGCTGTTGATTGCATTAGTCACAAAAGTCCACCCAGGCAGGTTCAAAGGGAGGGATGAAGGGGCAGAAGGACACCTGCAGGAGAGAGAAATGTTCACTATCAACCATGGTGATGGTTTTGCGGGTGCATACATGTTAAGTTCTGGCACAATGAGTTTTGGCTCATTTCACTTTAAATATTCTTGTTCGTGGATAACTCAGCAACATTGTTTTAATTCAACAGCTATGCAAGGATATATGGTGGCAGGCCCTAGCCGCCCAGTTCTTCCCCCAGAGACAGCCAGTATCTTCTTTAACTTACAAAAATGATTAAATTATTAGCCTTGCTCTGTAACTTTTTTCTTGCAAATAAGCTCTACTCATACTGATCCATGTCATGGTTTGAATGGTGACCCACAAAAAGATATGTTGATGTCTTAAACCCGCAGAACATGTGATTATAACCTTATTTAGAAAAAAGATGTAATTAAAGATTTTAAGATAAGATTAAGATGGATGAATCAGGTGGCCTAAATCCAATGACCAGTGTCCTTATAAGAGACAGAAGAAGAGAAACACAGATACATAGACGCACACAGAGGACAAGGCCATGGGAAAACTGAGGTAGAGATTTCAGTAATGCATCCTTAAGCCCCGGAATGTGATCAATTGCCAGTAACCATCAAAGGCTGGAAACAAAGCAGGAAAGAAGCCTCCGGAAGAAACCACCTTGACTTTGGACTTCTAACCTTCACAAGTCCAAATAAATAATTTGGATTTCTGAAATGAATACCTTTATGTCATTGTAAGCCACCCGGTTTGGGGTCTTTGACTATGACTGCCCCAGGAAACTGAATATGTGCAGATGGAGCCCCTTCTGTATCCCAGACCTGGTTCTCTATTACTTTAATAGGACACATATATATATATATATTTTTTAATCTATTCCCCTCTTACGGGATTTTTTTCATTCGCTCACACAATGCATGTTTATTAATCACCTGGGATGTGTTAGGCACTGTTCTACGTGCTTGGGGACAGCAGTGACATTGGCCAAGTGCCCACCTTCTCGGTGGGGAGAAAGGAAAATGGACAATGGGCAAATATTGAGATCATGATGTGAGAAATCCCAGAAAGAAAAAATAAGGCAGGGAAGGTGTAATTCCCTCTGTGGGTAAAATTGTAACATTTCCAGAATATCTCACCTGGCTTTAGCGCATGTGCATATCCCCAGGGGTGGAGAGAAGGTCATCTCCTTGTCACTGGGTAATTACCTGGACAATGGAGGGTTTTTCTGTACCTGAGGGCGGTTTTCTTTTGCTGGAGCAGGAAATAGAAACAGCTCGGGACTGCAGCTTGTAAGCAATAAAGGGATTTTAAACTTTATTTCTCCCTTGGACTGATTTCGGTTTTTAGAGGTATTTTGCTCCGGGATTTCCTCTCCCTCGACTTACACCCTCTCCTCCAACACCAAATGCTATGGTGTATTTCTTGCCTACATATATGTATAACAATAATATTATACACAGCTGCAACAGTAGTAGAACTCTATTCAGGTTCCCGGACCCGTGTAAGCTTGTGGGAGCGGTACTTTCCACATGTAACACCAAGCAATTCTCAAACAGCAGGGTGTCAGAGGACTCAACTCAATTCTGAAGCTATCTGCCTGGAGGAGACAGCGCCAGATTCCCCAGGCTAAGGACTCTGTCCTACAACACTGCCCTCCACCCCCAAATCCAGACGCTGGCTGCCAGCCCCAGGCATTTCCCTGTGCTTCTGACCTTCCAGCTAAAGATTGGAGGTTTCTATGACCTCTCCCTCAGGTTCGATTAATTTGCTAGAGCGGCTCACAGAACTCAGGAAAACACTTACGTTTACTCATTTCATAAAGGATACCATAAAGGATATGAGTTAACAGCCAGATGCAGACAAAGGCCAAGGTCCCAAATAAAGAAGCGTCTATCCTTGTGGAGCTTGGTACCTGGCTCAGTGGCATGTGGAGGAATTCTGGTTCCCCAGGCATGGAAGATCTCCCCAACTGAGAAGCAAGACTAAGCTAATCAGAGCCAAACAAATGCAGAACAGAGTTCTCTGGGGTTTTGGGAGGACTTCATTGCATAGTCATTATTGAGTAAATTGGCCATTGGCTGATTCAGCCTCCAGCCCCTGCCCTTAGGTGAGGTCCAAAAGTCTTCATTAACATGACAAAATACCCATTTAATCTTTAAGACTGCAGTGTTTTCAGGAACTGTGGATGAAGACCAATATACCTGGGAAATACATATTTGGTCATAGTTATGATTCATTGTATCACAGAAGGGGAGACAAAAATGTTGCTTCTGATGGGGGATCTGGTGAGGGCTTCCAAGTGCCGGGGAATTCAGGCCCCTGGTGAGGAAGTGACATGAAGTAAGCTACATGGGATCCAGGACAAGAGAGAATTCCACTCAAATAGAGAATGTCTTTGTACGTATCTGTTGGGGGCTGTGTATGAGACAAGTTTGCTGAGGACATCATTTGAGCTCCTAGATACAGCTATGCCTGAAGGATCCCCCCACAACATGTCCCTTCATGAGTCAATAAATGCCCTGGTTTGCATTCATTACTTTGGTTTGGGTTCTGCGTCCTTTACAACTGAAAGAGGCCTGTCAGAAACTCAAACACCTTGGTTCTCATTGCTGCTTCCCCAGGGCTAGGATTGGTGCAGTAGTTCACTGGCTCCCTGAGCTGGCCCCTTTACTCTGCTAGGGAGACTGAGGGGCTTCTGCACAATGCCAAACTAGTGGCTGTCAGTCTTGCATGGAGAACTTGGGATCTGGGCTCTTGTTCTCTGCAGCCCTGAGAGGGTCTGGGGGTCCCCCTTCCCAAGGCCACACAGTCCTGGGAAATACAGGCACATGACCACCTCTCTGGCTTTAAGTTGCCTCCTCTGTGGAAGGGAGATTAATACTACAGATATCCTCTGTCCATCATCGTCTCACATCTTGGTCTTTTTGTCCTGCACACCTGATGTACTTCACTGCCATGTCCCCATGGCTGTAGCAGGTATTCTCCAGGGCCTGCCCCCCTCAGGCCTCGCCGCCAGACACCCGTATCTCTTTGGGGCTGGAGTCTGCTTTACCCAAAGTGCCAGGTAATTCAGATTCCTGGGGGGCAGCCCTCAAGCAGTAACACAGTCCCTCACTCCTCAGGTGGGACAACTCTGAGACAGGGGTCTTACACAAACCTCCAGCCTCCCCTAGGAGGACTGAACCCCAGCTGCCAAGGGAACTTGCTTGATAACGAGAACGACTAACCATCTGAATATAATCACTCATCAATTATTGACTGCTCCCCTCCTTCCCTCCATTAATTCCCTGCTCCCCTACAGCTGCTTTCTCTAAGACAAATGTACTCAATCCTCATCTCAAGCTCTGTGTCTGGGAGACACCTCCCAACCACCTTCACGCCCTTTGTGGAGTGCATAGGCTTAACCACTCCCAAGCAGATAGAACTTTCCATCCACTACCTGGTTTGTCCCATGACAGCCCTTTGAGGAGAGGGTCTTCTGTCATCTCCATGTTATGTGTGGGAAAGCTGAGGTTTGGGCAGGAAAACAATTTGCCTGAAGTTACTCTCCAGGAAGTGGAATATCTTGGGGAATGGAACCTAGGGTAGAGACTGGCTTCCCTGCCCCAGGCCTGCCCTGGTGTTGAGGGCCTGGGATGTGCCCGGCACTGTCTTTCCCACCTTGTACATAGTATCTCCTTTCATCCTTACGCCCCTCCTAGCAGGTGAGACAGCAGTGCCCCCACTTCACAAAGGCCTGGAGAGGCGGCAGGGCCCAGGATCAAGTCCAGGCAGGCCAACACTGAGCGCTCATCTTTAAACACAGGGCTGCTGCCTCAATATGTGTCATTTCCTCCGTTTTGGGCTGCAGCTGTGGCCACTTGGGAGGGAGGGAGCCCGGTTCGCCAGTGAGGCCAGCTGGTGGTGTAGGGGAACGAGGGGGGGGTGGGGGGGTGGGGATGGTGCCCAGATGGCAGACCCAGCTAAGACCCCTGAGGCTGGGTCCTGGGCTGGCAGGCTGAACCCAGGCCTGCCCTGAGCCCACACTGCCAGCTCCAGTTCTTTGGGGACCCTTCTGTGTCCTGAAGTGTCCCTCACCCCTCTGCTCCCACCCCTACTCCTGCGGTTGGCCCAAATACCAGACAGAGCGAATCTCAGCTTTCCCCCAAACATTCCTTGCTCCCGTGGTCCAGCCCCAGGCTGGCCAAAGTTACGCAAGCAGAACTGGGGTGGTTGGGGGGTGGGGGAGATGGAGGAGGACGGGCTGGCCTGCCCTCGCCACCCAGTCCAGCAGCTGCCCGCCCTTCCCAGGGCAGGGAAGGAGGTGGACCAGCTTCCCTGAAACCCTGGGAGGACAGGCTTGGGGGAGGGTGGCCAGGAGATGGGGGGCAGTGGCGGCCACAGCAGCGGCTTCAGGAGGTGATCACCTGGTTTCCATTAGGAAGCCCTGGTCCACATTTCGGGCAAGAAGGCAGAGCTGGGGTTGGCTATGGTAAGGTGGGGACAGGAGGGAGCCTGCTGCCCCTTCCCCCATGGGGATGCTCTTGTCACGATGGTGACAGGGTGCTGGGCCTGGGGACCCACCACCCACCCTCTGCTCCCAGTGGCCAAGCCCCCTGCTGCTGGTCCTGTTGCTTCCCGGGCCCCCCGCCCCCGGCATGGAGGATGCCGCCTTTCCCCACCTCGGGGAGAGCTCGCAGCCTGTACCCCGGGCCTGTCCCCCGCGCTGCTCCTGCCCCCAGCCAGACACGGTGGACTGCGGCGGCCTGGACCTGCAGGTGTTCCCGGACAACATTGCCAGGGCGGCTCAGCACCTCTCCCTGCAGGTGGGCCCCGGGTGGGGGCTGAGTGGGATGGGGGTGCGGGGTCCATGTGCAGCAGTAGAGAGCCAGTCGGGCATGTGGGTCTCGGCACTGATGGGCACTGGCCTAGACGAGAGGGTTGGGATCTGTGTGCCAGAGGCCAGAGGAGGTGCGGACACAGGCACTGGAGTGGGAGGCGATTTTGGAGTGTTAGGGGTCATCGTTTTGGTGGTTGCAAGGTTGTTTGGGGTGAGAGTGGTGGGTGTCAGGGGCAGATGGGGTGTTGGGCATCAGTGTGTTTTTGGTGACGGGGTTGGGTTTGGTTGTGGGTGTGCTGGGGATTTGGGATCCAGTGCTGGGGTGATGGGGTGCCGGAGCTTGCTTAGGCTGTTGGGAGTTGAGAATCAGGGCTTGGGGTCACATATGGAGGGCTCCGGGCCATCGGGACAGGGGTGTGAATGCCTCCCCGCCTGTCCCCCCACCTCCCCGGCAGAACAACCAGCTCCAGGAGCTCCCCTACAATGAGCTGTCACGCCTCGATGGCCTGCGGACCCTCAATCTCTACAACAATCTCATCTCCTCGGAGGGTGAGGGGGATGTGGGGAGGCAGACCCTCCCCAGCAGGGTCCCAGCTGCTCTTTACCCACCCCCACTCCCTCTCCCTCCCTCCTGGTCTGCAGGCAGCTCTGCAGTTCAGTTCCCAGAACTGCCCTTTGCTGAGCAGGATGGAAATTCAGGGGACTGGTGGGGGATGTGTGGCTTTTGAGGTCAGGGAGGAGGGCTGCCTGGAGGATCCTCTGCCAGTCCCAGGCCAGGAGCCTGGAGCAGCGGGGAGCACAAATTCCCCCTGCCTCCGACTTGGGCTGGCTGGGGTCCCCTCACCGCCCACCCCGTTTCCAGGCCTGCCTGATGAGGCCTTTGAGTCCCTCACACAGCTGCAGCACATCTACATGGCCCACAACAAGGTGAGCGCGCCCAGGCCGGGCCCTGCAAGGGTGAAGCCACTGGGTCACACAGCAGAGGGGACAGCCGGGGCTGCAGGGGCACAGGGGCACAAGAACCAGTGATGCTGTGTTCCTGCAGCTCTCCGTGGCCCCCCAGTTTCTGCCCCGCTCCCTTCGAGTGGTGGATCTAGCTGCCAACCAAGTGACAGAAATTTTCCCACTCACCTTTGGGGAGAAGCCGGAACTCAGGTAGCCCCTAGCCCAGCCCAGCCCCCACAAGCTTCAGCTATGCCTGGGGTGACTCCCCACCCTAGGGGTTCCAGGGGGGGTTATGAGCCCTACTCTGGGAGTGTCTGAGGTAGGAGGCAGGGCCCTGGTTGCTCTGTCTGGAGAACTCCAGATAGGCAGAGATGCGTGAGCGCCCTGAAGGTGGCCTGAGCTGGGGTGCGGGGCAGGAGAGGGGGATGGTGGGAGGGCCAGAGGCATGCTGGTGGCCAGAGCCCAGCTCCCCACAGGTCTGTGTACCTCCACAACAACCAGCTGAGCAATGCGGGCCTGCCCCCTGACGCCTTCCATGGCTCCGAGGCGGTTGTCACCCTCAGCCTCTCTGGCAACCAGCTCAGCTATGTGCCTCCCAGCCTGCCACCCTCACTGGAGCGTCTCCACCTGCAGGTGCCCCCCTTCCCCTCTCTCCCAGGGCACCCCTCCACCTCCTCAGAATTCCACCAGCACAGGCCTCTGACCAGCGCGCTCTGAGCGGTTTTCCTAAAGCAAGTGCCGTGCCACCCCCTCACTCAAGAGCTTTCCGTGGCCCCCGGCTGCCCTCTCCTGATCCTCCAGCTCACTCTCCCCCCTTCCCAGGACAACCTCATCTCCAAGGTGCCCCGAGGAGCTCTGAGCCGCCAGACCCACCTCCGTGAGCTCTACCTCCAGCACAACCAGCTGACGGACAGTGGCCTAGACGCCACGGCCTTCAGGTGGGGGACGGGACAGGGTAGGATAGGGGACAGCCTTCTGCTGGCCATAGATTCAGAGGATTCAGAGTCAGGGGGCCCCAGCCCTCTGTCCCCCTCCTCTGTATGACTTCAAATCCAAGGCTTCATTTGGAAGCACCTACTGTGTGCACAGCTCAGCAGAGCACCTGCAGCTGCCCATGTTCCTGACTAGCCTGCACTGATTTTATCACCCAGCATCACAGCTGCCATACGAGGATCTTGGATGCAGAGCTCTGTCCTGGTCAACCTTCAGACCAGAATCTGCCCTGGTCACCCTAAGTTTACTTCCTACCCAGATCTCTCAGCTCATCAGCCCCAAGATGGAATCTCCAGCTTGTATCTCAGCACCACTCCTTAACCCCCAGCCCCAAGATCCATCCGGCCCTGACTATGGTTGCCCAGCCTGATGCCAGGCCTCTTTCTCCTGCCAGCAAGCTGCACCGCCTCGAGTACCTGGATCTGTCCTACAACCAGCTGGCCATGGTGCCCACCGGCCTGCCCCGCACCCTGGCCATACTGCACCTGGGCCGCAATCGCATCCAGCGGGTGGAGGCGGCCCGGCTGCATGGGGCGCGGGGCCTGCGCTACCTGAGAGGCAGGGCCCTGGTTGCTCTGTCTGGAGAACTCCAGATAGGCAGAGATGCGTGAGCGCCCTGAAGGTGGCCTGAGCTGGGGTGCGGGGCAGGAGAGGGGGATGGTGGGAGGGCCAGAGGCATGCTGGTGGCCAGAGCCCAGCTCCCCACAGGTCTGTGTACCTCCACAACAACCAGCTGAGCAATGCGGGCCTGCCCCCTGACGCCTTCCATGGCTCCGAGGCGGTTGTCACCCTCAGCCTCTCTGGCAACCAGCTCAGCTATGTGCCTCCCAGCCTGCCACCCTCACTGGAGCGTCTCCACCTGCAGGTGCCCCCCTTCCCCTCTCTCCCAGGGCACCCCTCCACCTCCTCAGAATTCCACCAGCACAGGCCTCTGACCAGCGCGCTCTGAGCGGTTTTCCTAAAGCAAGTGCCGTGCCACCCCCTCACTCAAGAGCTTTCCGTGGCCCCCGGCTGCCCTCTCCTGATCCTCCAGCTCACTCTCCCCCCTTCCCAGGACAACCTCATCTCCAAGGTGCCCCGAGGAGCTCTGAGCCGCCAGACCCACCTCCGTGAGCTCTACCTCCAGCACAACCAGCTGACGGACAGTGGCCTAGACGCCACGGCCTTCAGGTGGGGGACGGGACAGGGTAGGATAGGGGACAGCCTTCTGCTGGCCATAGATTCAGAGGATTCAGAGTCAGGGGGCCCCAGCCCTCTGTCCCCCTCCTCTGTATGACTTCAAATCCAAGGCTTCATTTGGAAGCACCTACTGTGTGCACAGCTCAGCAGAGCACCTGCAGCTGCCCATGTTCCTGACTAGCCTGCACTGATTTTATCACCCAGCATCACAGCTGCCATACGAGGATCTTGGATGCAGAGCTCTGTCCTGGTCAACCTTCAGACCAGAATCTGCCCTGGTCACCCTAAGTTTACTTCCTACCCAGATCTCTCAGCTCATCAGCCCCAAGATGGAATCTCCAGCTTGTATCTCAGCACCACTCCTTAACCCCCAGCCCCAAGATCCATCCGGCCCTGACTATGGTTGCCCAGCCTGATGCCAGGCCTCTTTCTCCTGCCAGCAAGCTGCACCGCCTCGAGTACCTGGATCTGTCCTACAACCAGCTGGCCATGGTGCCCACCGGCCTGCCCCGCACCCTGGCCATACTGCACCTGGGCCGCAATCGCATCCAGCGGGTGGAGGCGGCCCGGCTGCATGGGGCGCGGGGCCTGCGCTACCTGCTGTTGCAGCACAACCAGCTGGGGACAACAGGGCTGCCCGCTGGGGCGCTACGACCACTGCGGGGCTTGCACACACTGCACCTATATAGCAATGGGCTGGACCGCGTGCCTCCCATGCTGCCCCGCCGCCTGCGGGCCCTGGTGCTACCCCACAACCACGTGGCCACACTGGGTGCCCATGATCTGGCTGCCACACCAGGCCTGGCTGAGCTCAACCTGGCCTACAACCGTCTAGCCAGTGCCCGTGTGCACCACTGGGCCTTCCGCCCTCTGCGTGCCCTGCGCAGCCTCGACTTGGCTGGCAACCAGCTGACCCGGCTGCCTGGCAGCCTGCCCAGTGGCCTGCACACACTGCAGCTACAGCGCAACCAGCTACGGGCCCTCGAGCCTGAGCCACTGGCCGGCTTGGACCAACTGCGGGAGCTCAGCCTGGCGCACAACCGGCTCCGGGTTGGTGACATTGGGCCCGGCACCTGGCATGAGCTACAGGCCCTCCAGGTCAGGGGCCGGCTGGTTAGCCTCACTGACTGTCCCCACAGCCCCTCCATGCCTGCCCAGTGTCCATCCCCAAGACCCTGAGAGCTGTGGCCAACACTCCACTGTGGGCTGGCCCTGGGGGTGCCAAAGACACCCAGCCTCCGACGTTTGGCTGCACTGTCCTTGACGCCTGGTCCTCCGTGACCACCCTCTCCACCTCCCCAGTGAACACCACGCCTTAGCTCCTCTGAGTACTATCGATTCCAGAATTTAGAACATCTGTGGGTGCCAGGGGCCATCCCAGGCCCTGGGGATGCTGTGCATAGCTCCTGGACCCTGGCACAAACCTCCTAGTTAGGGAGAAAGCAAGCAAAAACAATCCTGTACAGAAGGATGACTGAGTCAGCGTCTCCTGCAGTGGGTGGTCCCAGTCTGTCCAGGCCCCCTGCGCCTAGAATAGGGTCCGCCCCAGAGGACACTCTGTTTACCTCTGTAACTTGGAGACTACAAAGGGGGTCAAAGACACAGGGTGGAGGATGGGGCTGGGCACAGAGGAGGGGAGCCCAGAAGGAAGCGGTTTGGGGCTTGGCTGAGAGGGTAGCCCAGGGCCTGTGGCCACCACTGCACCATCTCTGCCCACCTGCCCAGGTGCTGGACCTCAGCCACAATGAACTGTCCTTCGTACCCCCTGACCTGCCAGAGGCCCTAGAGGAGCTGCACCTGCAGGGCAACCGCATCATTCTCATCGGTCCTGAAGCCTTCCTCAGCACGCCGCGCCTGCGTGCCCTCTTCCTCAGGTGCGCCAAGGGTGGCCCTAGTAAGCTGTGGTGGCCACCTTCCCTTGCACCCCCCCACCCCCCTGCTTGCCTCTTCCATCCAGAGCCAACAGGCTTCACATGACCAGCATCGCGCCTGAGACCTTCCTGGGCCTCCCGCACCTGCGAGTGGTGGACACGGAGGATAACCCTGAGCGCGTCCTGGTCCAGCTGCCTCCCACAGCTCCACGTCGCCCATGGGCCAGGGGGCCCTGAGCCTGGAGGGGCCCAGCGGTGTAGCTGAGACCCTGGGGTTCCACTGGGCTGTGGACTAAGGAAACAGTGCCCATCGAGGGCACTGACCTAGTTCTCCCAGGCTCAAGGGCTGGTCCACCAGACCTGCGCTGGCCAGGAAGCTGGCACAAGGGCACCGCTTCTACACACAGGAAGCACTGGGAGGAACTAAAGCATGCAGTTCGCCCATCAGGAACACAGACCATGCTGGCCCAGCTAGCGACAATAAAGCCTACCCCTTTCACCGCTTGCAGCTGACCCCTTTCACTGCATCCAGCTGGGGAAACAGGCTCTGGGATGCTATGTGGGTCAGGCAGTTCGGTACAGGTCCCAAAGCCAGTGAGCGGCAGGGCTAGATTTCGAGGCCCTGAGATACACGTGGGCCACCAAGCACCACCACGTATGACCTGACCACGTATGTAAACCCAAGGCCACTAGATGGAGAAATACACGGTGTGGCAGATGCCCTCAAGCAGGCCACAGACCCTGTGGCAGACACACAGACCTCCACAAGTATCCCTGCAGCAAGGGTGTGAGGTGAACACGTCCTTAGCAGGCAAACCCCACCCCTCCAGCCTGCCTCTCTAGCAGGCAACTCTCCATCCACCCTGGGGAACTGTGCAGGCCAACCCGCAGCCAGCCACCGAGGGAGGGAGCAAGAACAGACCGGACAGAGTGGGCCAGGCGTGGCCCTGGCTGTTTATTCCTTGCGTTAGCCCGGGAGCTCAGCTGGGCCAGGACCACCCTCTGGGGAGCCAGTGGGGCTCTGGCTGGCCTCAGCAGCTTCTTTGGGGTGTGAGTGGGCTTCAGGGTTAAGGCTGGGGAGGGACAGGAAGTAAAGTGCTTGCAGGCGCCCTCGGGGCTTGGTCCTAGCTGCCCTCCCACCTTGGGCTGTGCAAACAGGACTCTCCCGGCCCGCCCAGCCAGGCCTGGGTGAGGGGCAATGCTGGCCGGGGGGGCAACATTCCTAATGCCCCCTGCCAGGGAGGCTGTGGCCAGGCTGGGTGGGCCCAGTGGGGGTTACGTCCATTCAAAGCCAATTGTCTGCTGATTGTCTGTCTGTCTGGTCTTCGGCTGTAGCGTGTCAGCTCCTCCCAGCGCCGGGGTCCTGGGCCTGCTCCCCACTCTCCAGGAGCTGCCCGGCCTATCAGTCCCTCACCTGCGGAGCCGCTGCAGCTGGGGAAGAGGCCCCTGGAGTCAGGGGGAGCTCATGGCCACAGCCTCTCCCCTGCTGGCCCCCAATACCTGAGCTGCTTACCTCATTCTCTACCAGGTTCCGCCTGTACAGGGCCTCCTTTGCAGCCTCCTGGGGGACAAGCAGGAGGTCAGTGGAAAGCCCCTGTAGCACCCGCCTCCACTGCCCGCTGGGCCCTCACCCAACTCACCCTACTGCCGTCATTGCCCAGGCGTCGGGCGGCCTCCGTGTAGAACTGCAGCTGACGCTCCAGCTGGGCCATGTACTCTGATGGGAGGAGGAGGGGGTCAGAATGGGGCCCGCTGCCCTGCCCCTCCGCTGTGTGCCCACTCCTGAGGCCCTACCACGCAGGATGCCCGGGGCCCCCTGCTCCAGCTGTGCCCTCTGCCACTGGCTACGTTGCATGATGTCCTGGTACTGCTGGGCCACTTCCGGGGGCACCGACCGCCGTGCCTGCCTGAGGGTGAGGATCTGGGGGGTGCAGAAGGGGTTGTGAGGGGCCTGCCCAGCCCTGCATAACCTCCAACTCCACCCCACCAAGCCCAGCAGGGTGGGCACCCACCTTCCGCTCCAGACGCTCTTGATCAAAGGCTAGCACACTGAGGCTAAGAAGGGGCCGGGCTGATCTATGGAGGGAGAGAGGGGGATGAGAGGCTGCAGGGACCCTCCCAACCGTTGACTCCGTTAACTCAAAGACACACTGGGTCCTGGGGAACAGCAGGAGACAAGCCAGGCCCACCCGGTGTTGCTAAGCCCATGGTGTTTCATCAGCCCTAGTAGGGACGATGGCCGTATACTCAGACAACTGCAATGCCAGGTGATCAGGGAGGGCTTCCTGGAGGAGATGAAAGCCAAGTTGGAACCCAAAGAAGTCCAAGTTGGGCAGAGGAACAGGGAGCACATGTGGGGGTAGGGGTGCTCAGGGCATCAGATAAACACAGAAAAGGCCAGAGGCCAGTGAAAACTAGGTGTGCATAGCCATGAACCAACAGGAGCAAGTGGAGAGAGGACTGCACATACTGACAATGGTCAGATTGCAAAAGGTCTTAAAGATCAAGCTGAGGAGTTTAAACTTGCTCCAGAAGAGCCAAGTAAGGTTTCAGAGCAGGGAAGGGACATGCTACAATTTGTGCCTGATGGGAAATTGTCAAAGAGGGGCTGAGATGGGAAGAGGGGAGTTTCTCTCCCACATGGCCTGGCCGGGCCACCTACCTGTTCCTTGGCTCCCTCACAGGGGCAGGCACATGAGGGGTCTTCCCTTTGGGCCCAGCAACCTGCTTCAGAGGATAGAACCAAGTCTTTTGAGTCCTGGCCCCCCTGAGCAAAGCCTCCCCCTGGGTAGCTGACGGGCAGGAGTCTCACTGTGGGCATGGCTGCTGGCACAGGGTCAATGACCAGCCACCTCTCAGTTGTGGTCTCCAACTGCTGGGATGTCAGTGGCTCCCGAATCCGGACCATCACCTCCAGCCGCCCCCCTGTGGGCCTGCGACCATCCAGGACCTGGGTGGGGGGTGAGGAGAGGCTGTCGGGAAGCAGGCAGTCGCTGGAGGTCCAGGGCCGGACCAGAAAGAAACAGGGCCATTTCCAAAATACGAGCCCAATCAGATGGGGCAGGGTGCTGGGAGTATTCAGTGCTGGGCAGGGGGGAGATCTGACACTCTCAGGGGAGGAGACTTGGAAGGAGACTTCGAGCAACATTAACAAGTGGCTCGGCCATAGCAAAGGATTCAGACGAACGTCCATTCTCACCTCAAGGACCTCCCGGACTTCACATGCCGTCTCCAGGGCGTCCAGCTTCAGCTGGGCTGTGCCCAGGACCCGGTCAGTCTTGAACAGACCCCTGCGTGTACGAGGGGGGAACACGATGGTTGGCCCAGGGCAGCTTCCCCTCCCCTGGAACCATGAAATGCTTGCACCCCCAGCTCACCCCTTGTGGACCACTTCAAACTTGATGCCTTTGGTCTGGATGGCCCTTCGCAAGCCACGGTGGCTGCGGTTGATGCTGAGTTTGAACTGCTCCTTGAACTCTGCTCAGGGAAGGAGACCACAGACCCTGTGGCAGACACACAGACCTCCACAAGTATCCCTGCAGCAAGGGTGTGAGGTGAACACGTCCTTAGCAGGCAAACCCCACCCCTCCAGCCTGCCTCTCTAGCAGGCAACTCTCCATCCACCCTGGGGAACTGTGCAGGCCAACCCGCAGCCAGCCACCGAGGGAGGGAGCAAGAACAGACCGGACAGAGTGGGCCAGGCGTGGCCCTGGCTGTTTATTCCTTGCGTTAGCCCGGGAGCTCAGCTGGGCCAGGACCACCCTCTGGGGAGCCAGTGGGGCTCTGGCTGGCCTCAGCAGCTTCTTTGGGGTGTGAGTGGGCTTCAGGGTTAAGGCTGGGGAGGGACAGGAAGTAAAGTGCTTGCAGGCGCCCTCGGGGCTTGGTCCTAGCTGCCCTCCCACCTTGGGCTGTGCAAACAGGACTCTCCCGGCCAGCCCAGCCAGGCCTGGGTGAGGGGCAATGCTGGCCGGGGGGGCAACATTCCTAATGCCCCCTGCCAGGGAGGCTGTGGCCAGGCTGGGTGGGCCCAGTGGGGGTTACGTCCATTCAAAGCCAATTGTCTGCTGATTGTCTGTCTGTCTGGTCTTCGGCTGTAGCGTGTCAGCTCCTCCCAGCGCCGGGGTCCTGGGCCTGCTCCCCACTCTCCAGGAGCTGCCCGGCCTATCAGTCCCTCACCTGCGGAGCCGCTGCAGCTGGGGAAGAGGCCCCTGGAGTCAGGGGGAGCTCATGGCCACAGCCTCTCCCCTGCTGGCCCCCAATACCTGAGCTGCTTACCTCATTCTCTACCAGGTTCCGCCTGTACAGGGCCTCCTTTGCAGCCTCCTGGGGGACAAGCAGGAGGTCAGTGGAAAGCCCCTGTAGCACCCGCCTCCACTGCCTGCTGGGCCCTCACCCAACTCACCCTACTGCCGTCATTGCCCAGGCGTCGGGCGGCCTCCGTGTAGAACTGCAGCTGACGCTCCAGCTGGGCCATGTACTCTGATGGGAGGAGGAGGGGGTCAGAATGGGGCCCGCTGCCCTGCCCCTCCGCTGTGTGCCCACTCCTGAGGCCCTACCACGCAGGATGCCCGGGGCCCCCTGCTCCAGCTGTGCCCTCTGCCACTGGCTACGTTGCATGATGTCCTGGTACTGCTGGGCCACTTCCGGGGGCACCGACCGCCGTGCCTGCCTGAGGGTGAGGATCTGGGGGGTGCAGAAGGGGTTGTGAGGGGCCTGCCCAGCCCTGCATAACCTCCAACTCCACCCCACCAAGCCCAGCAGGGTGGGCACCCACCTTCCGCTCCAGACGCTCTTGATCAAAGGCTAGCACACTGAGGCTAAGAAGGGGCCGGGCTGATCTATGGAGGGAGAGAGGGGGATGAGAGGCTGCAGGGACCCTCCCAACCCTTGACTCCGTTAACTCAAAGACACACTGGGTCCTGGGGAACAGCAGGAGACAAGCCAGGCCCACCCGGTGTTGCTAAGCCCATGGTGTTTCATCAGCCCTAGTAGGGACGATGGCCGTATACTCAGACAACTGCAATGCCAGGTGATCAGGGAGGGCTTCCTGGAGGAGATGAAAGCCAAGTTGGAACCCAAAGAAGTCCAAGTTGGGCAGAGGAACAGGGAGCACATGTGGGGGTAGGGGTGCTCAGGGCATCAGATAAACACAGAAAAGGCCAGAGGCCAGTGAAAACTAGGTGTGCATAGCCATGAACCAACAGGAGCAAGTGGAGAGAGGACTGCACATACTGACAATGGTCAGATTGCAAAAGGTCTTAAAGATCAAGCTGAGGAGTTTAAACTTGCTCCAGAAGAGCCAAGTAAGGTTTCAGAGCAGGGAAGGGACATGCTACAATTTGTGCCTGATGGGAAATTGTCAAAGAGGGGCTGAGATGGGAAGAGGGGAGTTTCTCTCCCACATGGCCTGGCCGGGCCACCTACCTGTTCCTTGGCTCCCTCACAGGGGCAGGCACATGAGGGGTCTTCCCTTTGGGCCCAGCAACCTGCTTCAGAGGATAGAACCAAGTCTTTTGAGTCCTGGCCCCCCTGAGCAAAGCCTCCCCCTGGGTAGCTGACGGGCAGGAGTCTCACTGTGGGCATGGCTGCTGGCACAGGGTCAATGACCAGCCACCTCTCAGTTGTGGTCTCCAACTGCTGGGATGTCAGTGGCTCCCGAATCCGGACCATCACCTCCAGCCGCCCCCCTGTGGGCCTGCGACCATCCAGGACCTGGGTGGGGGGTGAGGAGAGGCTGTCGGGAAGCAGGCAGTCGCTGGAGGTCCAGGGCCGGACCAGGAAGAAACAGGGCCATTTCCAAAATACGAGCCCAATCAGATGGGGCAGGGTGCTGGGAGTATTCAGTGCTGGGCAGGGGGGGAGATCTGACACTCTCAGGGGAGGAGACTTGGAAGGAGACTTCGAGCAACATGAACAAGTGGCTCGGCCATAGCAAAGGATTCAGACGAACGTCCATTCTCACCTCAAGGACCTCCCGGACTTCACATGCCGTCTCCAGGGTGTCCAGCTTCAGCTGGGCTGTGCCCAGGACCCGGTCAGTCTTGAACAGACCCCTGCGTGTACGAGGGGGGAACACGATGGTTGGCCCAGGGCAGCTTCCCCTCCCCTGGAACCATGAAATGCTTGCACCCCCAGCTCACCCCTTGTGGACCACTTCAAACTTGATGCCTTTGGTCTGGATGGCCCTTCGCAAGCCACGGTGGCTGCGGTTGATGCTGAGTTTGAACTGCTCCTTGAACTCTGCTCAGGGAAGGAGGGAGGGGTCAGGCTGCGGCCTCAGGCTCTTTCTGCATGGGGCTGGGTGGGTGCCTCCCCTCCCTCCGTGGCTCACCGGGGGAGTCTGTGTTCTTGATCACGCTGGTCTTGTCTTTCTGAGCTTCTTCCTGCAAACAAACAGGAGGCTGGAAAACTCAGGGGCTGGTGGAGCCTGCGCTTGGACCCCTGCCCAACCCCTTCCCCAGCCTGACAAGCTTGAGCCTGTCCCTCCTTGGCCCTCCACATACCACATTGGGGTAGGGGAAGTCGAAACGAACAAAGACATCCAGGTCATTGGGGGACAGACCTGTGGGCGAACAAGGGTCAGAGTCAGACAGAGAGGTGGCCCCCACGGGCCCGACCCCTGCCTGACGCTGCCTCACCTGGGGGTGTGGGCAAACTGATGCCCTTCATGATGAACAGGAGCAGGTCATTGCTGCTGAGGTCAGGGAAGATCCTTCCAGGAAGGCAGGCAGGGCAGGCGGGGAGACAGAGACATCTCAGCCCCGCTGCCTGCTCGCCTTCTTTTCCCGCAGCGGAGCCAGGGAATGAACCCCATGCTGGCTTCCGGGGGTGTCTTAGCTCCTGGGTTACAGTTTCACAATCGGAGTTCTCTGTCCAGTTCCACCAATGGCTAACATTTGGGCCCTCTCTTCAGTCTGCCTCTATTTATTTGGTACCTACTTTGTGCCAGCCAGTGTCCTCACTACTGGGGATGCATAGGTATGAGACAGACCCTGACACTATGCTCATGGAGCCCCAGCTGGCTGGGTGAGCAGATGACTGGTGAGTGTATAACTAGCAAAATCAAGCAACTCCACAGAGAATTAAAGGAAGGGAGAGATGCAATGTGCTCAGGAGGGGCCGCTTCAGACAGAGTGGCCAGGGGGCGCCTCTCAGGGGCTCAGGGCAGATGACTCTGGATGTTCAGAAAGGGCTGCTTCATTAAGACCTGGGAAAGAGGGTCTGGGCGGAGGAGACAGTGCCAAGGCTCCGAGTGGGAACATGGCTGGGGTGTCTGAGGGACCAAAAGGAGGCCCTCGCAGCAGGACGCCAGCAAAGTAGGGACAGAAGGTAGAGGTGAGGTGATAGGAAGCCAGGCTGTGCCGACAGCGGGGAGCCAGGGTAAGAGGTGTGGGTTAGCCTAGGTTATTCCAGCAGCGGCACCTGACCTCACCTGTAAGTGGGAGCAAGGATCCCAACTCCCAGCACGTGGGAAGGTTTAACAGGAGCAAGATCAACAACCATCCCACGGGCTCAGCCAGGCCCCTGGGACAAGACCCCTCTCTTGTCACCATCAATGCCCCACTGCCACCCTTCACTCACACCTCATGCCTGCCTCAGGACCCTTACATAGCACTATGCTCCCACCACCCACTTAAATGCTCCTGCAGAAGCAAGTCTTCTGCTGGCTTCTGGGGAGTGCAAACCCCTCTCTAAAGGGGCATCTGGGCCAGTGGGCAAAAGGGCCTTACTTGATGACACTGAAGGTTCTCTGCTCAAAGCGGGCAGTGGGTGTGGGGAGACCCCGGGCAAAGGCCTGCTTCAGAGTCTCCATGCTCCGCTTACAGTCCTCTGCAAGTTTCTCAAATCTGCGGGTGAGAGGGTCTTGCTCAGGTCGCTGGTCCGGGGGCAGGCTGGGGGCGCAGACGTCTGGCAGAGGCAGAGATGGGGGTAGGGGCACTTACTTGCTGGTTTCGGCGATGTTGCCCAGGTGGGTGAACTGGTTAGAGTGGTTCAGGCACATCTGGGGAGAAGACAAGTGAGGGCAAGGTTGGGAGGACCATGACCCAGAGCGAGGCCTGCTGATGGGGACCAGGGGCACCCCTCCCCACCTCGTGCTGCTGCCTTATGAGCTTGGTGAGTTCACTGTAGCGCCGGGTAGACTCCTGAGACAGACCAGGGCCAGGCCGCTGGACCAAGACGAAGTCATCCTTGTTGACGGGGGCAGGCGGAACCTGGGGAGAGCCCTCCTGGTCAGCAACGAGCGGGCCCCCCCAGGGCTCTACTCGGAGAGGCCTTCCCCAACCACTGCTTCACCCACTGCCTCTGCGCTCTTTCTTCTTCCCCAAGGAGAAAAGATAACAAAGTTGATATCTTCCCAAAGTGGCAGAATCTGTAACTGTTTCCCCCAAATCTAACCCCCACCCCTTCTTCCCTGGTGGTGGGGTTCTGGCTGGACAGGCAGCAACCCAGCAAGAGACTACATGTCCTGGCCTGCCTTGCAGCTAGGTGTGTCCACGTGACCTGTGTCCCACGGGAGGCAAGAGAAGTGATGGCAACTCCATGCCACTTCCTTTAAAGGAAACTTTGTCCTGTCCTTTTTTCTCTCACTGCTTTCCATGGGCTGAATGCAGACCAAGCATCAATATACTTTGACTGTGTGGACAAGGATGACCTCTTAAGGAAGGGCAGAACAAGATGGAAGAAACCTGGGCCTTGGAAGGCTGTCTTTCAGAGCCCAGACTGCCTGAGTGTTACATATTAAAAATGTCTGTCTTGTTTCAGCCACTGTCTTGCGGGGTGGAGGGAGCTACTTGTTACAGCAGCTTAACCTGCACCCTGACTGACACCCCAAGTCATGTGGTTGCTAGGTGGCTGGAGGCTGACAGGCAGGTGCCCGGGAAGATCCAATAGGCCGAGGGTTCACCTTGGTGATGTCCACAGGCAGCCCATTGCGTGAGGCCTCCAGCATGGGCTCCAGCCCCTTGGCCTGGCGCAGGTGCATCTTGGCACCTTCCACGTCGTTCTTCTGCTTGGCTCGCAGTGCAGCCTGCAGGAGCTGCTTCTTACGGCCCTCCAGGAAGGCCAGCTGTTGCTGGGCTGTGGGCACAGGGGCATCTGTGGGTGCTGCCCTGCCCCTGGCCAGGCAAGAGGCAGGATGCGGAGGAAGCACCTACCTCTGGTGGATGTGCCTTTGGAGGCAGCTTTGGCTGCTGTGGTGGAGCCTGACTGGGGTGCTCTTGAGGGGGGAGCCTTGGGCTGGGCTGTGGGAGCCGGAGGGCTGTTGGGCTGCTGAGGGACAGAGAGGAAGTCAGAGCTTTCCCAGCATCTGCAACAACTCCTCATCCAAAAGGGTTAGGGCCTGACACTCACAATAGTGACCCCCTTGGTTTCTACTGCCTCGGCATCAAATACAATGCACCATCCTGTTCTCACTGAATCTTTGCAACAGCCCTGGGAGGCAGCAACTGTTATGGTGTCCAGTTTACAGATGGGGAGACTGAGGTGCAGAAAGCAAGATGACTTACCCATGGACACATAGCCAGGAAGTGGCAGGGCCAGGATGGGATATGGGTTCTTTCTGGCTCAAGGCCAGGACTATCAGGGCTTGGCTTTGCGGCCACTCCCCTGCCTCACCCCAAGGCCCCGGCCCCTCACACCTCCTTAGGTTCCTCATCCTCTTCATCCTCTGCACCTTCGTCCTTGTTGGCCAGCTTCATGGCAGTCTCCAGGACCCCTGCCAGGCTCTGCTGAGTGGGCTCAGTGGCCTCCAAGCCCTGGATGGGGGGAAAGCCTGGACGGCCGGTTGGGGCCCAGTCAGAAGGGAGAGACCATGCCGTAAGGGCGGAGACATGGGCTCCCCTCCCTTCTAAGGAGCCTCAGGACTTTGAATCTACTTTGAAGCCAGGGAAGAGCTGCTTCCAACCACCCCTGTGCCTCTTGGCATCTCTCGCCTGACCCTGGGCTTTAGACTCCAACAGCAAGCAGAATGTCAGGGGCTGGGTGCAAGGGACTGTCCTGGGCATGGAGGGACTCCCAGGGGACCAAGGTGTAGAGAGAAAATTGCTCTCATGGGGAATGCGCAGGGAGCTCTGAGAACCCAGAGGAGGCCTCAAGCTACTGGGGGTCCGACGGGAGGCTGAACAGGTGTCTATGAAGCCGAGACCCGAAAACTAGAAAGGAGCGAGTCAAACAAAGAAGAAGTGGAGGAGTAAGACAGAAGGGAGCTGGTGAACAGGCTCTCCAAATAAAACTACCCAATTTTTGCGTTTGCCAATTTCCATGGCATAAATACTTGACCTGCAACCAACTGTCTAAGGAGCCCACAGAATTCCTGAATGTGTGGTAATCACCTCCCTAATCCTGGACGTCAGTCGGAGGGAATAGCACCTCGACAGGCTCAGAGGCTGGAGGGGTGGGGGCAGGGGCAGGGCCTACCCGGGGGCACCGGCAGCTCGGTCACATCCACGGCTCGGCCAGCCTTGTGGGCTCGGATGGTGTCTTGGTATTGCTGAGGGGGACACAGTGTTGGGGCCACCTGGGCCAGGCCTCCGGGGGCTGCCCACCCACCCACTTGGCCCCCTGCACACCTTGACAATGCGCTCGTGCATACGGGCCTTCCGCTGGTCCCCTTTGGTCTTGGCCTGGGCTGCAGCCACGTGGTATCGCTCCATGCGCTGCTCCAGTGCCTCCAGGAGAGTCCGTGGTGGGGGGGGAGCCTCTGGGCCAGGCCGGAGTTGGGAAGCAGTGTTACGTCTTCGGAAGGAGGCTGTCTTGCCCCAGCCTGCCCACCCGACAGGGTTCCAGAGCTTACCTGATGTGGAGGGCAGAGTGCCAGGAGCTGGAGGCTGCGGTGGTGATGATGGTGGGTCTGGGGGCAGCTGGTCTGGGGGTAGAGAGGTCCAATGAGGGATTTGCTTGGGCCCCCCCACCACATTGGTGTGGAGGAAGCTCCCAGGCCTGACGGGGAGGCACATCAAGAACTTGGTGAAGGCCTCTACCAGTCCTGAAGGGTGGGCAGGGTGGGTTTCTCACCAGGTGGTGGGGGCAGGCGAGACAGGTCCACAGGCTCCCCCCGGCTCAGGGCCTCCAGGATGGCGTCAAAGCTCTGGGAAAGGAAGGGAAGAGGTCAGGAGAGGAGGCTGCAGCTGGGGGCCAGGACCCTGTGGGAAGCCTGTTATGTGACAGAAGACTCCTAACTCTTTCCCTTTCCATCACCTTTTTTCCAACGCTTGTGCCCATTTCCCAGAGTGGGTAAATGAAGGCTTTAAGAGGCACAACAAACTATAGCCACAGAGTGACCAAGAGCCAGGATTCACATTCAGGGCTGTGTAACTCCAAAGCCCCTGTTCTTTGCCACACTGCAATGTTGGAAGCATCCTGTCCTTTCCCTCTGACCCCGTCCCTCAGCCTGGACACACCTTGGCCACACGGAAGTGTCTGGCGGCAGTGGCAGTGTCTCCCCGCTGCTTGGCGTGGAGGGCGGCCAACTTGTACTCACGCTGGCGGCTCTGCAACTGGGCCAGCGGGCCAGGGCTGCAGGGACCTAGAAGGGGGAATGGCGTGCACACCACTTCTATTTAATTCTCACAACAAAGGTAGTTCTTAGGCCCATTTTAGCGATTCAAGAACCGAGGCTCAGAGAGAGCATGCTGCCTCCCCAAGGTCAGACAGCTTGAAGACGGCATTACGGAGTCTCAACCCCAGGACTGGCAGGTTCCCAGAGCCGCTGCTCTTTAACCTCCTCGAGAAAAGTTAGGAAAACTTTATGAACCTTCAGGCAGTTTTAAATGGACATCTACAATTTTTTTCATCTTAAGTTTAAAAAAGTGGCCAGAGCTGGCATTCCCAGTGTCTTGCAAATACTGACACTGGAAAAAGGAAACCATTGTGCCACTTTTAAATCTAATGTATTTTAACTGCCATGGTGATTTGAAATTCAACCAATATTCACTTTTTATTTTATTTCTTTTGAATTGCAGCAAAATACGCATAGTGTGAAACCCACCCTTTTTAAGTGTGTGATTCAATGGCATTAAGCACATCTGCATTGTCTTACAGCCGTCCCCACCATCTGTCTCTGGAACTTTCTCATCTTCCCAAACTAAAACTCTCTCCCCATGAAACACAACTCCCCACCCCCTGGCCCCACCACTACTTTCTGTCTCTATGAACCTGAACTCCTCTAGGGACTTCATACAAGTGGAATCACACAGTATTTGTCCTTTGGTGACTGGCTTTCCTTCCCTTTGCAAAACGTCCCCCAGGCTCGCCTACGTTACAGCAGGTGTCAGAATCTCCTTCCTTTTTAAGGCTGCCTTGTATTCCACCATACGGAGGAACCACACTGTGTTTACCCATTTGTCCCTCAAGGGAGACTGGGTTGCTTCGGGCTATTGTGCCTAATGCTGCTGTGCACACGAGCGTACAAATATCTCTCCATGTCCCATTTCAATCCTTTTGAGTATATGCCAGCATCTACCTATTAAAGACATCTCTGCATTCACGTTTAGCAGTGAGTGATTTCATGTCTTATGTACATCCACATCCCCGACAGAACTGTCTCCTAACATGGTATGTGGGGGTGCTAGAAAGCCCTTTTTGGGCTCACCCTTTCATACATTTGCACAACTGAAAGATGTCTGAGTAGTGTGTCAGCAAAGTTGGGCAGCAGGATTAAACTGCTTTTTGAACAATTCCATTTGATAGTTACAGCACCAAATATGCTCAGTACGTTTTCAGGGAATATATTTCTAAACTGAAAGCAAGAGGTCCAATTGTTGGTGCAAAAAAAATCAAAGTACCATAGATACACCACCCAGTACCCACAAGTCCTGGGAACACCTGGAAAACAGCATGTATTGTGCTTTTTCAGACTGACAACCACACCAACAGTTTTCAGTTTACCCACACCGGCCTATAAAGGTATTGAAGCAAAACACCTTGACATCTGATTGGTTTTATTTCCTGTATTTGAAGCTCTCTGTGTTAAAATAAAACCTTCTTCAGGGTGAGGCTACTGTTAGAATTGTCATTAGCCCGTAACTGAGGAAAGCCTAAATGTAGCAAGCTTTCTGATAAATAACTTTTATATATAAAGCAATAAAGCAATAACTTTTATAAACCAAGAGTAAAATTGCTTTGGCAAGGCACCTCTTGCTGACGTGGCCAGTGCTGGGTCAGCCCCCTACCAATTAGCTTGCTTTCCTGTGTATTCGTTTCTAACTTAGCTTTTTTCGTTTTTAAAGTGCAGCGAAAAAACCCATTTCACATCAACGAGTAGACGGGAAGAGACGGAGTCTTGTTTTTGAACATGGAGTGATTCCCTAAACCCCTGCCAAGCCAAAAAGTCCCAGCGTGAAAAAATGTGGGGTGACTGTAGCTGAGAATTTCAGGTGCCGATTTCCAACAGTCCTCCTTAAACTTGAATCCAGAGATGTCTTTAATAGGTAGATGCCGGCATATACTCAGAAGGATTGAAATGGAACACAGAAGGATATCTGTGCCCTCATGTGCACAGCAGCATCATTCACAACAGCCCGAAGCAACCCAGTCTCCCTTGAGGAACAAATGGATAAACACAAAACAACAGCTTAGGAACCGGCCTAGCTGCAGAAGGATTTACAGACCCAGTGTTCACTTCTCAACTCCAAGCCAGTGTTTTAAGCGTCTCTTTGGTTCTCATCAGGGGGGCATTTGTCCTAGGGCAAACCCTGGTGTGGACATTCTAGAAGTGAGGGGGTGGGCACTCCCCTCCTATAGTGGAGGGGGACTTGCAGGGACAGAGAGGTTGGGAAGTGAAACCTCTTGGGAAGTGCCTCCTCCAGCAGGTGAGTTCTAGGGGACAAGACAACAAGCTAAGGGCTTGGGAATTATCTACTTAAAATTCTCTATGTGGGAACATTAGCCGTAAAAAGTAACAGAGTTCTGACACATGTGGGAAGCCAAACCCAATAGGACAGACAGTGTCTACTCTACTTACATGAAATTTCTAGAGCAGGCAAATTCATAGAGACAGACTAGAGGTTACCAGGGGCTGCAGGAGGGTCTGGGGAGTTGGTGTTAAGGGGACAGAGTTTCTATTTGGGATGAAGAAAAGTTTTGGAAAGAGAGGTGATGGTGGCACAACATTGTGAATGTATGAAATGTCACTCAATTACACACAGAAAAATGGTTCAAATGGCAAACATTATGTTATATATACTTTACCACCACTGGAAAAAAGGGCACTGAAGAACTCTGGGACCTCATGTTGGACCAGGGAAGAGGAGGGGTGTTAAGAATATATAACAGTCCTCTATAGCGTCTTACTACGCTGAGGGACAGTGACTGCAAGGTGGGGGGGAACTTGGTAATATGGGTGAATATTGAAAGCACAATGTTGCTCATGCGAAACCTTCATAAGATTGTGTATCAATGATACCTTAATTAAAAAAAAGAAGAAGAATATCTAACAGTCAGTGTGGGGCCTGTATCCCCACAGAGGGGCCAACTGTTGAATACCCACCAGCACATTCCATGTCAGCCCACCCCTGCCCCTGGCCTACCTGGAGGAAGCTGAGGCTTAGCCAAGCCTAGGGATGAGACCGGGGCAGTAGGACAAGGCCCCTCCACAGGGACCCTGGGCTCCGGGGCTGGTGGGTTCATGGGGGCTGGCTGGGTGAGTGTGGGGGTGTGGCTGGGCATGGACACCAGGCCCTTCCCCACGGCCACAGGTGGTGGGATGTCCTCTTCATCGATGGCATTGCCCTCCCGGACAGAGGCCAGCAGGTTTTCCAGTGTCTGGGAGGAGATTTATAAACATGGGTTTCAGAGGCGCCCAGAGCTGAGGACTGGGGGTGGTCCTGGTACCCCTCCTATACCTTGGCTCACCTTAAGCCCCCTGTCGTAGCGCCGCATCTTGGCACCATTTCCAGCTTGCCTAGCACTTTCGATCGCTGTCTGGTAGAGAGTCAGCCTCTCCTGCAAGGTGGCCTCTACCCCTGGGCTGGGGGCTGTGGCCTTGGGCTGGGGGCAGGGCCAGGGGCCTGGTCTGGATGGTGACCCCACTCAGGCAGGTGCCTACTGCAAACCAGGCAGGTTCCCCCTTGGCCACTGGTGGCTCCCACCCCGGTGGGGAAGAAATCATTGTCCCCGTTCCCAGTGCAGGGAACAAGGGTTCAGAGGTGGCCCATCACCTGCCCAAGGTTGCACAGCTGAGATGGGCAAGGGGGGGCCTTGAACCCTGAACTGTAGGGAGCAGGTCATTCGATCTGTACCTGAGTTGCAGGAGGGTGGGACTCCGAAGACTTCTGCTCCTCCCCAAGGACCCTGTTGAGTTCTGCCTGCAGGGACACACAGCCAGGTCCAGGCATGAGGGCCTGGTGGAAGCAACAACAGCCAGAGGGGAGGCCCCCTGCCCTGCCCCGGGAGCTCACCAGCAGGTCATCGTCAGCCTCCACAGCCTCCTCGTCTGAGCCCTCCTCTTCATCCTCATCCAGGTCTCTCATGCACAGGCTGGCCATCTTCTCAATGGCCTCCATGGGCAGGGGACCTGGTGGCAAGGGGAGGCCCCAGCTAGACTGGGATCCTTCAAGAGTCCCCAGTCTCCCATCCCACAGCCCTGAAGAATAGGGTAGTAGGCAGTGGGCAATGTGTCCCATTACTGGCCCTTCCATGGCACCCCACTGCCCTCAGGCCTGCCAGGCATGGTCCCATCTCTCTGGTCTCATTTCTTCCTTACCAAGAGTTCGAACCCTAGTTCTGCAACTTTCTCACTGTGGAACTTCAGGCAAGTCACCTCACCTCCCTGGCCTCAGTTTTCCCATCTGTTAGATGGGGACAAGCTTCTCCCTCACAGGGAGATTGTGGGAACTAAACATAAATAAAGCTCTTAGCACATTGTCAGCATTTTGTTATTTGAGCTATTCTCGTCATTTGCATTAGTTGCACTCTATGAAGTTGCCACAAACACTAATCATGGAATACTGAGCTACTGCCCTTGGAAGAAAGACAGGGTTAGGTTTCCACGAGCCTCCAGGCACAACATTTTTGTTCATCAGTCAAGATGTAACCTTGTTGTATGTATGTTTTTACTTCAGGACACTTTATTTAATATATATTGTTGATTTGTTAACACTGAACTCAAGGTCAACAGCACTGTAACTCATGCCTGAGCAAAGGAGTGACTGCACAGGCACCCCAAATATTGACTTTGGTGTTACAAAGACATTTTAGCCAGTAGGTAAATTCACAAATACAGAATCTGTGAATAATTAGGGCTGACTCTATTAACTAAAAAATGTAAAGGCTCTGTCTGCCCTCTGAGTTCCAGCCCTGCTTAACTGCTGCAGAGTCAACTGTCTCCAGTCATCTGCCCCAGGGCCTCTGCACATGCCATGACTCCTCCCAGAAGTGCTCCCCAATTCTTCATCTGGCCCTCCCCACTGTGAGGGCCTCCTCTGGGAAGCCTGCCCTGGCTCACAGGTCTCTCCCATTGCTCTGTGTTCCCTGATCGCAGCCCATGATGCACCAGTGGGTTGGAGGACATGCTAGGCCCTGTGTGAAGTGCTTTATGAACACTTTATGAACACAGGTTAACTCCTGTGATGTTAAGTGTAGTCATTATCCCCATTTTACACATGGGGAAACTGAAGCTTATGCAGGTGCTGAGACTTATCAAGTCACACAGTCAGTAAGTGGCAGAGCTGGATTCAAACCTTCACCCTGAGTTCAGAGTTGATCACTTAACCTCTTATTCAGACTGTGGGTTTTAGGAAAGCACGGACCTTCTCTGTCAAATTTCCCCATCTCCCCTATGCCCAGCTCAGAGCTCCACCCATAACAGGAGTTCAGAAAATGTTCAGGGGTGTGTTGGGAGTCTCACCTTTCCCTCTGGGCTTCTCCAGGTCTTGGGGCTGGCCCCCCACTAAGGCCAAGAACTCAGCCTCCAGTTCCGCATCATTCACTCCATCCTCAGGGATCATCAGGTCGTCTGGGGAGAGGTCGACCAGCAGGCCCAGCTGCAAGAATAGCAAGGGTCCCGTAAGATGCTGGGAAGCACCCCACCTGGCCTGATGCAGCCATGAGGGATCCAGAGCCCCCTCAGGAGGAAGGGAACCCAGGCCTCCTGGGGAAAGCCATTCCCGTGGGGACTACCCGGAGGCTGGAACAGGTCCAGGACATAACAGGTGTCCCAAGATAGGCCAGAACCTCTGGCACAGATCAACATGGGACAAAGGACAAGCAAGAGACCCTGCTTCCTGCTCTGAGCCCACATCCACGATGCACCGCTAGCTGCGTTCAGTAGGGAAAGTAGGCCCCAAACCGAGCCCAAAGCAAAGTCACTCCGCACACCTGGGTTTTCCTTCCAGCATCCTCAGCAGAGAGGGCCATGCAGGAAGAGTGGAGGCATCAAGAGCAAAGTGAAGCCCTGACAACAGCGTCAAAGTTGAAAGCAGCATCTTTGCTGTGTAACAGACCTGTCTTTCAATTCTGTTCTGGTTAATAATAATATTATGTTAAACTACACAGAATTGCCCTTTCTGTAGGTCAAAATGACCAAATATTGACAGTTACGTATGGCTCCTTCTAACAGTAATGAAGATGGTAACACTCATGGAGGGCTATGTTTCAGCAGTTTACATAAACCATCTAAATGAATTTTCACAACTGTCCTGTGACATATGGACTCTTAGGGTCTCCATTTTATGGAAGAGAAAATTGAGGCTTAGAGCTGTGAAGACAAGTATCCAGTATGCAGAGACCAAGAGGGAACTTCAGATTGGCCAGACTCTAATACCTGGGCACTTAGCTATGACGTAGGCTCTTTCAATCAGAGCTAAGAGAAATCAAACTCTCCAGGTGCCTGGGTCAGAGGAGACAGGGAGGGAGAAGGGCCCCAGTCAGAGTCTTGCCTGCTCATGGCAGCTTAGCATTTAGCCCTGGCCAGGCTGTTAATCTCTATGATCTTGGGCAGGTGCTACAACTCTCTTCACCTCAGTGTCCTCAACTGTACAATGGGGATACAACGAGTTTGACCTGGCCCAGCTAATGCCAGGGTTCCACGCCTGATCAGGCCAGTGGAGCAGTAACTATCCTCACCCTAGGTCCGAGGCCTTCCCCTTGGCGCAACTGAAGCTGCTGCGGCAACAGGTGGCCCAGAGCCCAGGGCAAAGCGTCAGGAGCTGGGGAGCAAGGGCCAATAGGCCGCACTTCGTTGGGGGGGAGGGTCGAACCTCACCTGGGAACCAGGGCTCACCTCGGGGCAGAGATCGAGCTCCCCTGGGGGTGGGGCCCTACCCTGAACGTTTGACAGTGGTGGGGAGGTTTCCCTCGGTAAGGCCGTGGGGTGCAGACTCACCTGGCGGGCGGCGGCGGCGCCTCGACCCGGGGGTCCCGCGGGTCCCTTCCTCTTGTGCATCTTCCAGGCTGGATGTCGGGACCACCAGCCACCTCTCCTGGCCTTGCCCTGCCTCCTCCCCCGGGGCCTACTGCCGCGCACGCGCCCTTGCTGAGCACCGCGCTCCTCGTTGGCGCCCTGCGACCGCTGACCCTGTGCCCTCGTCTCCCGGGGTGCCCGTCCTACTTCCGCCTCGGCCCTTGGGCGCTGCGGCACCGGAGTGTAACCGCCAGACTTGCAGGGCCCGCCGCATTGAAACTACAACTCCCGGCAGGCATTGCGCCGGAGCGCGGGCACGCCGGCGCACTGCCTGCGGGGAGGTGGACGGTGCCGCGGACTGAGCGGGCGTGCCCGGTGTGAGGGGCGGTGCTGGAGCATCGCGCCTGCGTGCAGAGAGCTTCGCAGTGCGCGGGAGAGGCGGGGCGCCTGCAGGTGTGAGGGCTGTGGCAGCCGCCGAGATCTTGCGTCCCATGTCCATCTGCGGCCTTTGGCCTCTGCTGGCGGTCCCGGTGTGGGCGCCCTCACTTTTCGGTGGCCGGGGTAGGGTGAGAGTGGGCCTGGTTATCGGAAGTCGGGTCTACAGAGCCCGGTCGTTCAGCTCCAGACCCTCAGTCTCCCACCCTCTGTGAGGGCCCACTTTGCGTTTTACTTTCTGAACAAAAGTTAACGCAGAAAATTTAACTGAATTGTACCCCCAACAGATCCAGGCAGATCTACCTAGTTCCTGCTAAGGACAGAGGAACCTTGCGTCCTAGGCTCAGGTCGGTTTTGGATTTTCAGGTCCCCAGTGCTGGAAAGAATTGGCCTCTAGCGACTCCCGCTCCACGGCTCCAGGCATCCATACCCGCAAAGGCTCCCGGAGCCCTCGAAGGGCCCAGGTGGCCCTTCTGAAATATGCAGATGACCCTGAAGGGCCTCAGGTGTCCCCTCGAAAGCCTTGGGGTATCCCTGGAAGGGCCCCAGAGACCCCAGCCTGGAGGGTGGGGGCTTCACACAGGCTACCGCAATTTAGGGACTAGAGCCCAGTTCCCAGGGCCTCCCACTCCACCAGCCCATGTGCTCTCAGGCTCTGGGGCAGTTCCCTCTGCTCTTGGTGTGGAGGAGCTTTGCATTCTTTCCCAGCCATGCTCAAGGTAGATGTGACTCCCATCCTGTGTCCTTAGGTGGCCCAGCTGGACTCTCCAGGGGCAGCCAGATGGGCTGAGGTAGGGATGGAGTGGATTCTGCTCTCAGCCAAGGTTACTAGGTCTACCAGACATGGACTGCTTGAAAATGATGAGATTTTGCTTGTTTTCAGATTTCTGAGGGGAGGAGCAAAATGAGTAAAAGGAAAAAGCTTCGGACCTCAGGTATGTGGACGTTCGAGTTGACATCTATTGTTGCTTCCGCTTTTAGGAAGAATTGGGCTTATTTATGGCAGAAATGCTAACATGACCACACCAAACTCCATAAAAAAAATGATTTGATGCATACTCATAAGGAAAATATAAATTATGGAGAAGTATATGCAGTAAAAGTGAAAGTTATCTGGAGCTTTTTGCAGCTTCTGGTGGAATCTCACAGCCTAGGGGGGTCCCCAGGCTTCAGGGCAGGGTTGCAGCCTCCCTGCAGGCCCAGTCTGAGACGACCCCTGAATAGAGCTTGACTTGCCACAAGGCCATTGGGTGTGTGGTTAAGTGTTTCACTCTGGAACCAAGACCCAGAGTTCATCCCAGCTCTCCTGCTCACTGTGTGATGGCAGATGACTTACTCTGTGCCTTACTTTTCCTTTTCTGTAAATAGGGGATAATAAAAGCACCTATCCTTCCTTTTACAACAGTGATTCTCAACCTGGCTGGAGGAGGATTTTACCCCAAGAGGACATTTGAAAATGTCCAAAATGTGCCAGGTGTGGGGCAGGGAGGGGTACTGGCATTCAGTGGGTTGAGGCCAAGGATGTGCCTAAAGTCCTACAAATGCTCAGGACAGCCCCCACAACACAAAATGATCCGGCTCCAAATGTCAACAATACTGAGGAAAGTTGTAAAAATAGTTCAGAGTTCTGTCTCCCCTTCCACCTAGCTTCTCCTAGTGTTAACTTCCAGCATAACCACAGGGCAATGATCAGACATATAGTACAGTGTGAAAAATCAGGAAATGCNAACTGTTGAATACCCACCAGCACATTCCATGTCAGCCCACCCCTGCCCCTGGCCTACCTGGAGGAAGCTGAGGCTTAGCCAAGCCTAGGGATGAGACCGGGGCAGTAGGACAAGGCCCCTCCACAGGGACCCTGGGCTCCGGGGCTGGTGGGTTCATGGGGGCTGGCTGGGTGAGTGTGGGGGTGTGGCTGGGCATGGACACCAGGCCCTTCCCCACGGCCACAGGTGGTGGGATGTCCTCTTCATCGATGGCATTGCCCTCCCGGACAGAGGCCAGCAGGTTTTCCAGTGTCTGGGAGGAGATTTATAAACATGGGTTTCAGAGGCGCCCAGAGCTGAGGACTGGGGGTGGTCCTGGTACCCCTCCTATACCTTGGCTCACCTTAAGCCCCCTGTCGTAGCGCCGCATCTTGGCACCATTTCCAGCTTGCCTAGCACTTTCGATCGCTGTCTGGTAGAGAGTCAGCCTCTCCTGCAAGGTGGCCTCTACCCCTGGGCTGGGGGCTGTGGCCTTGGGCTGGGGGCAGGGCCAGGGGCCTGGTCTGGATGGTGACCCCACTCAGGCAGGTGCCTACTGCAAACCAGGCAGGTTCCCCCTTGGCCACTGGTGGCTCCCACCCCGGTGGGGAAGAAATCATTGTCCCCGTTCCCAGTGCAGGGAACAAGGGTTCAGAGGTGGCCCATCACCTGCCCAAGGTTGCACAGCTGAGATGGGCAAGGGGGGGCCTTGAACCCTGAACTGTAGGGAGCAGGTCATTCGATCTGTACCTGAGTTGCAGGAGGGTGGGACTCCGAAGACTTCTGCTCCTCCCCAAGGACCCTGTTGAGTTCTGCCTGCAGGGACACACAGCCAGGTCCAGGCATGAGGGCCTGGTGGAAGCAACAACAGCCAGAGGGGAGGCCCCCTGCCCTGCCCCGGGAGCTCACCAGCAGGTCATCGTCAGCCTCCACAGCCTCCTCGTCTGAGCCCTCCTCTTCATCCTCATCCAGGTCTCTCATGCACAGGCTGGCCATCTTCTCAATGGCCTCCATGGGCAGGGGACCTGGTGGCAAGGGGAGGCCCCAGCTAGACTGGGATCCTTCAAGAGTCCCCAGTCTCCCATCCCACAGCCCTGAAGAATAGGGTAGTAGGCAGTGGGCAATGTGTCCCATTACTGGCCCTTCCATGGCACCCCACTGCCCTCAGGCCTGCCAGGCATGGTCCCATCTCTCTGGTCTCATTTCTTCCTTACCAAGAGTTCGAACCCTAGTTCTGCAACTTTCTCACTGTGGAACTTCAGGCAAGTCACCTCACCTCCCTGGCCTCAGTTTTCCCATCTGTTAGATGGGGACAAGCTTCTCCCTCACAGGGAGATTGTGGGAACTAAACATAAATAAAGCTCTTAGCACATTGTCAGCATTTTGTTATTTGAGCTATTCTCGTCATTTGCATTAGTTGCACTCTATGAAGTTGCCACAAACACTAATCATGGAATACTGAGCTACTGCCCTTGGAAGAAAGACAGGGTTAGGTTTCCACGAGCCTCCAGGCACAACATTTTTGTTCATCAGTCAAGATGTAACCTTGTTGTATGTATGTTTTTACTTCAGGACACTTTATTTAATATATATTGTTGATTTGTTAACACTGAACTCAAGGTCAACAGCACTGTAACTCATGCCTGAGCAAAGGAGTGACTGCACAGGCACCCCAAATATTGACTTTGGTGTTACAAAGACATTTTAGCCAGTAGGTAAATTCACAAATACAGAATCTGTGAATAATTAGGGCTGACTCTATTAACTAAAAAATGTAAAGGCTCTGTCTGCCCTCTGAGTTCCAGCCCTGCTTAACTGCTGCAGAGTCAACTGTCTCCAGTCATCTGCCCCAGGGCCTCTGCACATGCCATGACTCCTCCCAGAAGTGCTCCCCAATTCTTCATCTGGCCCTCCCCACTGTGAGGGCCTCCTCTGGGAAGCCTGCCCTGGCTCACAGGTCTCTCCCATTGCTCTGTGTTCCCTGATCGCAGCCCATGATGCACCAGTGGGTTGGAGGACATGCTAGGCCCTGTGTGAAGTGCTTTATGAACACTTTATGAACACAGGTTAACTCCTGTGATGTTAAGTGTAGTCATTATCCCCATTTTACACATGGGGAAACTGAAGCTTATGCAGGTGCTGAGACTTATCAAGTCACACAGTCAGTAAGTGGCAGAGCTGGATTCAAACCTTCACCCTGAGTTCAGAGTTGATCACTTAACCTCTTATTCAGACTGTGGGTTTTAGGAAAGCACGGACCTTCTCTGTCAAATTTCCCCATCTCCCCTATGCCCAGCTCAGAGCTCCACCCATAACAGGAGTTCAGAAAATGTTCAGGGGTGTGTTGGGAGTCTCACCTTTCCCTCTGGGCTTCTCCAGGTCTTGGGGCTGGCCCCCCACTAAGGCCAAGAACTCAGCCTCCAGTTCCGCATCATTCACTCCATCCTCAGGGATCATCAGGTCGTCTGGGGAGAGGTCGACCAGCAGGCCCAGCTGCAAGAATAGCAAGGGTCCCGTAAGATGCTGGGAAGCACCCCACCTGGCCTGATGCAGCCATGAGGGATCCAGAGCCCCCTCAGGAGGAAGGGAACCCAGGCCTCCTGGGGAAAGCCATTCCCGTGGGGACTACCCGGAGGCTGGAACAGGTCCAGGACATAACAGGTGTCCCAAGATAGGCCAGAACCTCTGGCACAGATCAACATGGGACAAAGGACAAGCAAGAGACCCTGCTTCCTGCTCTGAGCCCACATCCACGATGCACCGCTAGCTGCGTTCAGTAGGGAAAGTAGGCCCCAAACCGAGCCCAAAGCAAAGTCACTCCGCACACCTGGGTTTTCCTTCCAGCATCCTCAGCAGAGAGGGCCATGCAGGAAGAGTGGAGGCATCAAGAGCAAAGTGAAGCCCTGACAACAGCGTCAAAGTTGAAAGCAGCATCTTTGCTGTGTAACAGACCTGTCTTTCAATTCTGTTCTGGTTAATAATAATATTATGTTAAACTACACAGAATTGCCCTTTCTGTAGGTCAAAATGACCAAATATTGACAGTTACGTATGGCTCCTTCTAACAGTAATGAAGATGGTAACACTCATGGAGGGCTATGTTTCAGCAGTTTACATAAACCATCTAAATGAATTTTCACAACTGTCCTGTGACATATGGACTCTTAGGGTCTCCATTTTATGGAAGAGAAAATTGAGGCTTAGAGCTGTGAAGACAAGTATCCAGTATGCAGAGACCAAGAGGGAACTTCAGATTGGCCAGACTCTAATACCTGGGCACTTAGCTATGACGTAGGCTCTTTCAATCAGAGCTAAGAGAAATCAAACTCTCCAGGTGCCTGGGTCAGAGGAGACAGGGAGGGAGAAGGGCCCCAGTCAGAGTCTTGCCTGCTCATGGCAGCTTAGCATTTAGCCCTGGCCAGGCTGTTAATCTCTATGATCTTGGGCAGGTGCTACAACTCTCTTCACCTCAGTGTCCTCAACTGTACAATGGGGATACAACGAGTTTGACCTGGCCCAGCTAATGCCAGGGTTCCACGCCTGATCAGGCCAGTGGAGCAGTAACTATCCTCACCCTAGGTCCGAGGCCTTCCCCTTGGCGCAACTGAAGCTGCTGCGGCAACAGGTGGCCCAGAGCCCAGGGCAAAGCGTCAGGAGCTGGGGAGCAAGGGCCAATAGGCCGCACTTCGTTGGGGGGGAGGGTCGAACCTCACCTGGGAACCAGGGCTCACCTCGGGGCAGAGATCGAGCTCCCCTGGGGGTGGGGCCCTACCCTGAACGTTTGACAGTGGTGGGGAGGTTTCCCTCGGTAAGGCCGTGGGGTGCAGACTCACCTGGCGGGCGGCGGCGGCGCCTCGACCCGGGGGTCCCGCGGGTCCCTTCCTCTTGTGCATCTTCCAGGCTGGATGTCGGGACCACCAGCCACCTCTCCTGGCCTTGCCCTGCCTCCTCCCCCGGGGCCTACTGCCGCGCACGCGCCCTTGCTGAGCACCGCGCTCCTCGTTGGCGCCCTGCGACCGCTGACCCTGTGCCCTCGTCTCCCGGGGTGCCCGTCCTACTTCCGCCTCGGCCCTTGGGCGCTGCGGCACCGGAGTGTAACCGCCAGACTTGCAGGGCCCGCCGCATTGAAACTACAACTCCCGGCAGGCATTGCGCCGGAGCGCGGGCACGCCGGCGCACTGCCTGCGGGGAGGTGGACGGTGCCGCGGACTGAGCGGGCGTGCCCGGTGTGAGGGGCGGTGCTGGAGCATCGCGCCTGCGTGCAGAGAGCTTCGCAGTGCGCGGGAGAGGCGGGGCGCCTGCAGGTGTGAGGGCTGTGGCAGCCGCCGAGATCTTGCGTCCCATGTCCATCTGCGGCCTTTGGCCTCTGCTGGCGGTCCCGGTGTGGGCGCCCTCACTTTTCGGTGGCCGGGGTAGGGTGAGAGTGGGCCTGGTTATCGGAAGTCGGGTCTACAGAGCCCGGTCGTTCAGCTCCAGACCCTCAGTCTCCCACCCTCTGTGAGGGCCCACTTTGCGTTTTACTTTCTGAACAAAAGTTAACGCAGAAAATTTAACTGAATTGTACCCCCAACAGATCCAGGCAGATCTACCTAGTTCCTGCTAAGGACAGAGGAACCTTGCGTCCTAGGCTCAGGTCGGTTTTGGATTTTCAGGTCCCCAGTGCTGGAAAGAATTGGCCTCTAGCGACTCCCGCTCCACGGCTCCAGGCATCCATACCCGCAAAGGCTCCCGGAGCCCTCGAAGGGCCCAGGTGGCCCTTCTGAAATATGCAGATGACCCTGAAGGGCCTCAGGTGTCCCCTCGAAAGCCTTGGGGTATCCCTGGAAGGGCCCCAGAGACCCCAGCCTGGAGGGTGGGGGCTTCACACAGGCTACCGCAATTTAGGGACTAGAGCCCAGTTCCCAGGGCCTCCCACTCCACCAGCCCATGTGCTCTCAGGCTCTGGGGCAGTTCCCTCTGCTCTTGGTGTGGAGGAGCTTTGCATTCTTTCCCAGCCATGCTCAAGGTAGATGTGACTCCCATCCTGTGTCCTTAGGTGGCCCAGCTGGACTCTCCAGGGGCAGCCAGATGGGCTGAGGTAGGGATGGAGTGGATTCTGCTCTCAGCCAAGGTTACTAGGTCTACCAGACATGGACTGCTTGAAAATGATGAGATTTTGCTTGTTTTCAGATTTCTGAGGGGAGGAGCAAAATGAGTAAAAGGAAAAAGCTTCGGACCTCAGGTATGTGGACGTTCGAGTTGACATCTATTGTTGCTTCCGCTTTTAGGAAGAATTGGGCTTATTTATGGCAGAAATGCTAACATGACCACACCAAACTCCATAAAAAAAATGATTTGATGCATACTCATAAGGAAAATATAAATTATGGAGAAGTATATGCAGTAAAAGTGAAAGTTATCTGGAGCTTTTTGCAGCTTCTGGTGGAATCTCACAGCCTAGGGGGGTCCCCAGGCTTCAGGGCAGGGTTGCAGCCTCCCTGCAGGCCCAGTCTGAGACGACCCCTGAATAGAGCTTGACTTGCCACAAGGCCATTGGGTGTGTGGTTAAGTGTTTCACTCTGGAACCAAGACCCAGAGTTCATCCCAGCTCTCCTGCTCACTGTGTGATGGCAGATGACTTACTCTGTGCCTTACTTTTCCTTTTCTGTAAATAGGGGATAATAAAAGCACCTATCCTTCCTTTTACAACAGTGATTCTCAACCTGGCTGGAGGAGGATTTTACCCCAAGAGGACATTTGAAAATGTCCAAAATGTGCCAGGTGTGGGGCAGGGAGGGGTACTGGCATTCAGTGGGTTGAGGCCAAGGATGTGCCTAAAGTCCTACAAATGCTCAGGACAGCCCCCACAACACAAAATGATCTGGCTCCAAATGTCAACAATACTGAGGAAAGTTGTAAAAATAGTTCAGAGTTCTGTCTCCCCTTCCACCTAGCTTCTCCTAGTGTTAACTTCCAGCATAACCACAGGGCAATGATCAGACATATAGTACAGTGTGAAAAATCAGGAAATGCACCTCAGGACACTACTTTTTCAGGACACTTCAGATACACAAATGCAGTGTTTCTCTTGCAAGACGGAACCATCACACATACTGGTCTGCAACCTCCATTTTTCACTCCATGGTATTGTCACAACTACCTTTATTTGTCAATATAGATATAGAATTTCTTGGTTTGAGAAGAAATACATCCAGCATTATGTAGTATAGCTCCATTTCCCTGTCATTGTCTAAGGTAACCTAAACTGAAAAGTTTAGAAACTTTCTTTACTTAGTGGCTAATGAACTGAGGGAGCGGCACTCACATTTTTCCCAAGAAGTGGGACAGGAAAGAAATAATCAATGGATTGAAAATGTTGTGTGTAGAGATGAACAACAGACTCTTGGAAGCACAGCAATTTCTCTGACCTTGGAGAGGGAAGCTGTGGACAGCCAGGCCCACCTACAGCAGGTCATCTGGAGACTCTTGGCAGTGGACTCTCCAGCCCAGTGGACCCCAGGCTGGCCCAGGACAGCTGTTTTTGTGTGTCCTGGATGGGGTGGGGAGAAAGGAAGACGATTCTGGCACGTGGTGAAAGAAGCCCTTTCTCACCCAATGTCTTTGGCTTTTGGTGTCAAATACAAGGTTCAGCCTTGGTTTTTCTTTAATTAGTCCTGTGGGGATAGATCACAGGAAGGAAATGGGAGGCTCTTCCCTTCTGTAGATATTTTTGCTTTTTGGTACAAATGTCTATTGGACAGGCAAGGCAGGTTAGTGTTCAGGCATCTTAAGAAACCAAATAAACGAAACCGCTATATTTTGCCTTTTTTGGCAGGCCACAAGGTGGGAATGTGTTTGCGTAAGAAAATGCACCTTGCTCTGGGTGCAACGCTGAGGTGGGCACCTGAGGGCGGTGGGGTGGCGGGCAGGGTGAGGATGAGCTCAAAGGGTCCAGCAGACTCAGTCCCTGCTCTTGAGACTCTCAAGGTCTGATCAGGGGAAAAGGAAAACGCTTCTCATGATGGTCACTGACCAAAGGTGCAGCTGTGGGTACAGTCCTAAACGGGCACGCAGAAACCATAACTGGCCAAAGTGGAGGAAATTACAGGAAGTCGCTGTGGCCCGGTGGAGCTCAGACAGCTGAGTGAGTGCTGAGGAGGATGCTAGCAATCGCCGCTGTGTGGAGGGGGCTCATTCAGTGGGTCTACTTCAAAGATATAAGGAAGTGAGATTGGAAAGGGTCTACCTAGCTGAACCCCAGAAAGGTCAGGCCTGGGTCTGGTTTGCCTTTTTCAGTCTCGCTGCCTGATCAGAAGCACAGGACGTAGTAGGTGCTCAATAAATGCTCAGGTACACTTAAGCGCATGGGCTCAGGAGGTGGGCTGCCTAGATCCCATTCCATATTCCTCCATGTGCCTCAGGGTTCTCATCTGTAAGATGGGCATAACAGCCAGGACCCTGCCTCAAAATTTTATTACAATACCTCCAACTTCTCAGGACAGTGACTGGCGAACTCAATAGAGTCAACCCTTGTCAGATGGTAATAAGCACCATCAGGCTCTAAATTGCTCTCAGTGATGAGAAAGGTATTACAGAGCTACGAGGGACCAAAGGACAGTTGGCACATCACCTCCTCAACACTCAGTGACACTTGATTGCAGTTTTCCCAGGGTGGGCGTTCTGCGGGCATTGCAGAAAACTGGAGTGATCCGCAGTTTAGTCTGTCTCTGCCTCCCTGGAGGTGATCTGTGGTTTTACATATATGTTTATTCAGTAATTTACCAGGTATTTATTGAGCACTGGCTCAACTGATGCTCTTTTAGGTACCAGTGAGAGTGAGGCAGCCAGGCCCCTCCTTGTATGGAGCAAGTTGCAGCGGGCGAGACAGAACATGACCCTGGAAGTCAGATATACATAGAAAGCCATGAAGTGAATAAATAAAGCAGAGCATGGGTCTCAAAGGGGATGCTCTCTAGAGAAATTGGGGGTGGCCCCTCTATAGGGACATCTGAGCTGAGACCCATACCTCTCACTGCTTCCCAGAGAGACAGTCGGCTGGGTTGTCTCCTGTGGTTTGGAGCAGGCCAGGCCACTTCAGGATTCAGCCTCAGTCAAGGCTAGTCCTTGGGTAAAAAGCCTTTGAATCCCGTGGCCAAGTAAGTTCCTAGGTCCCACCTCTGGATGAGTTTTCATCCCATCTCTTGGTCTCCTGGTGATTGTCAGGAGAAGGGTTTCCCATCTTGGGAACAGACCTTCTCATGTTACAGCGGCAGCCTTGCCAGGTTTGGTTGTCAGCCCTGGCAGTGCACAGTCCCTGCATCCCCCACCCCTTCATCTTCCTTTGTCTCTACATCAGGAGGAGAAGGGGTACAGCCCCCCAAGTCCCCAAAGAGTCCAAGACTAGGAGACTTTGAGAGGCCCACACACAGTTCTGAGTTGGGCTTTTTGTGCCATCCCGAAGAGGCAGAAGGTGAATCAGGACCTGCTCCCTGTGCAGATCAGAGCGGGGAGGAGCCAGGACAGGCAGCCTCCAGGTAGGTAGCTCAGAACATTCCAGCAAGCTTCCCTGCAGACAGTGGGCACGGCCCAGTGCACAGGATGCAGAGAGGAGGGGACCCACACGACCAATGTCATGCCTCCCCTGGGGGCTCAGGGCTCTTGGATTGTGCCTGTCCCCACACTCTCTGTAACGCATGGAAAGTTGGTATTTTGACCACAGACAAGGAAAACCTCAAATTTTTCAAGATCTCTTAGTTACAGAATGCTCCTTGTCCTGTCCACTGGTCAAATCCATATTTATCCCACATTCCTTCTTCCATCACGAATGACTGAAGGAGTTGCAGGTCTGTGAAATAATGACTCACAACAGCGAATAACAATCATTACCTGCCAGGCAACTGACACATATCCATTCATATAACCCTCATGGTGAAATAGGTTTTTATCCCCACATGACAGGTGAGGACCCTGAGGCTTCCAGTGACCAAAGACTTGCTCAAGGCCACTGAGCTGGTGCAAAGCAGGTTGGGATTCTGGCTGTGTCTGGCTCCTGTGTTCCTAACCACTATGGTTTCCCAGTTCCCTTAGAATGACAACTGTTTTATGGTGTGTGATGAATAAGGGCTGCATGTCACCCCTAAGCCATTCTCCCAGACAGACACCACAGACCCACTGTGCTCCTCACTCCCAGAGGGGCCAGCAAGGCCGACGGGGCCACCGCTGCCACCCACGCTGCTGTCTGAGCCTGTCAGAACAGTCAGAACCCACCCTCTTTTTTCCTGGCCTTTGTTCTTTAAATGTTTCATTAAGAAATACCATATGCACAGAAACATAAGAAAAAGAGCAACATAACATCAACAGACTTCGCATGTGTATGTCAAGAAATGAAATCTTGCCAGTACCCCAGAGCCACCCAAACAACCCACCCCAATTAAGAATTTTCAAACAGGTTTTTGCTATCAGTATCTAGACTTAATCTGTCTCTGTGGCCTCCCCCTGGCACAATTCAAGCCCATTTACCAGTACTGTCCTGCTTTTTCCTGCTCCATTTCCAAAGCTGAAATCATCAAGTTTTTGTTCCAGGTTTTCATCTTTTTTTTTTTTTTACAGCATACGTATCTATCCACATTTATTTAGATATAACTGAGTCTCACCAGTTTTTTTTCAAAGACTTCATTTTTTTATAGCAGTTTTAGGTTTATAATAAAATTGAGAGGTATGTACAGGGATTCCCCGTATCCCCTTTGCCCCCACACATATAGCGCCTCCCCTGTTGTCACCACCACTCACTAGAGTGGTACATTTTATACCAAGGATGAACCTACACTGGCCCATTGTCCACAGCTTACTTTTAAGTTCATTCTGTGTGTTGTATGTTCTTAAGGGTTTAGGCAAACGTATAATGACATGTATCCACCATTAATAGTCTCATACAGAGTATTTTCACTGCCCTAAAAATTCTCTGTGCTCCACCTGTTCATCTCTCCCCACCTACCTGGAAATCACTGATGTTTTTACTGTCTCCATAGTTTTACCTTTTCCAGAATATTCTCTAGTTGGAATCCTAAAATATGTAGCCTTTTAGATTGGCTTCTTTCACTTGGAAATATGCATTTAAGTTTCCTCTGTGTCTTTTCATGGCTGACAGCTCATTTCATTTTGGTGCTGACTAATAATATTCCATTGTTGGGATGCACCAGTTTCTTTATTCACTTAAGGAAGGCCACCTCAGTTGCTTCCACACTTTGGCAATCATGAATACACCTGTCTTCTTAGACACTGTGATTTTTGTATCTACAGCTTTCTTTCTTTAGAATTTACAGAGTTGAGAGCTGGAGGATCATTCCAAATGAGTATTCTTGTTCTTACTTCAGGGACCAATTCCTGGGATTCTAAGAGTAACATGCTCTCAGGGCAGGCGGCTTGGATTCTATATGTGGGACTCTGCACTCCTCTTGGCAGACAAATGTTCCTGGGGCTATTCTCCATCCCACCCTGTCTAAGCAGGTGCCCAGGGCCTCCCTTGGCAGACTCTGAGCACACTGCTTTGCCTTTGGGTTTGCCCCCTGTGTGTTTCACTACATGCACTGACAGCCTCAACAGACTTCAGGGTCTCCTCTGTTTTCTCTTTCTACCCAGTTCCCCCGACAAGGAAGCAGGAGCTCCCTCTAGGCTCCTGGAACAACCGAAAAAGGAGCCAGTTCCCTTTCTTCCTTCCCAGGTGAGCCCATTTTGTAACCTCAGGTATGTACAAAAGACACAGCCTGCCTGAAGCTGGACTTCTTGTCTCCATCCATCAATGGCTGCTCATGGCCATCGATGGGCTGGTGACTGCACAGCAGATGAGGTCAGAGGCCGTGTTTGAGGCTGCAAGAAATGAATCCGTTTTGGTGTTTGTATTTTGAGACCTCATTCCACCCTTACCCTTATTACTGCTTTGGTTCTTGTATCTGGTTCACAGAACTCAGTCAGGAGGTTTGTCCCCCAGTTTGCAAAACCCAGGAAGACAGTGATAAGACCAGAAGAGACGAGGGAAGAGGACCTCGGGAGTGGGGCCTCTAGCTCGGTAAGGCCCTTAATCCAGCCACACTGAGCCCTGTAGACCCACAACCTCTTGGCCCAGACTTGCACCCTGGGTTAAGCCTTGGTTTTCTTTGGCAATGACTAGACCTGCACCTCTGCACAGCCCCGCTTTCTGGGCTCCATGCTGCAGATGCCTGTGAGTGTGTGCCAGGCCTGCAACAGCTGCTCAGGATAGCTGGGCCTGCCTGGAAGCCGTGGAGGCCACAGTCCTCTTTCCTAGGTTGCTTAGCAGTAGTAAAACTCAGATAGGCAGCCCTATTCTGTTCTGAACGCCTTTGCTTCTCAGAAGCCTTTGTGTGAGTCAGAGCTGGGTCTGGGGAGGTCTTATAGCATGTTCTCCTGTCCTTTCCACTGTGAGCTCCGGGGATGATGATGTCTTCAGCAAATGGCCCCCCACAAAAAGAGTGGGGATGTCCCTAGCAGTTGTGTTCATGATTTTCCCAAACTGGAAACACCCAGATATCCTTCACTGGGTAAATGGTTCAACAAACCGTGGCCCATTCACACCATGGAGCACAGCCCAGTGGCAGAAAAAGGAACCCAGCCAGGGATGCACAACCACCTGGATGGCTCTCCGAGGCAGTATGTGGAGCTGGAAAAAAAGCCTATCCCAAAAGTTTGCTTCAGTGGGAGCCCATTTATATGACCTTATTGAAGTGAGAAAATTACAGAGATGGAGGTGTGTTTGTGGTTGCAGGGGGTTGGAGACAGAGTGGGCTCTTGTGGGAAGGAGGCAGGTGGGTGGCAGCATGAACCATCCTTGTCTCGGAGCTTTTTGTTATCTGAGCCATGGTGGCGGATACATAGCCTCTGCCAGAGAGGAAACTGAATAGAATATAACACACACAGGAATGCAGGTCAAATGAGAGAGTGAATACTATAAGTAAACTTGATCTGTGTCATATCCTGGCTGTGATCTTGTCCTTGGTTATGCAAAATGTTACGTTGTTGGGGGAAACTGGGTGAAGGATATGAATCCCTCCCTATCATTTCTTACAGCTGCATGTGAACCTGCAATGATCTCACCAAAAGCTTAGTTTTTAAAAAAAGAGAGGTGGTAGCTTCCCCATCGATGGTAGCTATGCCAGAGAGGCTGTGTGCAGCTCAGGAGGCTGATTGCCAGTGGCTTCGCTGAAGCCAGACTGACAGACCGTGACCTCTGTGATCTGATATTTGCAACCTAGAACCATTGGCCCTGACTGGTGGCGGAGGTCACCGTTAAGGATATCTCCTCCAGGGCTGATAACTGTATGAGAGGACCTGGGGAGCAGCTGTTGTCTGTAGGGTGCCTTGGGGTCCGTATCTGAGTCCCCAGCCATTGAGTTTATCTATTTGTGGTCCAGTTTGAAGGGAGAGCTGACAGTGTCGTGGGTGTGAGAGGAAGATGACAGTTGACTCCAGGGCTGGGGGCCTGAATAGCTTGAAGGATGGAGTTGCTGTTGTTTGAGATGGAGACTCATGGGACTCAGGAGCTGGTGTCAGTTTTGTGACGTTGGAGGTGACCAGGAGATGCCAGGAGGATATGTGCAACCTCTGGGCTGCGGTGAGTCTGTAGGTTGAGGCTGGGCACCTGGATGCAGCTGCCATCTACCTAAGGGACAGTATCCACCTGTGTCCCAGCTAGAACCCTCCTCTTTCCCACCCTGCTGCAGTCATCTCCACCTCCATCAGGGGCATTTCATTTCTCTCTGTCTTTCTCTTTTAACTTTTTGTCTTGAAATAATTATGAACTAATAGGCAGCTACAAAAGCAGTATGGACCCAAGTGTCTATCAAATGAACAAATAAATTATGGTCCATCCATACAGTGGAATATTATTTAGCCTTTAAAAAAAGCAAGAACATTCTGACACATACAACACTGTGGATGGACCTGGACATCCATCTCAGTGAAATAAGCTAGACAGAAAGCAACGATTCATGTATGGTTGCACTTTTAAGAGGTCCCTGGAGGAGCCAAATTCAGAGACAAAAAAGAAAATGAGTGTCACTGGGGTCTGGAGATGGGGGCATGGGGAGTTACCGGTTAACAGGGACAGATTTTCAGTTATCCAAGATGAAAAGGTTCTGGAGATGGATGGTGGCAGTGATTGTCTAACAACATGAATATGCTTAATCCCACTGAGCTGTATGCTTAAAAATGGCTAAGATGGTGAATTTTATCTAATGTATATTTTGCTCATTTAAAAAACAAAACACAGAGAGGTCCCTGTGTGCTTCCTCCAGCGTACCCCAGGGGTAAAATCGTGCAAAAGTATAGTCCACAGTCAACACCAGACAACTGACAGCAATACGACCCACAGGCCCCCTTGATTTTTATATCCTTACCTCATGCAGCCAGTGCTGGTGGGGGAGTGGTGTGATGGAAGGAGGGATTTCTGGGCTTCCAGTTCCCCCTCCAGCCCCTGCCTCTAACTTTGCCTGGCACTGATGCTGAACCCTGTTTGAGTCACTGCTCTATCACAGCATCCAAGACTTTGTACAGGGGCATTAATGACTAGAAATATCTTCAGAGTGGTTGGTGATTGAAGGCCCGAGACTGAATCTTTTTCTTTCCACAGGAAACAGTGCCAGAGCCCAGTGCCCAAGGCAGAAGCCAGCTGCAGGAGGAGTCCCCTGGGCTTGCTTTTGGGGAGGCCAGGGAGCTGGGGGCCTGGACCCAGGCAGATGGCACTGACACCAAGCACAGCAGCCAAAACCCCAAGACACCTCTGCCTGTCTGGGAGGATCCTCAGCCCTCCATCCATGTCGCTCCAGAATGCGGGATGGTGGCCTTAGCCTCAGAGTGGGACAGTCAGGACCACCTGTCAGAGAAAGGGACCAATAGTCCAAATGGTGGACACTTGGAGCAGGGTGGGGTTTCAGGAGATCACAGACAGAAAGGACACCTGCTGAGCAATGATGCTGAAGAGAAGGAGCCAGACCAAGGAGCCCCCCAGGAGGAAGGTGCCCAAGGGGGAACAGAGGGTGATCTGCCCACGGGGCACCTGGAGGAAGCAGACAGCATCCTGGGCCTGGTCACTCAGGGCCCAGAGCCTGGATCTGCAGCCCAGGACCTCCCTGACCCCATGCAAACGCCCAACAGGACTGTCAGGGATGCAGAGCAGAGCTGTAGCAGCCCAAGGTGCTCTTCCTTTGGGCTCATGGTCATTGCAGACATAAGCACAGACCCCATCCAGTCAGGACAGAGGGCTCCAGAGGTGGGCAGGCCAGATGGGCAGGCCAGCACCAGGGTTCCTGCCTCTCCTGGTGGAAAGACCCCCAATGGAAGCCACAGCAGGGCCCTGCTTAGCGGCATGCCTCTTGCTGTGGAGACTGCAGGAGACAGAGGAGAGGGAGAGTGGGAAAACAGGCCCCCTGGCAACATCCCAGAGACCCCTGCAGCCTTCCCGGCCCTGGACCACAGGGTCCAAGAGTCCACAATAGGCGCTGAAGATTCTAGTTCTCTGGCCTCAGAAATGGGCCCTGGTGTTGCTCTGAAAGAGGTTCCTGGCTGGGCTCAAGAGGTTCTGGAAGGTGTGTGCGTGCTGTCTCTGCCATCACACTGTACAACCGTAGCTCAGTTAGGCAGCCAGTGCCCTGAACAAGACCTTGAGGAGTTCAGTCTGTCTATTAGAGCCTCTGCTCCACCGGTGCACAGAGAAGTGGTGGATGCCCCCTGCAAGGCGACTGGGGACTGTCAGGGCAGCTCAGACACTCCCGCTGACCCTGCATGCTGGCCCAGGCATCCTCCTGACTCTGCCAACCAGGCTACCTTGAGGGAGTCCCCAGCCATGGAACTTGACTTACTGCTAGACAGCCAGATACAGGATGCCCTGGAGATCCCCGACTTTGGTGCCTCACCTGAGCAGGTAAGAGCCAAATGGCTGCCAGCCCTCTCCCAAACTGTCCGGTGTGGCAGGGGGTTAGGACATGGGGCACGTGGCCATCTGTTTACACGGCACACAGGTTGGAGTCGGGGTCAGAGTTGCAGCTCCAGTGGGGGTAGGGTCAGTGATCTTCCAGACAGGACAGATCTGCCTTTCTGCGAGGGGCTGTCGGGAAACTGGAGCCCTGGGCAGAGACCCAGGTGTATTTTGTCAGCTGGAGCAGAGTTGATGGCAGTCTTCCCCCATCTGGCCAGAGCCCCCAGGTGCACCCATCTTCAGGGCCTGGCCCTGGCCCTTATTCCCAAGGGGTATAAGGAGGGTCCCCCTCTAAAACTGAGAAGGGTGGCCTGGAGAGGCCAGTGATATCGACGCTGACCCAGGGGAGAGGACCTCGTGCCCCAACTAGAAAGAGCTTTTGCCTATCTATAGGGGTCATTCCAGGGCCCCAATAATGATTTTTTTCAAATATATACACAGACTTCTGTTTTCCTGCTGGGATTTGTAGGGACTCTGCCTCCTGCAGGGATCTGTCTGCCCAACAGGCAGGGAGAGCGAGCTGCCCCACGTTGCCTTCCCCAGCTGCTGAGCCCGGGCTGCTGGCGTTCACCTGTCTTGGCAGGTGGCCACCTTGCTTCAGCCCCACCCCTGCGTGAAGCACCACACCCCTGGCGGCTGGCGCACCCAGACTGGGCTAAGTGCTTTGTTGTCTTGCCCTGGGAGTAGGTGTCCCTCTTTCTACACACCGGGTGCGGCTAACAGGCTGAAGGAGGTCAGGCACCTGCCTGAGGTATCCCAGCCACCTGTGCCCACGTCCGCCTGACTCTACGGCTGTGCCGCAGCTGCCCTGTCCCAGAACTTGAGCCCAGCTTGCTTCACAAACATCAGCCTCTGTTTCTCCAGCCGTCCCTGTGGAGATGTTTTAAGCATTCGTTCAAAACGTGCTTACCAAGAACCTGCTTTGCACCAGGAGCAGCAGATCAGGCGTGGTCCCTGCCCCCGAGATGTTCTGCCTCACCTCTCCCAGAGTGGAAAGACTCTTTAAGTGCTGAAAAGCTAGAAAACAAAATGCTCATTCTGTTCCTTAGCATTTCGTGCCCTAGCATTTCAGCACTTAAAGAGTCTTTTTGGCCCCAAAACAATTGAAAGATTTCATCTGAAGAAAGCCAGCTGTTCTGCCTGCAGAGGAGAATGGGGCTTGGTCGGGCTGACAGGAGTCTCCAAGGGGCTGCCTTCCCAAGGGGTGGTCATTTTCCACAATGTTCACCCACAAGGTGACTTCAGACCCAGCCCCCCACCGCCGTGGGTGGGCCCCGGTACCTTGTGCCACACATTTCTCTGTCACCAGATGAGCAAGACTGTACAGCCAAGCCACAGTGCAGCTCAGCTCTAGAGCCTGAACATGGTGGCCAGGGGTAGGTAGGTGTTCTGACTCTGGCAGAGCTGAACTTTTATAACTAGAGCCCCATCCCTTGAAAAATACAAACCCCTGGCTCAGAAAGAACTGAGTTACCCTGGCCTCTGGCAGTGGCTAAGGGAGAAGGCTGGGAAAGCCATTGGGACAGTTGGTGGCATCAGATCGCCAGGGACCTGAGGCTTTGAGAACACCGAGCAGTCTGCTGTGCGGGGGACCTGGCAGGCCTGCCAGGGAGGAGGCGCCCAGGCGCGGTTTGTTTTGACATTGGGTGTTCCTCAACGAGTTGGGGCGATCCAGGCACAAGCAGGTTCCCATGGGAAGGTTCAGATGGCCCCCAGCACATTCAGGACAAGGACTGCCCTCATCAAGTAAAATATTTACACAACCCAGTGGGGGTGAGTTGACTGACTGTGTGACACCGAAGGCTCCCAGTGTTTTCCCCGATCCCCAGCTCCCCATCAGAGAGTCTCCGTCCAGGAAGGATGTCCTTGGAACAGGCCCCATCTTTCCTCAGACTTGACTCCTCAGATGAGGCCCTGGGCCTGCCACCCTACCTCAGCCTCTCTGCCTCTTTTTGGAGGGACCTATATCACCTCTGTGATCAGCCTGACATTTTCCAGGAAGATTAAACCGGTGACATTTAGAAACTTAAGCTGCTCAGGGTTATCTGGCTCTCTCCCTTATTATTAATTTCTCCCCCACAATATGTTTGCAAAATCTCTTCAACACGAAACATGGGGTTACCTGGCCAACCTCTTCCCCTCAACACCAGATGCCCACCTGGCCACAGTCACCACTTCTGAGGGTGTCTTCTCTGTACCCTTCTGGATACTGCAGGACGAGTGGGAGACAGCACCATACCTCAGTTGTCAGGACAGAGAGTGGATGGAGCCACCCACCAGCTGCCACCCATTGATGGGAGGTGTAGGCCCCAGAGAGGATGCCAGGGTCAGGCCAGGGCTGGTGGCCCCCAGGTTTAGCCATCATGGCATCCCTCCCCCAACCCACTTTTCCTCTGCAGGAGTCCTGGTCGCAGTGTTCCCAGCGTGGGGCGAGGGGAAGAGAGACAACCCCTGCAGGACTTTCCCTGCCCCATGCAGGGCTGGCCCGGCTAGGCCTTCACATGTGCTCTCTCCAGCTGTTTCCTGCAGGGAGCGAGATGGACCCTTGTTGGCCTGGCACCAGCCCACATGCAGATGGAGGTCCCCTCACTGAGGCCCCGCTGAGGTAGGCAGGGTGGGAGTCCTTCCTTCGTCCCTGGGAGGAGAGAGTGTCCCTGCTTTCCTGGCACCATATGCTGTCCCACATCCCAGCCCTGTGAGCAAACCTTTTGTTGATGAGGGTGACTGAGGCCACCTGGCTCTCCCTCCCCCAGCCTCACTTTTCTTAGTCCAGTAAGGGAGCCAGCCCATCTTTCAAACTCTTTTTGTGTGGTCCCTGCTCCTCACTAAGGGGGAACGTGTGATCAGCCATCTGCACCCAAACCAGCGTCCCTCCCCAGGAGCCCTGGGACCGTGCCCCCAGCTCTAGAATTAATACACACATGGGTGTTTTTCTGCAGACAGGGCCAAGCTTCCCCTGAATCTCCCTGCAGGGGGAGGGGACTCAGGCCTAAGAACCTGGGGCCACACGACCACAGGCTGGTCCCTCTCTGGCGCCAGCAGGCCCTCTGGAGTCTCTGACCTGTCCTGTCTCCTCACTTCCTGGCTCTGTATCCCAAGACAGGCCAACTTCTCTCCCTCCTGGAGGCAGGCCCAGGAGTGTGTCAGGGGTCATTTTACCCCGCCCATCACCTCCTTTTGTGTCCCCGCCCTGCCAGCAGCTAGCACCAGGCAACAACCCTCTCCTGTTACCCTGTACTTGGACTGGCTTCTCTGCAGAGGCAGTGGCTTATCAATTATTTATGGCCAAGTTTTTGTTTATGAGTGTTTCCGTCTGGCAAGTGTGGGGGAGGGACTAGAGACAGCCCTTGGCTGGGTGTGTCTCCCTCCTCCTCCTCTGGGCAGAGAGTGTATGTGTCCCCACCTCTGCCCCAGCCCACAGGTAAACAGTAATTTGTACTGCTTGTCACACACGCGCCCTTCACGGATGACAGGCAGTTTAGTCAAGGTGGCTGCAAAGGCCTCCCATGCAACCCCACATAGACACCTGGAAGCCCCCAGACAGGTCCTGGGGTCTGGTTCAGTGGCCCGTGGCTGAGTGAGACAGGCACGAGGCTGAGGCTTGGGCTGGCCATCTTGGGGTGACCAAGGCAGGTGGACCAGAACTGGAGTTCCCCAGTGATGCCCAGAGGTGCAGCCAAGCTTCAGGATGAGAGGCTTTAGGGAAAGCCAGGAGGCTAACCCTCTGCCCACAACCGCAGGCCCTGAGCAAGGGTTAGATAGAGTGGGGGCCACACCCCTTCCATAGATGTTAACGCCACCCAGCGCTGGCTCTTCCAGGAACTGCTCTGGGCTCTGGGGAAGGAGTACGGGAGCCTTTAAATTTTAACCAAGGCCAACTGCCATCCCACCCCCAGGAGGAGACCTTTGGAGTGGAACATTCCAGAGTCCCAAGTGCTCAGGGAATGGCCAGGGATTCCATGCGGCTGGAGCAGGGGGAACGAGGACAAGAGGGAGTACCTGGGATGTGGAGGTACCTGCAGGTACTGCAGGCCACGGGGTGGAGACTGCCCGTGGGCTGGCAGGAGCCAGGGCCTGGCAGGCAGTGGTGTCTGTCCAGAGAGGGGCTAAGGCTGGATCCTAGGTGTGCTTTTGATGGCAGAGCCAGCTGGACCAGCCAGCAGGATGCTGCCCATGGTGGCCTCCCATCTGGAAAAGGTGAGATGCCTAAGGGCAGGTTGGAAACAAACCCCTGGCTCAGAAAGAACTGAGTTACCCTGGCCTCTGGCAGTGGCTAAGGGAGAAGGCTGGGAAAGCCATTGGGACAGTTGGTGGCATCAGATCGCCAGGGACCTGAGGCTTTGAGAACACCGAGCAGTCTGCTGTGCGGGGGACCTGGCAGGCCTGCCAGGGAGGAGGCGCCCAGGCGCGGTTTGTTTTGACATTGGGTGTTCCTCAACGAGTTGGGGCGATCCAGGCACAAGCAGGTTCCCATGGGAAGGTTCAGATGGCCCCCAGCACATTCAGGACAAGGACTGCCCTCATCAAGTAAAATATTTACACAACCCAGTGGGGGTGAGTTGACTGACTGTGTGACACCGAAGGCTCCCAGTGTTTTCCCCGATCCCCAGCTCCCCATCAGAGAGTCTCCGTCCAGGAAGGATGTCCTTGGAACAGGCCCCATCTTTCCTCAGACTTGACTCCTCAGATGAGGCCCTGGGCCTGCCACCCTACCTCAGCCTCTCTGCCTCTTTTTGGAGGGACCTATATCACCTCTGTGATCAGCCTGACATTTTCCAGGAAGATTAAACCGGTGACATTTAGAAACTTAAGCTGCTCAGGGTTATCTGGCTCTCTCCCTTATTATTAATTTCTCCCCCACAATATGTTTGCAAAATCTCTTCAACACGAAACATGGGGTTACCTGGCCAACCTCTTCCCCTCAACACCAGATGCCCACCTGGCCACAGTCACCACTTCTGAGGGTGTCTTCTCTGTACCCTTCTGGATACTGCAGGACGAGTGGGAGACAGCACCATACCTCAGTTGTCAGGACAGAGAGTGGATGGAGCCACCCACCAGCTGCCACCCATTGATGGGAGGTGTAGGCCCCAGAGAGGATGCCAGGGTCAGGCCAGGGCTGGTGGCCCCCAGGTTTAGCCATCATGGCATCCCTCCCCCAACCCACTTTTCCTCTGCAGGAGTCCTGGTCGCAGTGTTCCCAGCGTGGGGCGAGGGGAAGAGAGACAACCCCTGCAGGACTTTCCCTGCCCCATGCAGGGCTGGCCCGGCTAGGCCTTCACATGTGCTCTCTCCAGCTGTTTCCTGCAGGGAGCGAGATGGACCCTTGTTGGCCTGGCACCAGCCCACATGCAGATGGAGGTCCCCTCACTGAGGCCCCGCTGAGGTAGGCAGGGTGGGAGTCCTTCCTTCGTCCCTGGGAGGAGAGAGTGTCCCTGCTTTCCTGGCACCATATGCTGTCCCACATCCCAGCCCTGTGAGCAAACCTTTTGTTGATGAGGGTGACTGAGGCCACCTGGCTCTCCCTCCCCCAGCCTCACTTTTCTTAGTCCAGTAAGGGAGCCAGCCCATCTTTCAAACTCTTTTTGTGTGGTCCCTGCTCCTCACTAAGGGGGAACGTGTGATCAGCCATCTGCACCCAAACCAGCGTCCCTCCCCAGGAGCCCTGGGACCGTGCCCCCAGCTCTAGAATTAATACACACATGGGTGTTTTTCTGCAGACAGGGCCAAGCTTCCCCTGAATCTCCCTGCAGGGGGAGGGGACTCAGGCCTAAGAACCTGGGGCCACACGACCACAGGCTGGTCCCTCTCTGGCGCCAGCAGGCCCTCTGGAGTCTCTGACCTGTCCTGTCTCCTCACTTCCTGGCTCTGTATCCCAAGACAGGCCAACTTCTCTCCCTCCTGGAGGCAGGCCCAGGAGTGTGTCAGGGGTCATTTTACCCCGCCCATCACCTCCTTTTGTGTCCCCGCCCTGCCAGCAGCTAGCACCAGGCAACAACCCTCTCCTGTTACCCTGTACTTGGACTGGCTTCTCTGCAGAGGCAGTGGCTTATCAATTATTTATGGCCAAGTTTTTGTTTATGAGTGTTTCCGTCTGGCAAGTGTGGGGGAGGGACTAGAGACAGCCCTTGGCTGGGTGTGTCTCCCTCCTCCTCCTCTGGGCAGAGAGTGTATGTGTCCCCACCTCTGCCCCAGCCCACAGGTAAACAGTAATTTGTACTGCTTGTCACACACGCGCCCTTCACGGATGACAGGCAGTTTAGTCAAGGTGGCTGCAAAGGCCTCCCATGCAACCCCACATAGACACCTGGAAGCCCCCAGACAGGTCCTGGGGTCTGGTTCAGTGGCCCGTGGCTGAGTGAGACAGGCACGAGGCTGAGGCTTGGGCTGGCCATCTTGGGGTGACCAAGGCAGGTGGACCAGAACTGGAGTTCCCCAGTGATGCCCAGAGGTGCAGCCAAGCTTCAGGATGAGAGGCTTTAGGGAAAGCCAGGAGGCTAACCCTCTGCCCACAACCGCAGGCCCTGAGCAAGGGTTAGATAGAGTGGGGGCCACACCCCTTCCATAGATGTTAACGCCACCCAGCGCTGGCTCTTCCAGGAACTGCTCTGGGCTCTGGGGAAGGAGTACGGGAGCCTTTAAATTTTAACCAAGGCCAACTGCCATCCCACCCCCAGGAGGAGACCTTTGGAGTGGAACATTCCAGAGTCCCAAGTGCTCAGGGAATGGCCAGGGATTCCATGCGGCTGGAGCAGGGGGAACGAGGACAAGAGGGAGTACCTGGGATGTGGAGGTACCTGCAGGTACTGCAGGCCACGGGGTGGAGACTGCCCGTGGGCTGGCAGGAGCCAGGGCCTGGCAGGCAGTGGTGTCTGTCCAGAGAGGGGCTAAGGCTGGATCCTAGGTGTGCTTTTGATGGCAGAGCCAGCTGGACCAGCCAGCAGGATGCTGCCCATGGTGGCCTCCCATCTGGAAAAGGTGAGATGCCTAAGGGCAGGTTGGATGTCTGGAGAAGACAATGGTTTTGAGGCACAGCAAAAGTCCCCCAGTGGAGTTTGGCGGACATGTCTCACAAGGTCAGGTCCTGTGTCTTGCCTCCTTTGTCGCCAGGACCCACGTGGGGATCGAGGCCTGTGAAGCTGTCAGGATGGAGGATGCAACAGACACTGTACGCGGCCTAATCATTGAGCTTTCCAACCTCAAGTAAGGGCCCACTTGGATCCACGGGGAGGGACTTCTGGAAAGGCCTCATGCCTGGGCCCTGGCCCAATGCATCTGAGACCCAACCTTTCCAGGGTTGTTAGCCTCTGAGGAGGGGCTAGAATAGTCACAACGTGCCCTGTAACAGGCTGATTCTGATTGTGCATGTGTGTGTATGCGTGTATCTGAGTGTGAGGTGCGGTCCTGCTTGGCACAGTACATAGTTTATGCCTTCATCCCTCTGCAGCCGGCTGATCATGAGCACCCACCGGGACCTGGAGGCTCTCAAACGCCTCAGCTACAGGAAAGTGAAGCGAGCAGGGAAAGCCCAGGCACCCTACACATCTAAGGGGGCTGGGAGTCTCCCCTGAGGGGAGCAATCCTGGAGGGATTTGTAGACCGCCTCCAGATCACTCCCAAGAGTGCAAATGCGGGTTTCCTTCAAACCCCACCCCCATAAGTGCCTAATGTTCCTGCCAGACAGCTGGAAACAATCCCTCAGCAGATCCCCAAAAGCCTGCAGGCCTCCTCATACCCCGTGCTATTTTGTTACCCTACAAGATGCTCCAGGGGTCTCTAGAAACCTCTGCTTAGGCGATCAGGAAGTCAGCTTCCCGTAGGAACACACAGGAGGCCGGTGCTGTATCAGAATCCTCTCTTGGGAGTCTGGGTGGGGAGGGAACCTGCTCCTCCCCAAGGCTGAGGCTCTCTTTACAGGCAGCAGTCTGGAGCCCCAGAAAGCCTACTGCCTGGGAGCCAGGCCTAGCACAACCCAGATGTTTATCTCGGTTTGCAAATTTCAGCTCAAGGGAGGTTACAGAAGGTTCCGAATTTCCTTCCCAGAGGAGAAAGGGCTCTTTGTTCATTGTACCTTTTTTGTCTTTCTCCGGATTTCCATTTTATTTATTTCTTCCCGGAAGGCTATTATTAATAATAAATTATTCCCTAGTGAGACCTTGTGACCTGCTGTCTGGGATTTGAGACATTTTCTGTTCCTTGATATTCTGCCCCCAAACCTTTCTCCTTTTACTTGCTATTCTCTCCAGGGAGGAAAGTTGGGCTATGCTGGGCCCCATGAGTTGAGGGGGGCCCCACGGGTTAGCTAGTGTGTAGAATTCTCCAGGAGCAGGTAGCTCGTATGTTTATAAGTGCACAGGTGTGTGCATGCGCATTTAAGCACACACATGCAGTGTCTGTGGAGCAAGAAGCCCAGAGACACGGTGGCTGATTGTCCACCTGGAGGTTGCTTTCAGGGCTCCATCCTTCATGAGACAAGCTGCTTAGAAGCCTCAGTCTGGAAGGAGGCAGTCCTGGAGGGTTGTCAATGACACAAACACAACTAATTTTTGCTTGCCACCTCAAAGCCAGCATCATAAGCAGACTCAGGTGCTGCTGCCAAACCCATTTTACAGAAAACAGTGTTTCTATTAAATCAGTCAATGAGAGACCCAAGACATTAGTCATTCTGCCTGTGGCCCCTGTGCCCCAACTCCTACGGCCAAGGCAGGGTCTTCCTCCCACTGCCTTACACCCCAAGAGATCCCAGCGTGAGGGGGGATGAGGCAGGTCTGGGTCCCCTGCCACTCCTAGCTGGACGTGTAGCTCCTCCTTTGAACCCATGAGGACATGCCTTGTCACCCATCTCCTGGGTCTCCAGCCCCAGCAGCTCGGGCTTATACAATTAGCAGTCACAGGCAGCTGGGAGTGGCCAGGATGTTGTCCCCTCAGTTTGAAACTACCTGGACAGAAGGCTGTCTTCAAGGGCCACCTCCTTTCCCTGGCTCACCCCAGCCCTTCTGGGTGGCCTCAGGTACCAGTAAAGGCAAAATCCAAGTGCAGAGAGGACCTGGGATGTCCAAATCCAGCCCCCACCCCCCACCCCCTTCCAGGAGACTGTGTGGGCTGGGGGTGGAGTCCAGGTCGCCGGGCCAGTCCTCTGCTCTGCGGAGGAATGTGCCCCGGCGTTTGCTACCTGCTGCCCTCCAGAGGCCTGGGCCACAAGGAGGCAGACAAGTGTGGGGAATCCCCCAAGGGCAGCTGCAAGGGGATAGGATCACACTCCCCAAGCAGGGCTGGGTCTCCCATCTCCAGCCTGCTCCTGCCCAAGCAGAACCAAACTGCCCCAAGGCCCAGGCTGGCCCAACCTCCCCAGACATACTCCCATTCCGTCCTCCCACCTCCCCAGAAGTCCTTCCCGCAAAGGGCCTGGCATGTGACTCCATGGAATCGGTTGCTGGGGACCTAAACATTCACTGAGGGCCTCCTTGGGGAGGATGATGGGAAGGGGGCAGGTCTGGTCTCGATCCCCCCCTGAAATCAGGTCCCCACATCCAGTGGTGGATTCTGCCCACTTGGCATGTCAGTATTGAGGGGTGGTCAGGAGGGAGTTTGAAAACACCAAATGTCACAGAAATGCAATAACCTAGCAGAGAGCACTTTGCTCCGAAGTCCCGGGCTGGGGTGGCCCCTCAGAAGCCCATGCTGCCCTGTGGTGCCCACTCCCATTTCTCAGCTCAAAGCAGCTCACCTGGGGTGAATAGAAGTCCAAATAGCTGTCAGGAAAATGTAGTTCAGAGTAATGTGGGGGCTGACAGATGCAGCCAGGGGGAAAAGGTGCCCTCCAGAGCTGTTTATGCTACCTTGTCCCAAGACCCGGCCTCTGCTGACATTGATCCATTCATAAGCGTTTATTGAGTGCTGACTGGATGCTGAAGGCTGGAGAGGACGGGAAAGTGGGGGTGCCTGAGGACCATCTCTTTCCTCCTGGGGGCTCTTTCAGCTGTGCTGCCAGGCCCTGCTCCCCCATCAGGTCCCCAGAGTCAGCTCCTTGCAGATGGATCTTCCCCCAAATCCAGCCTCCACCGAGCCTGGGTCCCCATGACCCCGAGAGGGCAGCATTCCCATCCTCCCCGAACCAGCCTCCTAGGCACAAGTGGAGGGACAGCAGAAGGAGGGTGAAGGTCCAGAAGGCTCCCCAGCACCTTTGGAACCTGGATTTTAAAAGCGATGGGGGAAGAAGAACACTTAATAACGGCTAGGATTCAAGACTCCCAAAGTACCCTTCAAAGGAGCAGGGCTGCTAGGCTCTGGCGCCACCTGGAGGATGCTCCTGGAATAGCACCCCTGTGACATTCCTGGTACCAGGACAGGGCTGCCCAGCCTGGGACCCAGAGCCTAAAGCCCAAGAAACTAAACTCTGGCCTGCCGTGCTGCCTTCTCGCTGCCTCAGGGCCCCCAAAACCCCAGATTTGTTAATCCCAGGAGTTACCAGGGAGGCCGGCCTTTCAAAAGTGTGGTAAGGACTCCCCCATCCATCCTCCACATGCAGGGAGGCGATTTTTCTGTTCCCTCAGACTTAAGGGGGAAAAGGGAGATTCTGAGACCCTCATCTCCAGGTCCCTTTAGCTTCCCGGGTGTCCCATCTGGACCTCAGGAAGCCGCACAGGGAATGCTTTCTTCTCCTGGGGGCCATGTCTCTCACTTACAGCAAATGTTCACTGTGTGGCTGCCAGGATGGGGAGGGGTCATCCCGCCCAGTCACCTCCCAGTCTGAGGTGGGGAGGCACTGGACACCCAAGACACCCAAATGGGTAGATACCACCCAGGCAAAACCTCCTCCTCTGCCACTGACTTCCCCAAACCAAATTAAAGTTGCTAAAGTGGATTCCTCCTTTAAAACCTACAGGACCTGAGGTCTTGGCTTCTATAACAACTGCTTCCATTCAAGCCCTAGGTACTCAAAGCCTGCAGCCTGGCTTGGTGTTTGGCCCTGCAGCAGAGTGGTGTCACAGGGAGCTGGGTAGAAATACAGATGCTCAGGTCCCACACCCAGACCTGCAGAATTGGAGTCTGCATTTCATGAGCAAGATGGGGCGGCCCCATGCAGTGTGGGGAGAAGTGGTTTGGACCTCAGGAGGCTCCAGCTGCAGCTCCTTAAGTTACAGCCCCAGCTGCCTTCCTGAGCCAATCCCCACACAGCAAACTCACAGAGATCCCCTCCAACTGACGTTGGCCCAGGTGCCAGGCCTCTCCCTCCTTCTCGCTGCCTTAGATGCCCCTGCCTGAAAGACAGGCCTCCCCCCTTCTAACACTCTCAAATCCGTCCCCAACAGCCGGTTAGCCTCGATCTAACACTCTAACATGCAGACCTGGTCTTGCCCCTTCCGTGGCTCCCTAGTGCCCAAGTCCAAGACCTATAGGTGCTTCTGCTGTGCCCAAATCACTAACACCTACCTATCCACCATGCATGCACACACATTCTTTCCCAGACACACTAAACTTCACTAAATTCCTGCACAAGCCCCGATGCCCCGGCCACACTTCCAGCGCTCCACCAAACAGAATTAGACTTCCAGAAGCCACTTCCTCCAGGAAGCCCTCCTGGACCCCTTCATCTGGACCAAGCAACTCCCCAGCCCCATTCAGCACCCATAACTACCTCTCTTCCATCTACCAACCCAGTGCTTAGCACAGAAAAAGCACACAGCTACCTGGCAAATGAGTGAACAAAAGGAGAACAAATGAGGAAGCTGAGGTTCAGAGAGGTTGACAACTTCTCTCAGACCACACAGCTCCTGAGTGCCAAGTGCGATAGGAGCTCCTGTTGTAACTCTTCACAGCTCCCACCACTAGTGCCCCTGGCCTCCCTTCCAGATCACCCCATACCCGGAAAAGGATGGCATTTCCCCCATGGACCCAGAGAGGTAGAGTCCCTTGCCTAATGCCACACAGCAAACCCCAGCTTCAGCTTACCCACATTGGACAGCACTTCTAGAATATTGTTCTAAACTGTCTACACTGATCATCTCCCCCAAACCCTCTGAAGTGGGTACTGGGGTTAATTCCACTCCCCAGAGGCCCTGAGGGGCTCAGCCATTAGCCCAGGGCAGATGCCCTTCACAGCAGGTCCCCCAGCCACCTGCACAGGCACCTCCTCCTCCGGCTCCTCCTCCTCCTCGGCGATGCCCTGAATCCTGTGTCTTCGCCTTGTCCGGCCGGGCCACCCTTTTTCCAGCAGAGTTGCGGTTGGTGTAGCTGTAGACGGAGGTGTAGCTCTGGTCGGTGAGTGGGCAGAAGCGGCGGGTGTGGGCATGCTCACGTGTGGCACCGCACTGGGGGCACACATAATCTCGAAGGATGGGGCACAGCACCAGGCCTGCCTCGTCCTTGAGCATGTGGGACTGGTAGATGGCCCGGGACTCGCCGTTGTGTTTGCAGAAAGTGCACAGGCGTTCAAGAGCTGGTGCAGTTTCTGGGCTGGGCCTCTGACCCTGCAGTCCTGGAGCTGGCTTTGGCTGGGGATCCGACCTGGTCTTGGGCTCCTCTTCTCCATGCAGAGTCCCCACCAGGTTTGCCAAACCCAGGTAATCTGTCCACAGATCAAAGGTCCCCATGGCTGGGCAATGTGTGCCAGGCAGAGGGGCAGAGAGAGAAGCCCTCCCCACCCGTTCCCTCCCCTCCCCTCCCCTCCCCTCCCCTCTCCTCTCTGGAGCCTAGGCTTCTGGACTGTCGGTTCCCTCCTTATACCTCCAAGGGAGTGTGAAGGGGGAGGAGCAGGCAGTGGGAGGCTCCATACTGTCACAGGGGTCTTGCTGTATCTCCCCTATAAATGCACCTGCCAGGGGAATGCATGATCTCTGGGTGGGTTGCAGATGAGGGAGGGAGGGAACACAGGCTGCAGGGGGCTCCCACAATTTGGAGCCACCCCCCACCAAAGGACAATGGGAGGACTATCCTGGTCTACCCCTCCAGAGACAGCTGGCCACTCCTGCCCCACAGGGTGATGGGGGGTGGGTTTGGAAGCCCCTCCCCAAAGATAAGCATTGACTGAACTAGTAACTTTGTAACTTCTTTCTTCCTTCCCCTGGATGGTGGGGAGGGGCCGGTGCCCCTGGGCTCTTTGGGGAGGCAGGGAGGTGCTGCCCCTCCAGCTGTCTCCAGAAGGGAGGTGGTACCTGGCTCATGTGGTGGGGGAAGGGAGGATGGGGGGGAAACAAGACTAGGCCCCCCCAACTCTGGTCTCCCTAGGGAGCTTTCAAAACCCATGTAATGGAAGAATAAACTGAGGTAGGAAGCCACCACCAGTAGAGTTATTCACAAAGACAAGTACAAAAGCCTGCTTCCCCCATCCAGTTACCAAAGCCCTCAAGACTATATGCTGGCTCTGGGGGGTTAGCAGAGGCAGAGGCTGGGCTAATGGGGGGGGGCAAGCACTAGCAGGAACTGTAATCCCCACCCCCTCAAATGAGACAGCTCAGTCTCAGAAGGGTGGGGGTGTGTCCAGGAGTTACCCAGGTGGGGCACAGACTAGCAGGTGGAGGAATCAGCCAGCATCAAGATACTGGTGGACAATTTGAGGGTAAATGGGGTCTGCAGCTGCTGGGCAAGGAGAGAAAGAAAGCTGGACTCAGACTTGTACACAGAAGAGGGTCTACACTGCCTACCCACCCCGTTCATTCATTCATTCATTCATTCGTTCATTCAGGAAATATTGAGCCCTCTGGGAGCAGAGCTCACCACCCAGTTTCAGAAAGGTTTATCTGCTGCCCAGTCCAGAGCTGTTGATCCCCTTACCCCTCCAGGATTTATTTCCCAAATATAGCCTGTGTCCATTAGGATCCGAGGTGCCTACCCTCCCCAAGGGGTGAGAGGCCAGGGTCAGGGCAAGGTTTGGGCTGAGAGATTTGTGGGAGAATCCAGGGTGGGTCGTGTCCCCCAGCTCATTCCCCTCAAGCTGTGCCTGGCCCAGCCACAGTGACATTCATCCCTCGGCGGGTCTGGCCTGCGTCCTCACAACCCACCGACAACAATGAATGTTGATTGTGACCTTTGCTGTGGCGTAAGGGAGGGGATGTGCTCAGGTTAGATGTGGGGCCCCCATATCCGGAAGGTGCGGGTCACCATGGGTGGACGGCAGTTCCAGGCCTCGGGGTCCACTCAACGGTCGATGGTTTGCCTAAGCTGCCCAAACTCACCGACAGGTTGAATGTTCCCCCAAACCCTTGGCAACTTCTTGGGGGACCAGGAGTGGCGCGGGGGCAGGGAACCAGATAGGGTGAGGGAGGGGAGGAGGGGCTGAGAGACGTATTGACTCATTAAGTTACTGGATACCAACTGTCTGCTCTACACCTGGAAAAAGCAGGAGATAAATATAAATAATAGTAACAGTAAACATTTATGTAGCCTTTGCTATTTAGATGTAGCACTACTGGGTGGAAGGCTTGATTCTTTTTGCATTTACTCAAGTCGTCCTCAAAAAGTGCAGAGTACTCCCATTCGTCAGTTAGGGAGACTCAGGCCAACTGACACAGCTAGTGAGCAGCAGAGGAGGGATTCCTAGTGAGTGGCCCCAGGATGTCCGGCTGCCAAGCGGTTCTGGCCCCAGGATATCCATGCAACAAAGAGATAAACAAGTCATTTTAATACAATGTAAAACTTCCGTGAGCTCCACCAAGTTCCGGGCAAGATTGTTCATGAATTACAACCCCCAGGGAGTTGTCAGAGTCCCCACTTTGCAAATGTGGGGCCCACCTGCGGGTCCACTTTTCCACTGGACAGGGAGAGGACCAGAGGGGACACCCGCAGTCCACCTGCAGGGTCTCAGTGAATCTGAATTCAGGCTTTTCTGGGGTCAGCACCCAAGCTCACAGAATGGCGAACGAGGGCTGCCTCCATGATGTAGGATGCAGTGTCGCTAGCCCTCGGCCTCAAAGTAGGTTTGCGGTCAAAACCCTGCTGGGACTCCCATTTCCTCAGCCCTAAAACGGGGCCGCGCGGAGTTGGGCGCCGCCCCCTCGGGTACCCCCCACTCATGAGAGGCCGCCTCCCATCTAGGGCTGGGGACCTCAGGACGGCCTAGAGAGGGGCCTTCAAATTTCCAGTACCCGCCCATTTATCTGAGGGAAATATCGAGCCACAAAGGAACCCTGAGCATTCAGTGTTCTGAATTTGAGTGAACCCCAAAACGCCCTAGGCAGAGGCGGGAGAGTCAGCACGGCCCTCCAAGCCCCACCCCCGAGGCCCCCGCCCATAGGCTGCCCTCAGAGGCCCGCCCCCCGGAAGCCCCAGGCCCCTCCCCCGAGGCCCGTGCCCTAAGGCCCATTCAGACTGCCAGTTCCTAGGACCCTCCCCTGAGGCCCGCCCACATAGACTCCCTTGAAGTCCGCCCCCAAACTCAATGCCCAATAAACCCCGCCCCCTAAACTTGTCCTCGGCTCCACTCCTCTGAGGCCTGCCCTCGGGCCTCGCCCCCAGACACCACCCCTTCTGGTACCCCACCAGTCGTCGGCTCCGGGAGCGACCAAGACCACGGAGTCCCGTCCCCTAGGAGCTCCACCGACCGCGAACCTGTCGGGTCCTCAAGGCCTAGCCCCTGCAGCCCAACGCTCCTACGGCACCTGCCCCCAGATGGATCCCGTCGGGGCCCGACCCATGCAGGACTCGCCCCGGCGACATCCCCTCACCTCCCGAAGCCCCTTCCCCAGAGCCTACCCCCTTGCCCCCGGGCTGGGATCAGGTCACGTTCCCACCCTGGCCTGGAGTTCCGTGTGGGGCGTCCGCCCCTGTGGCCCATCTACCCGGCCAGCAGGGCCCCATCCGGGCGCGGGGGTGGGTGGGCGGCGACCGGGGCTGCACCCTTTCCCCCCACAGAGTACCCAGGCACTTCCGAGCATGTGGGGTCTCCTGTCTTGATACCTAGAACTCTGAGTTGGGGAGTAGGAATGATAACAATAATAACGCTTTACATATATCCTCCTGTTAATAGGAAATACATTTTATCCATGAGGAAGGAGAGGCTGAGAGTTGGGAACACGGTTCTCGGCGTTTCCTCAAAAGCTTTGTTCTTGATGATTATGAAGCTAGAATGAGGGGTTCATCAGGCATGAGGCACTCTGGTCACGTTTGATGACTCCCTAATACCCCTACTCCTTCTGTGTCGCTTGATTCCCTGAGGGCTTTGACCTTGACCTACTAAGGAGGGAGGTCCCTGGAAGGGGTTTCCCTAAGCCAAGTGCTGGAAGGTCGGGGATGCCCCGTCTGGGATGTCAGGAAGGCGGGGCTGGGGCAAGCATGGCTTTGAGCCAAAGGGACGGATTGGAGGGGCACCGCACCCCCCATCCTATGCGGGAGGGGCTCCTCGGGCCTACCTTGGGTGTGACTGTCTCCTTTTGTCAGCGGTGGTAGGTGCAGGCTTCCCGCCCTCCCCGGTGTCTGTCTGGGTCTGCCTGTTTGGTTCTGATTCTGCCCCCTACGGTCCTGTATTCATGTGGGGCCCCTGCTGGGCTTGTGCTCCTGTCTCTGGCTGTCTGGGTCTGCTGCATGTGCTGGCCCTTTGCACCTGATCTGCGGCTGTCCACCGGTCTCCTCCTCCTCCAGCGTTTGCCATTGGTGAAGGGTGGCCTCTGCTCTGTCTGCACCTCACTGTCTGGACTTGTGAGGCAGGGGGAACCTGACTGTTCCTCTCAAGTGTCCTAAGGCCTTGTGAAGATGGGCTTCCATCTGACTTTGAAACCTAACAAGGTGGAGGGGGGAAGCTGCCTCCTTCCATCCACAACCCCTTGGCCCTGGTGCAAGGGTGGGGTGCCCTTCAGGGCCATTCTGGCCCTTGTTCTGCTGCTGCTTTATCCATAGTCCCTGGGATCCCACCTACTGCCAGCCACACCCCAGCTGGGAGGGTCTATTTGGACAGGTGGCTGGGAGGGAGTGGGGTGAGGAGAGCCTCCCCAAAGCCATGCTGACCCAGGCCCTATTCCCCCCCACCCCTCAGCTCCAGGAATCCAGGAAGGCAGGGCAGCTGGCACGGCTGGGGGTTGGGGTTGGAGGTGAGAGGTCCTGGTGGAGCCAGATGGGCATGCAATGGATGGCAGCTCTGATGTTAAGTTGAAGAACAGGGTGGAGGCATGAGGTCAGAGGTGCAGAGCTGCCAGAGGGTGTCCGGCAGCCTCTGTATGTGCTGTATGTGTGTCCGTGCATATGTTCCGGTAACATGCCCCTGTGTGTCCTGGTGTGCATGTGCGTGGATCTGGAGGGGACGTGGGGGAAGAAGTGGTCAGGGCCTGTCAAAGAGCCCATTATGGGGTGTATGGTGAAAGCACACATGGGGGTCCCCAAGTGGGGTCCTGTTGATGATGGCCCAGGCTGTCTAGACAGGTAGGCAAGGGCACCTCATTTCCCTAATAACCTGCTATGGGCTCTCAGGTTCCCTCCATCCTCCCTTGCTGTCTCCTTAGCTTCCTCTCCAGCTGCCCAGGCCTTTCATTCTGGTCCTCAAACAACAGGCTTGTCTGTCCTGCCCAGACCTGGGGGCAACCAGTTGCCTGGAAGCCTGAGCTTCTTTCCCAGGCCCACCAGATATGGGGCCAGATCTGGGGGAGGGGGGAGGGTGAGAAACTCC